CATCTTCTCATCGTAGAGTATTCAGAGATTTCCTCAAACTACATGGATGTGTGCACAGCCCTGCTGCTCTTCCTCACACTCCCTGTGACTGTCGCTAGTTGCGAAAGGTCGTTTTCCAAACTTAAAATAATCAAGAATTACCTGCGAAACTCAATGAGTCAACAACGCCTGAGAGGCCTCGGATTGCTCTCGATTGAAGCAGCGCGGGCTAAGAAGATGGATGTACTAAGACTCACCGAAGTGTTTGCCGAGGCTAAAGCAAGAAAAATGTCATTTCGAATGCTTGGACGCCCAATGCAGTGCATCAGATTTATGTCTTCCTCTTTTCCCCTATTCTTATCTGGAAAAATGCTTCCAATGTATACATGCGTCAATATCAGATTGTTTCATTAATACAGTGAGTAACAAACCTGTTATGAGAAGATGAGTTTTTTTTTATTGGGGGGGGGGGGGGGGCCAGAATTAGGTTTTGCGGGGGGCCCCAAGATTTCTTGCTACGCCACTGCCATGCACCGGTTCTCTTTCTCCTCTTCATCATCGTTCGGATGCCCATGCAGCACTGACAATAAGCGTAACTTTATTCCTTCAACAATGCGCAGAGAGTAGTTTGGGTTCTGTTAGCCCAATTATACGTGACATTCACGGTTACTTCTACCGAGTAAGAATTTTGCCTCTATTGGGACTATGCTTGGTCCAATATTGAAAACGCTACGATATTTATGCTACCAATATCAGCTGGACACTGAGTCAATATCTTATGTCATGGCAGATTTAATAGACCTTTCTTTCTCCCAAAAGATGCCTATTGGTTACTTCACAATCTCGTCAATGATCATTAAGTGAAGACGTTTTCAGCAAATAGGAATAGACCTTGAGCCAGACAAAACCTCCGATGTAAAACTCTGTGAGCGTTCGGAAAATCACTTTTTCCAAGAGGCAGAGCAGCGTTTCCTAAACCGGGAAGGGGGGGGGGGGGGGCAGGAATGAAACCGAATGCAGCTAGATTGCAGGTCCTGATGGCTCCCTAATAATATAAGGACAATTGGAATGATTGTACTGGGCTTCAAGCATATTGAGGGTGCACCATGATGATTTTCTTATTCAGGGTGGCACCCAAGATAGAATCAAAGATTGAAAGCTGATTATTCTCTGATATTGATAACGTTCTGGAGTAATCCTCAATGTATAGCGCGAAATTTGCTTTCCGCCAGAGCAAAACTTGCGAGAGCGAAGTTTTCCTTGTGGCGGTTCACTATTGCATTTGATATTGGTAAAGCAATATTCTATTCTAACGATATTCTGTCTTCCATGCGCGGGGACGCAAATTCAAAAGGAGTAATGTAAAAGATGAAGTGAAGACCTAATGGAGGGGTGGGGGTATTTATACCTTCTGATCGTCAAACTATATATTTCAAGTCTGTCCATGATATACAAAACATATTCAACGCTAAGTCTGCTTTTTTTTTTTAAAGCAATCTTACCAGTGGCGTATGCAGGGGGCTCTAGCTCTCCCCTTGGATTTCGGTAACCACCCAGAAGCTGTGTTTGGGATGGGTGAATAAACGACCGTAAAAAAAGGCACCAAAATTCTCGTCGAGCCCACCTCTTGGTCCTCTTTTTACTCAGCGACCCCACCGGCCGCTCGTCAGTTACCATAATACCGAAGTAGACCTGAATCCTGAAATGAATCGGTGGGTGTGGGTGTGGGTGTGGGTGTGGGTGTGGGTGTGGGTGTGGGTGTGGGTGTGGGTGTGGGTGTGGGTGTGGGTGTGGGTGTGCGTGTAGGTGTGGCTGTGGGTGTGTGTGTGTGGCTGTGGCTGTGGGTGTGGGGAGGGGGAGGGGGCTAGAGGAGGAGGTATCCGGTAGCCGCCCCCCTTGGTAGCCCTTATAAAGTCTAGCACTCCCCTAAGGTCTTTTTTTCGCACCTGAGAACCTTCATTCAGTACACTCCGCCCGTCTTCGGGGGGGCCCCCTTTCTGCTCGTTTTGCCCCCCGTGGCTCATGAACCAAAATACGCCGCTGCTTTGGGGCCGAGACAGGAGGATTTGGTTGGCTAAGCAACACCCGTGCGTGACGCATGGCCCATTTGGTCCCATGGCGCCACGCTTTCATTCAACAGCTGATCTCTTGCCACGTACTTTACACTACATATGTTGTGGTATTCCAAGAGCGCTATGATTTAATTCCTCTTCCCGTGGCTCGTGCTAATGTTTTCTTATTTCCTAGGTTCATGTTGGCTCATAACACATTCAGGAAAAGCTTCGAACCTATCAACGGTTCTAGGTCTATGCGTTGGATGGAAACCTTTGCAATAGGCCTGGACCAAACGTTTAGGCCCTAATGATGTAATTCAGGTGAATAATGAGGCTCCTTGAAGTGTCACCGAGTGATCTCTTGCACAGTTTTCTCAGCCCCCTATGTCGATATCTGAAACATTTTTGTAGCTGTATAGAATGCATGAGTTCAGTTGACTCATGCTACAGGTACTTTCATATGGATTAAACCGTAGCTTTTCTTTTAGATTTTGCTTGCTTCTGTGCTCTCTTCATGAGGTTAATTGCAAGTTTATTTTCTTCAGGCTCCAAATTTGCTGCAACTTGTGTCTGTAGGTTATTCTTGGGCATTTGGTAGGCTATGGTTCTTACTGTTATTGTGTTAGAGTTCTTGGATTGTTGTACCCAAAGTGGAGGGTTTCAAAATATTTAGTTGATTCTGTTTTCCAAACTTTGGACTAGCTATCCAGGGTATCAAAGCGAGCAATGCTTCACTCTTTGAAGTCTCCCCTTCAGCCAATTTCTAATCCACTGGTGTATTTCTCCTGCAGATATTGATTGTGAAACTCAGGCTTACAACATGAAAGGCTAAGCCTAGGCCTAGCCCACCTTGAAAAAAATGAGATTTGTGTTAGCAAACAAGTCAGGTCAACTTGTGAAGGCTTAGGCAAGCCAAGCCAGGCCACCTCATATAGCTTTAATATAAAGAGAAGCTTCACTTCAAACCATGAAGTTTGCAAGTGTGAAGTCATGGCTTGGCCTGGATGCTCTTGGAAACTCAGGACCAACAGCTGGTAAGGTTTATGTAGGCTACAGAAATCAGATTGGCAAATTATGCAATCAAATTAACTTAAAGGTGGCAACAATTAGTAGATCTTGAGGAATTTTAAGTATGGATCCATTTGGCAGTCCTGCTGTTGTGCCATCAATAGCCAATGAAAACTGATGGGAACATTCTCAGTTTAATATCCCATCTGAAAAAAGCTTGAAAATGAAGCTGGATTTGCAAAAGGAACTTCCCAATCTGAATGAGATTAATTTTTATTCTTTTTTCCTGCTGGGTTTTGAAACTTGGAAACCAGTTCAGAACTACCAGGGATCCACTAGTTGAAATCGGACAGAATTATTGACAGTAAGCCAAGGGCTTCCAGTTATGCCCTCTAACAAGAAATAGCTGATAAAATTGGTTCATGGCCAATTGGGAAAATAACATTCCAGAAACCAGTCTGAATCCACCTTCGTTTTCCAGTTGTTTCCAAGTTACAGCTTGTATAGGTCTGAATTTATAACTGTAATTCATTTGAAAATGATAGCCAGTTCCTCTTTGGATTTTAAACACATTAGGGGTAGGCTTAACTTGGCTTAAACTACAACACCTTTCAGCAAAATATTTTTGACCTCTTAGTGATTGAGAGAGATGGATATTGAACGAATTGATCAATATTCCTCCTTATTTGAGACAGGTCCACATGAAGGTATCGAGTCTTTTCTTTAAGCTATCAATGCAGAGCTTCTACATCATCCCTGAAGACTAGTGCTTTTTGATGCCAAGATTTTGGCTGACGGCTATGATCATAGACTCTTCAGACAGTACCAGTACTGAGATAATTGTGGAAAATGCATCAGACTACAGAGACAGATGGTGAAACCTCTTTGGTTAATGGTTGATTAAATATATGTGGACTCCTATGGGGGAAAAAGTGATCTTTAGCTTAAAGGCCATTTTATTTCCCCTAAATGAGATTTGTGTATTCAGGTTTAAATTATATAAAAGATAGTGATATTTTACTTTGGAAGGCAGACAATCCAGCTTTGGAAGAGAAAGGGGGAAGTCTGGTGTGGGAACTCCAGGCCACATTGTATTCACATCCACACCTGTTCTCTCACTCTCACTTATTTTTAACTCTCTGGGGTGGGGGCATCAACACAGGCAGGGTGGAAACCACTGCTGTGTTATGGTAATGATAATGGAGTATTGGTTGCCACTACTGATGGGTTCTGGTGCATTGGCACAACCCTACACTTAACATACTTATTGAACAGCATTTTTGTGCTGAGTTGTAAGTTCTTTTTTCAACTAAGTCTTTCTTGACATGTATTGGGCATTTCAAGTCATTATCACACTTCAGATGACCACACCAACAATACTGATGGCCACGGTATTATGAAAATTGGCATGCAGGCCAATATACCCATACTCATGGTGTCACTATAATGTGACACCATGAGTACAGGTATAAAAGCCATCATCACTCAACCTGAAGCAATTTTCAACAAGCTGATAGAATGATTGAGCAGGCTTCATGCAGGATGGTGCTCCACCCCACATTGCAAACCAAGTGAAACATGCTTTCCAGGTCACTTTCAAAGACCATATGACCAGTCAACACCTTGAACCACTTTGACATTCTGAACCATTGAACTTTGCTCTTGGCCTGCAAGATCACCTGACCTGAATTGATACTCACATGATGTTTGAAACCTCTACATAAAAAAATATGCTCTCCATAATGGCAAAAACAGTGGAAGTGACTTTTGAAATGCCCAGTAGATAAATGATTCCCCCTTTTCCTACTTCTATTATAATATAACTTCTAAAGAAGCTTTGCTCCATGTTATCAATGCTTTTGGATTCTATCTTCATAGCATCAATGCCTCATATGGAAGACTTCCTTCAGTGGTTGTGCAAAATACTATTTTTTGACCCAGTCTCTTTTGCACATAAAAAAGGCTGAGCCTGGAAAAAATCAGTGGACTTCCCTTTTTCATCTTAGGTACACCTACTGGTATTTGCCAGTGTGGCTGAACAGAATAGCATGAAAGAGGTGAAGGAAACCCTTGAAATCCTAAGGATGGCCTTGAAAGATATGAAAGAAGCTCTTTGACAATGTTTCTCCCCTTTAAAAAATGGGTGAAACATGTCAATTGGCCATTTGCAAACAAGACTGGGCTCTCTAATAATTATTCATCTTAGTGATTGACCAAAGATAGGTCTTTTATGTGAGACAGTAATGTTCTGAGCATGGAGTAGCTAAGCTTCGTAAACCTTAATGCCTCAATTAGATTCTCTTTAATTAATTGTCTTTCAAATAAGTACATCTCCAATCATGTTATCAATTATGTTTTTATGAAGACTTGATTGTGTCTTGGCACAGTGCATAATGGCATTACCTAGTCTGTTATTTATTTATTTATTACTTCATATTGCAGTTTGAGGCCCTCCCACATATAGATGTTCCAAATTGTCTGAACACTGCTTTCCATCTCTGGATCAGGATTTATTTTGCCATCTTAGCTCAGCTCTTACAATGGTGAGCAAAACACTGCAAAATAATGTCTTTTGATTCCTGAGACAGCCTTCCTAACTCACTAGTGTTCATTTTATCATTGAATGAGTTTTCCCTGTTTATTTATATATTTATTTTAAATTTCAATATGGTCTTGCTTCTTAGCCACCCTTTTTCCTGGATACCAATGCAACCTTAACATTTTGTGTTACATGAAAAATGATTAATTGGATTCTGTTCACAAAACAAACTTTTTCCCTTTTATTGATTATTGAGCAAGCCATATAGAATTTTTAAAATTTGCTATGAATGAGATAGATGCAGAATGATATAAGCTTGCATATAATTCATCAGGTTTTGCCTGTCAATCACTGTTTGGACAGTACAGGTACAGTGTGTTTTTTAGCACCCTATACACATGTACTTAATCTGGGAAAGTGGATGTAACCTAATGTCATGCAATTTGCACTGTAACTGCTATTCCCCTAAACCTCGTTTGTATATTTTTCATTTTGTGCATTTTCTCCTCTTCTGTTTTTCTACTGCATTAGAACTATGGGTAGGTTATTATCAGAATGGTGCATGCAACTTCCAGAATGTAGGCTTATAGGGTAGTGTCTATCATATTTATGTACATAATTGCCTCTATTTCTTTTTTACTTACTTAAATACTTTTCAGTTTGTAATTTACCATGTAAATTTCCAGAATGTGGCAACAATGGAACGCTTTTTGGCTTTAGCCTTGTTTGTTTTGCTGACAGCATGCTATAATGAACTTCTTGATTGCTATTTTAGCTGTAGATGTAGAGCAGTTTGAGTCACACCTGTAAGGTTGAAAGCATTTTAGGCTTTGTAGTTCCTGCAACATATATACTATAGCTTTTAAAATACAGGAGACCTGTGGTCCATCTTGCACTCCATTACTGCTAGGGTTGGTGGAGATCAATTGAAGATGCGATGAGGGATGATTCTCTGAGGGCACTTGTAAGTGACTCATCTGAAGACTCTCTTCTTTGGGAAGGTGAATCAGAGGTGGCTGAAGGTTTGTGTGCTTTGCCCTTTCTTTTGCAATTCCCCATTGCTTGCATTTCTCTTCTTTCTCTTTGTGCCTCCATATTCTGTCTCCATATGGCTTGTCCATGGTTGTAGGAATTTGTGTTCATAAGGCTAGACTAGAACCTTCAAGAATTCTGTGCCCTCTTGCCAGATAATATATTTCCTTTATACTAATTTCTTCGTATGTGGTGGATAAGTTTAAGGTAATTAGACGTTTCCTACCAAGCCTCTATACCTTGACTCACATGTCATACAGTAATGGAAATTATAACTATTCTCTAACTTTCAAGTCTGAAGTCAGGCTGGAAAGAAAGGTGCTACATAATCCTCATATTTATTTGCTGCTGTGAGCCAACTCGAGGAGCAGCAATTGTTGTATATCCTGGTATCTGATGCAGCATTTGAATACTGGTTCCAGTACACTTTTGTGCATCCATCTTTATCTCATTTCATCAGAATTTTCTTTGCCAGGTACAGAGGATAGACTAATGTGAGAAAGATCCCTTGGGGGGGGGGGGACTGACTCATTGTGACAATTAATTTTCAACAAAAGCCCAAAATCTGGAATTAATTTAGGTTCTATATCAGGTGACACCAAAAAACTTTCTTGTTGACACCTTATGAAACACCTTATGGAATTCTAGGTTGGTAGTTTTTTTTTTTATCTCATTAGAAACACTGCAAATTTTGTTTCCTGAAAGTTTTAAGTGTTTAGGTTGTCTGAAATAAAAGCAACAATCAATTCAAAGTGCAGTCATCAAATTTTTTTTTCATGCATGAGGTGCATTCATTTTCAGCACTGCTCAAATGATTTCTTTCCTTTGGTGCAATATAAGCTGCATTTTATGCTGTGTCTTTATCATAGTATTCTTAATTATGCAGTCATTAAGTCTCAGGGTAGAAGGCAAGGCCTGAATTTCATGGTTTGTTGAGGGAATAAGGGCTGGAGAGGGAAGATGAAAGGGAGAGATTCTAATAGAATCATAGACTCTGTTCTGTGGTGTCTCTTCCTTATCTGGCCATTCATTTAAAAACTTCCCTCTAACTATCAGAACAAGGATGGTCATATGTTAAGCTTTTTGTTTCATCTCTTCAAAATACTTTGCCTATTTACCATCACATGTCTTCATGAAAATACACAGAGTATTAGACTTGACAAGCTTACAGCACAGCCTATGTGAATTGCTAAATTTTTGTATCAGGGTCTGTTGGACCTAAAATAATAGTTACAGGGTTAATACAATGGCTTTTCCTTTGATGGAGATGACATGATAACACTACACTGTCATGAACAATGAGGATGCAGCCATGAGAAGCAGGTCTTTTTGATGACAAATGGGACACATCTGAGTGGGACCTCTGAAACAGCTGCCTCCTGATACATAGAAAGTGAAATTAGTGAAATTTCATGAACTGTTGCTCTTTACCCAAGAAACTTAGACTTAGAACTTCCATGAAAATTATTTTTAGAATGTTTTCTGTGGCACAAAAATAACATGCCTAGCATTTTTACAGCAGGTTTTATAAAGCCTCAAACAATGTTTTGTTTTTTTGTTGTTGCAATACCTGGTATGTTGCAAATTGCTTGATGTATGGGTGCTGGTAACTCATGACTCTCAGTTAACCTTAAAGCACTGTTTTCTTGTAATGTGACCTTAGGTTTTTCTATCTTTTGACAGCCACAGCCCTCCTTACAAAGAAGACAGGTGATGAAGGCAATGGATGGATTGAAGAAAACTCAAATTCTGAAAAGGTATTGTGCATTGCATTTGTGGAAGTATAGTGTATTTATTTAATGGTAATAGCCCTCTTACCTTGCCACATTAAAACAACTTTATAATTCATCATGTGGCTAGTCCATATTTACGGTGTGACCCAAAAGTTATTCATCACATTCATTTGAAAATTTTTTAATTAAAGCAACTCTCTGAAGAACCAAGAAGTATAATTCTGAAACTTAAAATTTTATCTGTAAAAGTATGGACATGCTAATGGGATTGACAAACTTCAATATGAGTTGTCATTTCTAACAGCTGTAAGTGTTGCATTTTGACACATGGCTCCAGTTAGACTTAGTTAAATGTTCCCTTCTCTACCTTTCCAACTCATCCAAATTTCTTGTATGACCAGTGGAGTACACCTTACATTTTGTGTCCTCCTAGTCCCGAAAGTCTTTTGTCTATGGACTATTGCTCCATCTCAAATTTCCTAACAATGTATTCTGAAGTTGTGTAACTGATCCTGGTGCTTGATATGTGGGATTAACTAGCACTCATCTAAATTGAATTTACCAGTTGTAAATGAGGGGACTAAAAAGTATTGGGAAACCCAATAATCTTAAATTTAAAAAATTGTTTTTTGCAGCCTCAGCCAAGATATCCAAAGTCAATCTTTTTCATTGTGGGGAATGAGTTCTGCGAACGATTTTCATTCTATGGCATGAAAGGTAAGTCATTCTGCTTTTCTTAATATTTTTTATTTATCTATACATAGGTGGAAATTGGGTCAGCTGGAAGATACTCATGTACAGGGTGGGCCATAAATATTCACACCAAATCGAAGTCTTGTATTTCCTGTACTTAATAACTTCTCATGAAATCAGTTGAATCCCTACTACACACAAGAGCTCACAGAAACTATTCACAAAATATGTTCAATGGGTCCCCATTCTTCTTGACAGCAACCAGGAATCTTTGAGTCAATCAGTCGATCGCACCAGATGGACATGGTTTCACTCATCTTTTGGCCCAAACCTTGACTGGTTCAGGTCACTGGATTTAGTTTATGTGCACTTGCTTCCAGCAGACTTTGAATACAGTAATCAGTTTGGTTACAGTCAGAGTTGATTGGGGGTCATTCGTATTCTTTCATCAATTCTGTCTCATAATCAGCCAGACAAATTTTTGAATCTCAATATATTTTTAGATGGAGAAGGATTCATGTTAAAACTATCAAGGTTCACCACCAAAGAGACTCACATAGAGGTGCAAAACGTTTTTCATTTGCTGTTTTTAAGCATAAAGAAATAGAAAAGTTACAAGTGGTATGAATATTTATGGCCCACCCTATATATGAATACTGACAGAACCTCATTTGATTTTTAAAAACCAAATGGACAAATTTATCTTAGGCTGAATCTACTATTATGTGATTTTTTACATATGGATTGCATACCCTGGATCTTTGAAATTTATGCTACATGCTTTATTCTAGAAATACAACAATATTGATTATTTACAGAATAAAGCTATAGACCAAAAGGATTAAGAACATACATCAGAGGTGCAAGTTCAAATTCCTTATGTGAGTAATGTTTTTTTTAAGAGCAAGATAGAAGGAGGGTACACTCCTACAAGAAGTCTCTGTCAGATATCACTACTCTTGCATGCCCTCACTGGCCTCATGTGACATTTATGACCCTTAGGCCAGAATGCTGGATCCTCCTTTAGTTAACAATCCTTTAAGAACACATGGACTCCTATGGGAGAAAAGTAGCTCTTTAGCTTAAAGGCCCCTTCATCTCCCTAAATGAGTTTTGTGCATTCTGGTCTTATACTCCAATTCACTTAGTAGTGATTGGCAGCATGAGTCACATGAGATCAGTGACTCCTGCCCGATTCCTGGTCTTCCTACTGCTAGGATTGAAGATCAGAGTTGTAGTATACCTTTGTTCTTCTGCTAAAGGGTTTGTTCTTTCTAATTTATAATTTATCCTTGCATGGCAGGGCTTGGTAATGAAATAGAAATAAAGTGAGAATGAAACAAATGAAATAGAAGTGAAATCTTGATACTGGTTCTAGCTTCCCATTTGGCACACCAACATTGCATCCACACTAACAGTAAGTTGAAATGTTAAGATATAGTTTGAGATGCCTAATCAATGTAGTATCAACAGCTATGAAATGTAAGTTTCTTAAAATAATTCTTTGCTTTATTAGCATGTAGGGACTTCTCATTGGTTGGTAGTGAAGTCATTTGGAAGTGCAAATTCATTTTCTACATTCGCCTTCACCATAAGCTCGCTGTTGTATTAACATTGGAGTTGTGCACATAGTGTTGCCAAACCAATACCAACAATACAGATAAGGAATTATCAGCACATTCTCAGAAAATTGAAGTGAGATGGTGCCCAACTTTTTAGTGCTTCTCACTTTGATGTCACTGGAATGAATCCCTGATATTTTGAGGCAATCAACATGTTCCTAACAATGGGGGCGATTCATTGCAAAACATGAAGCTGATGGCCTCAAACTATTTACACTGGAGCAAGCAAGAAAGCTTTGGATTCCCTGTTGCAGGAGGAAAGCCCCAGACCACATGATTATTTAACCCTTTGGGGTCTAAGTATTTTGAATGCGCCTGCTTTGCCATCCAAGTTTTTTTCTCTCATTCATTTTTAGGCTAACATGAGATAACTTGGGTGTGGATTCCAAAGGGTTAAGGACAATAAGCTATGCATCAATGCAGTGAATGTTAAAATGCAGGAATAAGTTTTTATCATTGAGTGCAAACTCCCAATCTTACATTGGGTGAATGTCAAGGAAGATTAGATAGAAACTGCTGACTATATCAAAGATACTCATAAGGTGAAGTAAACAGTTTTTCAAGTTGAGAAAGATTTACTTTCTAAGTATCTCAGAATTAGCAAAATAAGTGAACTTGAAACAAGTTGCATAGGGCCAAAGGCTGGCTGTGTCATGAACAGTCCCACTTTTACCAGAAGTTGGCAGTTTCTTGTCTTGACTTGGAAAATCATATCAATGTAAACAAAAAATTTTTCTTTAAATATTTCTCACCTTGTCATAACAAGAATTTGTGAAATACAGAGTTCATTTTTTTTAAATACAGCCATCCTGACCCTCTATCTGAAGTTTGTGTTGGGATTCAGTGAAGACTCTGCTACTGTCATATACCATGTCTTCAATATGTTCTGCTATTTCACCCCACTTCTTGGAGCCATCATTGCAGATTCTCTTCTTGGGAAATTCAGGTGTCTAATTTCTGACAAGCTCTGTGGATCTTTTTGTTAATTTTATGTTTGTTTTTTTCTGAGAGTACCATTACCAGTACCAATTCACCTCAGAATCTGTTAGTGTTTATTCCTTTGTTTCAGGACAATATTCTACCTGTCAGTGATCTATGCTTTTGGAAATGTTGTCATCTCCATTTCTTCTGGACCGATTCAAGGTTTTCCACAAATGTAAGTATCTGGAAAAAAATGCAATCACCATTTATTTGAGAGACCCCTTTCATATACTCACAAAGGTTCTTGTGCAATTCAATTTTATTGAGGCCAATGTATGTATTTCTTTTTCCAGTGAATTCACTATGTTGGGCTTGGCATTGATTGCTTTTGGAACTGGGGGTATCAAACCCTGCGTTTCAGCCTTTGGTGGTGATCAGTTCAAACTTCCAGAACAAGAGAAGCAGCTCCAGCAGTTCTTTTCTCTGTTTTATTTTGCCATCAATGCAGGCTCCTTGATCTCCACTTTTATCACTCCCATGCTGAGGCAGGATGTATCTTGCTTTGGAAATGACTCTTGCTACCCTTTGGCCTTTGGTGTACCAGCTGGATTGATGATAATCTCTCTAGGTGAGTAACTTGCAAGTTTCTCTGAGCAGGTTCTTGTCCTTGAATAGTACTTCATATTCTTCTATAGTACTATTTTGGAAATATTCATCCTTGGTGAAAGCAATGCCATAGTAGCTTAAAGTGAATGGGGCCCATTCTTTTCCTCTGAGTTACTACAGCCCACTTTGCCTAGCATGACAAAGTAATGATGCAAAAATTTTTTTTTTTTTTTAAGTCAATGGCATTGATAGGGAAACTTTACAGTCAAAATATCAGCTTTCTACTGCAGTTGCTTTTCATGATATGTATTTATAACACTTGGAGGTTTGAGCCTAATTTTGTAAAAGCAATTGAACTTGACCAGAACTTCTAGTCATGGACTGATTTTGATGGGTCTAATTTTATAGAAGAGAGGCTCGAAGGTAGCAATTTGTTTTAAGAAAATCATGTTCATAGGTATTTTTCAGATGGAAGTCATCCTGAAAGGAGACATCTTTTTCTAAAGTTCTAATCGATGAACTATTCTATCTCTCCTATTTTCTTGTCCCATATCTATCTATCTGTCTTCAATTAATAAGTCTTTAAATTTCATCTTGGAGTATTCAAGCCTAAAACTAAAAAAATAGTTGCTTTTCAATCTTCATCTTTGTAGACCTAGCACCTGGCCTGACCTATGCAAAATCTATGTCTAAACTAATATAAATCTACAGGGTGTCCCATAAGTCACTATACCATTAACAAAATTCTCATCTACTAAGTAGTTGGCACAAAAAAGAACATTCACTGAATGATAACATGTTATTTAGAATTATCTTTGCAAAGAATGGAGGCATTTCTGAAGTTTGAAAATGCCTCAAAATGCCTTCTGCCTATATCGATACATTTTGCATGAGGTTCACCACAAAAATATTGCCAAAACTCCCTTCGGACTCTGATGGGACTCTCAAAAACCTCCCTTCAGGTAGCACCATCCCTTCCTTGCTCAAGCATCAATTGTAAAGCCTTTTCTCATGACAGCGAAAGTGATTTAAACCAAATTGTTTATTTTGTCTGTTTCTCAGATCTGTCTGGAATTAGGAGAGAGAAGCATGAAGTTTATAAATTTTTGCCAAAGAGGATTTAATAATGTCTACCATAAATTGCCCTTAAGAGGTACACCTTTCTGACATGCTTTTGAAGCATTTTCTGTTTGAGGCTGGTTCCAAGTCATTATTGTGAAAAAAAAATTCTAAAGAACGTTCTTTCAATCAGTGCTGAGAAAAGTGGCCTGGTTGCTACAGTTTCAAAAAATATAGCAGTTTGAAATGGTATAGTGACTTATGAGACACTATGTATTTCTGAATGCTTGTCTGTCAGTTATGCACAGTCACGTCACTGATCCCAGTCTGACCATGGCTTCCTCATTTGGTCTGGGGATGGTCATAGGCTAGGTGGTGTTTCAAAATTCTGACCCCCCCCCAGGGCAGAGCTGGCCCAAGACCAAATGGTGCCCCAGGCGAGGAGTGTCTTTCCCCTCCCCCCCCCCTGTGTCCCAGGTGGTTGCCTGGGTCCCCTGCCCTGGGGTACTGTATTTAGTGCAGACTAATATGGGACCTATACTATGTATTCACCCATGCAATGCCAGGTACCTCTGCTAGTCTAAAATAAATCTGAATTCTACCTGAACACATAAAAAGCAGTCAAGATCTGATTCTCACCCAAACTAAGACCTAGACTCAAGCTAAAATTTCATCTAAAAGGGGAATATTTTTTGGATTGATCTGGCCCAATCTAAAAATATTCATGATGTGTTGATTGAAACTGACTAAAGTCCTCTCTCAGCTAAATGACACATGATTCCTGTAACATTGACTTGAATGGCTATATTGGCAAATAATTTCTTGAAGTTTTAGTTCATGTCACTATGACTAAAACAGATCTTCATGATTCAAACAGCACTGTCACCCAGAGAACATCACTTGAGAGAGTAAAGAAATTAAAAATTATAATCTCTTTGCATTTGTGGCCTTTCACCTGAGAATGGAATTCATGAAATACAGGGTGTCCATAAAGTTACTTCCCTATTTCAAAATGCCCTATCTCCATTATGGAGTGGCCTAGAAACTTCATATTCGGCACAGATGATGTACAGCCAATGGGATTTGTGATAGCCAAGTTTCCAAAATTTTCCAAAAAGTTCACTGCCAGGTGAACTTTTTGGAAAATTGAAAATCACCACCAGGGTGGCACTATACCAGCCAAACACATAGTCCAAAGTTGACACATATACCAATATCCACGTGGATGGCACAACCAAACCTTCAGGTATTTGATGTGGCCACTCCCTGTCACTACCACTGCCTCTGTCCATGTAATAAAGTGGTAGACGACAATGTCAGAATCTGGTGCAGCATGGTGCCACTATGCATTCCTTGAGCTCCATTAAGTTCGCAGGACAGCCACTGTAAACCCCACAGCCAGAAGTCCGCAGGAGTAAGATCCTGTGACCATGGTGACTAGGCCTGTGGGAAAGCCCTGCTGATCACAAGGTCCTGGAACGTACGTTGGAGAAGAGCCTGGACATGTCTCCCAAAGTGTGGAGGGACCTGTGTCTCTGGCCGATACAGCACTGCCCTGGTGGTGATATCCAGAAACTTTTCTGTAAATTTTTGGAAACTTGGCTATCAAAAATCTCATTGGCTGTACATCATCTGTGCCAAATATGAAGTTTCTAGGCTGCTCTGTAATGGAGATAGGTCCTTTTGAAATAGGGAAGTAACTTTATGGACACCCTGTATATCCAAGCTTATCCTTCATTAGAAACAAAATTTTTAACTGAATCTAAAACAATGCAAATGAAGGAACACAATACCTAATTCTTGTGATTACTGATGCCCTGGAGAGGCACACGAAGAAAATTTTAGTGTCCAAAATTCAACCTGAGGAAGATATTATGTAGGAGCTAGATCAGAAGGTTTGACACTGTAGGAGCAGAAGATTTTGGACAATTTTCTCTTTAAATTCTCAGTCTCTTTTGTTTGAAAAGATGGCTTCATATTGAAGCACAGATCTGTCAGAATCCATCATAAATGGCCAGGAAGAATTTGAAGGTCTGAGAAGAATTGATTTCCCATATTCGATAACAGCTATAAAGCTAGGGTCTTTTCTCTATACATTCCATTTTCATGGCTCTCTTCTGCCACACCCTTAGAGCAAACTCCCGTATAAGATGGCTTCTTCAAATGTTTTTGATGACACTTCAGAAGGATATTGTGCACTTGTATTTGCAGTCATTTTCCTGATTGGAAAGTCCATGTACAAAATAATTCCTCCAGAAGGGAACATCATTGTCAGAGTGGTCAGCTGCATATGTGTGAGTTTTACTTTCTTTACATTGGTCATTTGGTCTTTGGAGAGACTCATTCATTCCTCTCATCTGCTTGCAGCATGCCCTAAAAAGAAGAGCTGGACCCAAGACAGAAAAGAAGGAGCACTGGCTTGATTATGCTGATGACAGGTATGAGAGGACTTTAATTGAAGATGTCAAAGTTGTTCTCAATGTGCTGATGCTCTACCTTCCTCTACCAGTTTTTTGGGCTCTGTTTGATCAGCAGGTTTGTAGCTCTTGATTAGTCAGGAAAATTTAAAAGAGTTACAGATGTCATTGTTTATATACATATATGCATTCGTGTTACTTCTAGGGGTCCAGATGGACATTCCAAGCTGCTCGCATGAATGGTCAGTTAGGAAGTTGGACAATAAAACCAGATCAGATGCAAGTGATCAATCCTTTCCTGATTCTGGCCATGATCCCCATGTTTGAGACTGTTGTCTACCCACTCCTCAGTAAATGTCACCTCTTAGAAAAACCACTCCAGCGCATCACTGTTGGAGGATTCTTGGCTGCTTTAGCTTTCATAGTATCTGCTCTGGTCGAATTCCAACTTGAGGTATGTCACTTTTTGCCTGATTCTTTTTCAATTTTGACATGAGAGGTCATTTTCACTGTTAACATTTTAGGCATTCAGTATTTTATGTGGAAGCCTTGATGTGATTGTTTCTGTTTCTTGCCACATTTTTAGTTTTCTTATAGTCTACAGTTATTTCAAGTATAATGAGTAATGCCAAAAGGGACTTTTCCCATGGAGTTGTGGGATTTTATAGGGTAGCAAAAAATTATTTCTCTTTCCAGCACAGATTATAAGACACATGGGTTGTGTATGTGACATTGCTTGAGTTGTGGTCCTCATTGAAGCAGTGATTTTTTTTTCATGAGATTTTTACTGGGTGACAGCAAATAAGACTCATTAGTGCCTAATAGTGTGGGATGTTGCCTTCATCAATAAAGCATGTGTAACAAAGATGCTGCACAGACCTGAAGGTGTAGGGTGCTGAAAAACTTTAACAAATCTGCATCTGAATGCTATGAAAAAAGTTGTGGACATCCTTTTAAGCCATCCAAAGAGTCCAAAGAAAGCATTCCTGCTCAGTATGAAAGCCTGAAATACCAGGTTCAGGGGAAAAATGTACAACTGTTGGGTTTTTCATGAAAACTGGTGAAACCTGTAGTCATGTATATTCCAAATCTTTCCTATGGTGGTGTAGCCTCAAAACCACTTTGGAATTTTAATGTAAAATATTTGAAAAAAAAATCAAGAGTTTAAGGAGACTCACTGAAATAAATTAATGATGACATGTCCTTGTGCCTGGATGAGAGCAGTGAACTGTCTTTCCCATTGGAGGATTGCAATTTGAATTCATTTAGAGAACACACTTATTGCTGCTCTGTCTGCCTTAGACAACACCGTGATGCTACCGAGGGGCAAGGATTTCAAGATATTTCAATTTTTTAAGTGCAATGGTGGCTATACCAGGTTGGAGAAAATTCTGAAATAATTTATACTGAAGACAAGATAACTAAGAATGACCAATTCCCTGGTATGAAATTTTGAAAAAATTGTTATCCCCACACGTAATATGATAGATGCTAATTCATAATATTCAATATCATCCAGTAAAAATCCTATGACCAGTGAATTGTCATGCACCATTAGGATCACAACTCTGAACTGGAATACCATATGTGTCTCGTTGTCTGGACTATGAAAGGAGGGGAGGTGTAGAGGCCAGAGAATTATTTCCTGTAATCCAATAGAAATGTCAAAATGACAAAAAGGTGTACCCTCTCCATGATTAATTGAAGTGTTAAAAGGCACTCTCATTGCTTTTTAAGTGTTAACTGGTTCTTCTTTTCTTGGCAGAAAACCAACCCAGTATTCCCAAGGCCAGGTCTTTCAAGGTTGAATGTGATCAATGGCATTGATTGCCCCATTGAAATGCTGAACACTGGTGGTGCAGAGTCACTTGTTGCTGTAGAACCTCTTAGGATGAAGACTTTTGAAATTCCAGCTGGAATATATGACATTGGTCTCTTGGTCAACATGAGCTATTGCACTGGCCCATACAAACCCAATGGACCTAGTGTCCCTAACCAATTCCCACTTGAGGCTCAGTCAGAGAAGGTTTGTATCTTCCATTCTCTAGGCATAAGAGAGTCTATTGAAAAAAGTTGATAAAAAGATTTCCAGCAAACTTTATATCAGTTGCAGATTGGTAGGCATGAGGGGCGAAATGCTATGCACTTCTTTCAAAATGAATATTTTCTGCAAATTTTTTCATATCATATGCCATCCTGTTGCACCACATTCCAGGGCTGCCTAAAATGTCCTCAGCATTTGCCATTTATGGAAATCCTGAGTTTTATTTCTAAAGGCTGCTTAGGAGTTGAAAACCTCTGACTTTTTTAGAATAATTGAAAACATGATACAATGTAGGAAGAAAAAAAAACTAGATGGATATTTTTAAGGATTAGGATTTGTAGGCAAGTGATTCAGTGATTAAAATTGTGTAGACTGTTTCTTTCTGGAAAAGCCAGTAATCAAATCTAGATTACTTAGATTTTATTTGGAATCTTTTGGTTCTTGATCAGAAGTTTAAGTTCTTGAAGCAGGAACTATGTTCAATTGGCATTATATATCCATTGATTTAATGATCTATCATTAATCTTCCTCTATGTAAAATCATTTGCCAGAGAAATGCATTTAGGTTAGACTATCGAATGGTTTGATCTATCTGAATTCAGATTCACAGCTATTTTCTTGGGTCTGTTCCTATTATACAGTTTTGCATTTGACACTGATGAAATTCCCAGTACTTAATAGCAATACAGAGGGGCAACATCAGTATTCAAGACTCTGGGTTCAAGTTGCAATTCAGGCCTTACATAATCAAATGGTGTCTCACCCATCACTGTATTTTAACCCTTTGATGGATGTGTTTTTAAGGCATAGCCTGCGCTGCCAGGTTGGGTTTTTTTCAAAAGTGCAACATTTGGAGGTACAAAACAATTTGTAGCAAATGTTAACCATTTTTGGAGTGGTCTGGAACATTTTGCTACTTGTGCATGCCTATATGCAGCAGGTATAGAACTTATTTGGAATGCCTTACATGTGCATGTGTGTACGTTTATATGCATGTACTTAAGCTCAGGCTTATGCAACAAATACTTCTGGTTCTCTGTGCACTATGTGTTTAAGAATGTGCCCTTGGATGCATCTTTTATGCTGTTTGCCTTGTCAGCACTGTGTTATCTTCAGAATATCTATGTGCACATGGAAAATTTGAGTCATGGAGGGGACACAGACATTGTACAAGTCAGGAGTATCCTAAGTTTATATATTATCTAAAAGAAAAACTAATTTAGATTCATGAAATAGGTGACAAACTGGAGTCCATTGTCATTGATGCCACCATTCTATTGTGGTGCTGACAGAAATTGCAAGCCTCTACCACATAACCCATTGTGCAGGATGGGCCAAAAATAAATTCACAGTTTTTCATTGATTGCTACTATATATATACTGTACTGAGAAGTACTCATGCAACTTAAAAGACCGTTAGTGTCTCTCATCCATGATCTATTGCACTTCAAAAAAATAGGGCAAATAATTATGACACAATGATTATTTTCATGGCATGGGGTTAGAAAGAAATTATGTGAACAGGAATGCATTAATATGCTTGGGCAAACATCCTTTTTTCTTTCTTTTTTTCCAGGAAGAGATGCCTGAAAGCTTTGAGGGCAACAATCCTAAGTAAAGTTAGGATTGAAATTATCTTTAGTGATCAAACATGATCTTAAATCTATCCACTTTTAATTCTACAAGGTGTCCCAAAGTAAATGTGTGCCATTCAAGCATCATTCAATGAAAATCCACAAAAATTGGCATACATTTGGATTTTGACATAAAATTTCAGTTTGGAAAGTTTCATTATTCTCAGTCAAAGCTGAATCAATTTGTTAGCAGTTTATCAAGATCACAGTTTTCAAGCCAGAAGGTGAAGCCCGTTTGAGTCATGGTTCTCTCGTGAATTCTTTTGACAGTTTAAGTAGTGTGAGTGAAAAATGAATTTAAAATGTCGTATTCTACATTTGAAAAGGTTAATTCTGTTTGCTCATATGACAGTTTCAAGAGTCCTGTTCTGGTTCAGAGAAAATTTATCCAATAATTTAGTGTGGAAAAACCAGCACTGGACAAAAAACTCAACAAGGAATGGCACTCAAAGTTTCTTCAAACAGGCCAGATTCATCCAGGAAAACTAGGTCCGAAAGCTAAAAGGGTCAGTCTGAGGAGAATGTGGCACAGGTGCAGGAACTGCTTGAGAGAGCTTCCAGGACCTCAATCACAATCAGTTGCACAAGGATCTGAATTCATGCCAGATGACCATCGAAGCAACCTGCGCTTCCCTGACTCCCGATGTTTTCCAAAAAAGTTTGCTTTGTTTCAGGGAAAGGGTGAATCTGATCGTTGGTGGTGAGCACATTGAGAGCTCTTAATCAATTCAGAGTTGATAAAATAATTTGATGGTTTGGTAAGTAAAATTTGATGATATTCCCTGCATACATGCCAGTTTTTTTTTAATTTCATCTAACAATGCTTAAATGGTGCATGTCTGCTTTTGGGACTTTAATTTTGGGACACCCTGTACAACCATTGTCTACCTAGCCTGCTGCTTTTCAAAGGATGTCTATCCTAGCACAGAGGTTCAGCAACCCTCTGGAGGCTTGGAGGTGAAATGCAATTCCAAAAAGTGTAGGAACTACTGGTGCTAGCATGTGAAAGAAAAGAAAATTAATGCAAAGTGACCTGACATTACAGAAGTTTATTATTATTATTTATTACTATTTGTCATATTTCCTTGAAATAAAATGCATTCAGTCAAGGAAAAGCAGTATTATATATCCTCCAAATTTTATGAGTACTTTTCGTAAATGCAGGTGTAGTTATCAAATGAAAAAGGGTGAACTTTTTTTTGGCTCACCTTGTAAGTCTGTTTCATCTGGAGGCTTGCATGAATATACTTCTGATTGTTGGTGACGTAGCAAACGAAATCCATGAAGATCCACTCCTCTGTGGCTGTACCTGTGATTCTAGTCTATCTTTTTTCCCCATTCACAAATTTTCTTATGTTCTCTAGCAGCTATTTACTGTTTAGGTTTCTACTATTTTGGTGACTCTGAATTCTGACTACCAAGAATTGGCAAAGCAACTTTACCCATCAGATGATATACGCAAGTCAGGTGCTGGGAATATCAAAGTCAGGTTGGGAAATTCTTCTCTTTCTTCGGTTTGTCATTATAATTGTAATGAAGGATGCTATGGTGTGATGCTTGGATCTTTCTTCAGATTGGTACACAGCTTGTTTGGTGGAAGTCCCTTCAACGGAACCGTGAAACTCGTATCACCTCATGGCCATCTTGGTGCTGCTTTCCCTGTCAACATTGGAATAGGAGCGGCTGCTTTTCAAGAATTGGAAGCTGCTAATGCTGAGTCTGTGTAGTTTATTCTCCTTTCCATGGTGCTACCTATATGGTTGGGCAATGGAGATGGGATATAAGCTAAATTATTGCAGTGAAAGAAAAATTATGAGTTTCTGTAGGAATATGCCCAAACCAGAATTAGAAGCATGATTCATATTGTTAAGGGTGACTTTTTTTTTAATCACATGATTCCCCATTCTTTCTTGGAAATGCCAATAGCTTAAAAGGTAACCTCCCTTGTGTTCCAGTTTAATGAAAAGCCACATTGATGTACATCAGGTAAATCAAGCAAAAAACCAGGCAAGGCATAAGTAACACACCACAATTGGAAATTCTTTGGTGTTTTAAAGACAGCAGTTAGCAAGGATTTTTTGCACTAACTCCTGCATATCTGCAAACATCCTAAAAATTAAGTCCATTATTCTCATTTTTCAACATGAGCAATTATTTTTTTTAAAAAAGCAACTCAAATGTTATTTTTCTGCTGTCATTGTGACATGGACCTTAGCACCTATGGCACTGGCTAAAAATGAGAAGAAAGAGTGGAAAAAAGCTTTCTTCCCTCCGCACTTCAAAATCCATTGAGCTGGTCTATGACCACCCTATGCATTCAAGAGTATGATTTTTCTGAAAGAGTAAAATTTGAGTTTGCATTTATGTGGAGATGGACATTGTTTCTGCATATTATATTTTTTATTTTCCAGGGATGTCCCAGCTGCAAATTGCCAGAGCGTAAAAAAGTGAATGATTTTGCTCAGTCAGTAAAACAAAGAGTTAGCAATTTTCACTCCCTAAAAATAAGAGAATAAAATTCCTAAATATTGTCTCACCTTTTCCAAAGCATGAAGTAAATAAAAGTTCTTTTCAAACTTGAAAAGAGTTGTTAGTGACTTTACTGACTGAGCAAAATCACTCACTTTTTTAAGAGTGTGCCTCTGACAATTTGCAGCTGGGACATCCCTGGAAAAGAAAAAACATCGTCAAAAACCATGTCTACCTCCACATAAATGTAACTTTCTTCAGTTTACACTAATTTTAGTCCACTGCTTGTTCCCTTCCTCCTCAGTAAACCAGTTTCTTGCAACTTGTAAATCAATCCTTAAGTGAAAGAAATGTATATTTTTTTACCAGGAATTTACTGCAAAAAGTGAGCAAGACACACAATGTGTATGCTTCCTAGCTAAACCTTTTTCTTTTTGCCAAGAAATTATAGTTGCTTTTCTAATACTGTTCATGTGATAAAACAACTGGAGAGAAATGAGTAAGTGTTTTAGGATGCTTAGGGGACTGGTAGCCATCATGATAAACAAAAACTTTCCCATGCCGTCTGCTGTTTTATGAACACTAATGAATTTCTGAATTCAACAAAGAACCAGTATGCTATTTATGCCTCACCCAGTATTTTACTCAACCAAGGTTCATCAGCTGGCAAGAGTTCACTCAAGGCAAAGAAGAAAGGGCTCAGAAAGGAAAACAAGATCCAGGAAAACCTCATTAAATCAATATTGGAGAGTTCGAAGTATTGAGTACTTGGAAGTCATCAGCAGTTCCTATCCTAGAGGATGACAACCTGTATGCTTTCTAATATGGATCAATTGAGAAACAGCTATTTTGAAATTTGAAGGCATTTTCTGGTTGCATGAGCTATAATCTCATTGAAACATGTTTGTTTACTTTGAATGGCACTACCTCCTATCACCAACACTCTCCCAAATCATGCATTCCAATTGAATGCAAGGCCAGCTAATTGCCTTCTTGGAAACTTCTCATTGTCATTCAGAAGAATTCTAAACACAGACTAATACCCCCTTTCACTAACCTCCTCTTGCCAACTTGTCACATGATCTTCAGTCTGCAAACCTTGCCTAGTCAATGTATAGTTTTTTTATTTACCTTCAGTACTGTAAGTATAAAGCAGGGATGAATGTGCCATGGTGAACAAGAGAAAGTACACTCATATTGGATAATTTGAACCCATTTATTTTGAAGTAGGCACATTTTGGTCTCATGAATTTTGAATTAATGAGATTGTCCTGTATAGCAGACATTCCTACCATCACATTCATGTATGTCATGTGCACCTTTACCTTTACCTTAGCACAAAAATTTTGCTAAAGTATGCCAATTTGAGTATGTGGAAAATCTCATTCGTTTAATAGAATGAATACTTCAAGTGTTTATTACAAGAAATGGCATTGGAATAGAAAAAAGAAGTCAATACTTGTAATAATAGGCGTATTAATGGATAAATTGAAATTGTACATTTACTAGAAGAAAAAAAAAAAACATTTTAAATATTGCAGGAGTCTAAAAGAAATCTCTAATTCCCTTTCCATCATCAATTCCTGATGATAACCTGCATTTTGAAATGGAAGTAGAACATTTCCATCTTGAATGTACTGTAGATACCAAGTTGTGTTGGAGTATGGAAAAGAAAATATTACCAAGGAACTTGGCTCATTCCAAGGCCAAGCAGGAGGAGTATACAGCATCCTCATCCATGGCAACATGGCCTCCACCCCTGTAAGTGTCCATCAAGTGACTTATTTATTTCTCAGTCATGTCATCATAACTGTGGTATGTCCAAAGTTCATTGACACCAGTTTATTTTATTGAGAAACTCAAAGGTCATTGCAGGTTTCATATTTATGTTGCAGTTGATGGAATCCTTTGTCATGACACCCCCAAACACCATTCATATGACCTGGCAGATCCCTCAGTACTTTCTTATCACGTGTGGAGAAGTGATGTTCTCCATCACTGGACTGGAATTTTCTTTCACTCAGGTACAGTATTCAATTACATACAGATTATATTTCACATCAATAGCAATTCAATTAAGGTAGAGGTGAAGTGACTAGAAAAAGTAGGATTGCAAAGTTTTGGGCTAGAAAGGCCAGTATGAAGGGAAAATTAAACTCTTGTACCTATTTATTTTCTTCAAAAATTTTCCAGGGTAAACAATTTTTTTGTATGTCTTTATTGAATATATTAATGATATTATAGTACTAAATCCTCTTCCTCACAATTTCATTTAGCCCAGTACCAAGAAAAAATATTTTCATTGGCCTGCTGAAGGGTTTTCCATGCATGGAAGTTTTTGAAGGACTGGCTGGGTTTATAATTTGCATGCAGACTAACATGTCTTCTGGGTATATCTGTCTGTGCTTCTGGAAAGGCTCCACAATCAATGAAGGCTGTGGTGCAGTCAGCTTGGCTCTTGACAGTGGGCTTTGGGAATTTGATCGTTGTCCTCGTGGCTGAATCCCGATTGTTTCAGCGACAGGTAGGAGTCTTCAGCTACGATACTTAGTATGGATTAAGGTTTTTTATTTAGTTTCATGTAATATGTAACAAGTACAGTTGCCTAAATAAAAGATTTTGAAGTTTTGCACTCTGCAACATGAGGGAAGGAAAGTTTCCTTCCTTTTATTGTTGTGATATGATTGTAGGTCTTCATCATCATGCTCTTCCATTCTTCCAGGCACTGGAATTCATGTTTTTTGCTCTCTTCCTTGCCATCGACATGATGATATTTCATGCTGTTGCTGTGAAGTACCAGGAACGAACCACTTCAGAAAGCCACCCTCTCCTCTCACCCAGTACTAATGAAACTCCTCAATATGATGGTTCCCCAATGTGATCAAGACTGATAAAAGTTTATATTGGGACTGTCTAGTGCTGTCATTCACTGAATGAGTTTGAATGACAAGGTTCTGAATGCCTCAGCAGGCTCAGCTTACTCTCATGTTTCAATACTCACATCTTTTGCAATGCTTCAAGACATCTTTGATGTGAGGGCTTTTGCACAATTGCATGGATGTTGTGCTCTTTAAAAATCTTCTTCCCCCTTTGCTGGTACTTGGGACCTTCAAGGAAATGTTTTGTATGTTGTTATTGGCATTGTCAAGTATTTCTCTGGTTGCTTCCTCTGCATGGAACTTCAAAACTCACTAATCCTTCTCTAACCTCTGGGATTCTCATATCAAGTGAGTTATTTTCAGCTGTGCCTTAGGAATTCATAATTCTTCCTGTATTCTATATATGTAATGCAGTAAACTGTAGGGGAGAGGGACACATGAGATGGGGGGGAAAATCGATGTAAAATACTCACTGGTCTGGCAGAAAGCTTTCATTTCTCAAATTGATGTGTCATTAATGCTCAGCCACATAATATATTCTAATGCTGAATTTCATGTTATGCAAATGAGCCAAAAAAAAGTTATTAGCATCCAATTTTGAACCACCCAAGTGAACAAATGAAACAAAATTAGGAAGGTGGCAAGACAATTTTATTTTGGATGGAAATTGTCAAACATCCAAATTTGCACACCTATTTCTAAGAAATGGTATCCAGCCTGACACTTGCCTTGCCTGCTGATGTCAAAGTTCTCACATTCTGGATTGATAATGAATGCAGCTCTTACACTAGAGTCCCTCAAATCACAGCTTTCTTCAGAGCCTGCTCATCAAAGTCACCTTTTTCACACTATTTTCAGTTCATTACCCAACAAGATAGTGTTTTGTTGTTTACTATGACCTTGCCTCAATGTATACAAAGTTTAAAAATATAAGAAAAGTGGCCAGCATGGCCATACATTGCATGAAGTTTTGAAATGAAAAAAACCAAATTGAAGCACAAGTCCCTTATTTAATATTGTTATGGATAGAATCATATGTGTTTCCTGATGGGCTATAAATCCACATAAACAAAATCACATTATATTTACTTTTAAACCATGAAAATCCAGATTGCTAGCTTATTGAGCAGATTTGCCAGACTTTAAGCAGAATATACCTGCTGATATCATTACAGGGATTATAATTTTATGCATATTGTGTACCACTCGCTACACTTGTACCCTTTCATTTCTCCATGCAGAGTCCCAATAGCATGAAGTCGGTTCTACAAGCAGCTTGGCTCTTATGTGTGGCTGGTGGGAATCTCATCGTTGTCATTGTGTCTGGAGCTCATTTAATAGAGAGACAAGTGAGTCCTGATGCCCTTTTTTCTCAAATTTAATTTTGATATGTTCTATTATTCTTTGTCATATTCCCCAGGGGATGGAGTACCTCCTTTTTGCAGGCCTCATGATCTTGGACATGCTTGTTTTCATGGTGCTGGCTGTAAGATACAAATCAAGAACTGTAGAGTCATGTCCTGCTGTGCATTGTGTGAAAAATTCACATGAAACTGCTGACACCCACCTGTGATTCAATTCCTTAATCTGTGAACTTGTTTGTTACCAGTACCATTTAGAATCAAGTGTGAACTGTGTATCCATCTATGCTTGACTACATTCTTTGCTGAAGGTGTCTCAGGGCTTTTAACTGTGCTTCCCCTTAATTTTATTCCATGTCTTTCTTCCTTTTGATGTATTTTCTGACATGTATATTGCAAGATGTTTGGATTGGGGACAAGGTGTTAGCTACAATAGAATATCGAAATCTTCAACATTGTAACTGAATTTATGTCGAAAAATAGTGAAATTGTAGCAGTTCTTAATTTCTGAACTTCAGTTGTGAGTCCTTGAAGTTAAACATAGTCTCTCCCCCAAGATTGGACTGATATATAAACTTTTTAGAATTTTTATGTCAACTGCATGAAGAAGGGCCTGGAATGGTTTTCCAGATTGATGTAAGGGAAATTAATATTCAAAGAAGTCGTGTTAATTTTAGCTGCCTTGAGAAAAGCTCCCTTTTTGTATTGTTACCCTCTGACTGTATTCTCCATTGGTACAGTTACAGAAGCTTGGGTCATGGCAAATAAGTTGTAATGAATCAGCTTTTTGCACTTTATGACTAAAGTGAAGGTCATCACTGCCCCTTTTGCATTCTGCTACTAAATCATTTAACTGTGAATTTTGAGCTTTGCAAGACGTCGATGTGAAAATCAGTTGTGACCAGTGCATTGGGAATCTTTGGGAAACCAGCTCTTACTTCCACTAAGTCATTATCATAAGGAATCTACCATGGAAGACTGGATTTCTTTGGTTTCGTTGTCAAATGACAATCCATTCATTGTTTCCTAGAAATTTCCTTTTTGAACTTGAGGACATTGAACTTTTTTTTGAAAAGACTGGCCTCCCCCCTGTGAGCTCTAACTGGCCAAAATTGAGTTATTACCCTCTTCCATCTTTATGCAAGTATCCATGTCCCCATGTTCCAAAGGCAGAAAGCATTTTGTGCTGCACCTCATTTCTAAAGCAGTCAAATCCACCTGAGTCTCAATACACCATACAACAGACTTTCCCAGGCCTAAGGGTCACAACCCACTCGGGTTGACATGGGGTTTTGGTTTGTCACCAAGGGCTGAGAGCACAAGAAACACGTGTTTAGATTTTTCATCTTGTGTTTTTGCACTGTTCTTTCCAATTGGCCTATGACCTTCCTTGTGAGTTACTCAGTCAAAAAGTTTTGGAGCCACTGGTATACAGTAAGTAGTTGAAAAGTCTTTGGTTGAGTTTTGGTAATACAATGTTGTGATGATATTCCCTGAAGTGGAAGTTTGGAATTCCAGCATTGAACATTGCATTCCTCTCTTGCTGATAATTTTGCTGCAGGGATTATGAAAGATGGACCATGTGGAATGTTGTATCAATAGCATTTGTTGAATTTTGTGCTTTATGCTTATTTATATACAGTAGGCGAAAATTTATTGTGGTGTTGGCTGTTGAAATCTCTTGAATTATTGTGATTCCATATTTTGACTTTCAAGAATTTAATGCAGCTTCATATTTTTTTATGAAATACAATGACTGGCTTGTGTTATGGAGCACTATCATTTAATCTGAGTTTCAATAAGGCTTGGTAGCAGCGATACAATTCCACTCGGACCGTTTCAATCCAAACTACCTTCGGGCTGCATGAGGGGATTTCAGTAATTGTAGTAGACACCTGCTCCTGTGAAGTCTACACAAGGGGGAGGTGGTGTCAGTTTCCACGAGGAAAACTCTATCCGTGTCTTGAATTTACCCTTGCCTTTGTTCAACCCTTCCGTGATTTCTATGCAGTTTCGGGTATGGTTAAAGTGGTTGACACCGACGCGTACAGCGAGGATTGAGACAAGGAACATTTTACTTTTGCCTTAACGTCGCCTGCGAAGGCGAAAAAAAGAACCACCATCACTGGCAGTCCTCTTGACAGGTGGTGCCTTTTCCATGCGATTAGATGCTCCGCTGTCATCGCTATTCCGTCGGCTGGCGGGCTTGGAAGGGACAGGGAGCATGCTGCGCCTACGCTTCGCCGCTGTCTCTTCTTGCTTACCCCCTTTATCGGTACCTTGAGCTTGAGAGGATGACGGGAAGAGCGCATGTCCTCCTCCTCGATCTTTCGATCCTATGCAGGATGGGAGTGTCATATTCAAGTATGCATGAGCCCCTGATCGACCTGTGTGCACACACTGCATGTACATGAAGAGAGCATGATAATGAAAACTGCTTTCTCACCCCTTCCTCGCGGGTGATTCTTGCATGGATCATCTCCCATCAAATGCTTTTTCCAGCCGGTCTCCCATGGCGGGATATTTTCGTGGCATAGTGGGCAGTGGTTGCCTTGCGATTCCGGTGGAGCCACTGGGATCGAGCAGAAGAATTAATCCATACGCTTTGTCTGAATGACTTCCGTCTACTAGATTGCTTCGTCGGACTTACCTGGATGTGGTTTCGTTTTTATATGATCGTCATACTCAGACCTCAAGATGGCTTCTCCGCAAGTTTTGCATCTCCGATACTTCCTGGACGAGGCGCATTCGCCTGTCGGGGAAGCGAATATGCCGGCAACTTCATACTCTGTCGAATACATGAACCAAATGGGCAGAGAAAGGAACGTTTACCTAGGAGATGTTCAGTGAGTGTCTGAACTTCTACTACTTGCTTGCAGTCGGGACAGAGCATCAACATGGGACAAGACTTCCAATAGTGCATTTCGAGCCCTCCGTTCCTGAACGCGGGGTTCACTTCATCGCAAAAGACGCAAGTCCTGTGGAGTGGGATGCGATTCCGTATCCCGTGTCGTCATAAGGCAGGATATTGACGTTGAGATAAATTTATTCTGTAACGAGTGTCGGTGGGAGTTCTTACGATTCATCGTCGTCTCGGGGTGCCGTCGTGATAAGGCTCGCTCTCCGACTGATGAGCCCATTTGATATCAAGCTGTGCCTCTTGCCTGGAACTCCCAAGTTTTTCCCGTACTCTTCCTCCGTTTGCTAATTGAAAGACACCGAACTTCATATCTTAGACTTCTGTCTGCACCTGAAATTTATTCCATTCAATGGAGACTTCAACCAAGCCTACACGCAGCATAAGCTCTTGAATCAGAGTACAAACTGATTCATACCATTCTGACGCCGACTCAGTCATGGAGAACGTGATAAGCAGACACCGCTTATTGTGATCGCTGGTTAATGCTATCAGCCGGATATTGTGATCAAATCTCGAAAACCGAAACAAAATCCTATTTTTCAAGTATTTTTCTCTCATGTGTAAGATAATCGCTGTCGCCGGATATTGCCATCAAGTATAGTCCGACAACTCCATCTCAGCGTTTACAGAATCGCTCGGAAGAGAGGGAAAAAGTGGGGAATCTCTTCTTGGGGTTCAGAAGACGATTATACTCTGGGCTGTAGAAGATCCGGGAACAGCCATGACTGGTAATAAAATCTGTACGACAGCCTGGGGGCTAAAATCGACGACCCGCACCCAAACGACACTTGGACGACTACGAGGGGCGTCAGAAAAGATCTAAGCCCTGAAGCACTTCCCGTTGCAATACGCCATTCTTACTTTTTAATGAGAAGACTGATGTCTCTGATGGTGACTGGCAAATTTTCAACTCATTAGTCGATTAAATATAGCTTCGATGAATTTTTTCCCATGTGCTACCAAAGGGTCTGCTAGAAGGGGAATTAAAACTGAGACGAATCTTTTCGATCTTTTCGAATCGACGATCTTTCAGCAGATCTCTCAGTAGCTGAGAGGATAGATTCCTAGTGACCCTTCTCTGTCAGATCAGCTGGAAAATCGACTCCTCGGAGATTAGAAAAATCATTCGCGGCATTCGTCTCGGTTTTAATTCCCCTTCTAGCAGACCCTTTGGTAGCACATGGGAAAAAATTCATCGAAGCTATATTTAATCGACGAATGAGTTGAAAACTTGCATCAAAGACATCAGTCTTCTCATTTAAAAAAAAGTAAGAACGGTGTATTGCAACTGGAAGTGCCTCAGGGCTTAGTACTTCTCTGACACCCCTCGTACTTCCTCCAAAATAAAGGCAATTTGGCAATAAAGTATAGCATTTCGAATTTTCATCGATCGTCGCTTATTATGAGTCGCTTAATGTCATCATATCCTTGCACCAAAGTCATCATAATAACCGGCGCCTACTGTATATGGAAAGTCCGTGCTTAGTTTATTATATTGGCACCCCCTGTACATACCGTTCCCGGTAGGGTCTCTAAAGTGTGCTGTTGTGATCCAAGAAACCAAAATTCAATGCAACACACATTTTTTATTGCTTTTCTTCAACATAAGCTTTAAATCCAGGAATGTACTCATTTGGAACTGCGAATGAAGCAGACCTTTCATGATCGCCCGCTCCCCAAGGTCCTCGGAAAATTTTCAAATGAATAACATCTTTCCGGAATGCCAAGTCTATGAAAACGGGCACTAAAGCGATTGCGAGGTACATTATGGCCGAGGCTAGCGGTTTGACAGCTGGGCGTGGATGACGTCAACTCACATGACGTACTTCTACCCGACGAAGATTGCGGCACCCGTGAGCGCCGCGCAGGATTACTTATCAGTAGAGTCTTTTTGGCTAACAATTGCCGATGCCGAACGCGAACGCCTACGCTTTCGGGATCTCCCAAGGACTGGCCTCCGTAAACGTCCTCAACCCCAGGGAACGTCGCGTGAGTGGACCGCCCGATCTGAGCCCCGAGAAAAAAAAAGCAATTGCGGTCGAGCAAGGAAGATTGCCACCTTCAGTTGCTGCAATGAGAGCCGGCAGTCGACATATATTAATAGTTCCATCGATGCGAATTTTCATTGGGATCGAGGACGTTTGCAGACGGCCAGTCCTTGGAAGATCCTGCAGGTGTTCACGCACACCGACAAGAGTCACACAGGAGCACGTAGTTCGTTCTGGTAGGTCATCCTCCGCCCGATGCATCGCATGTAGATGAATCATTTTTTGCTTTTTGAGGCCTTCCGAGAAAAATTCCAACACCGCTCGCTGCTCCACTTTTGTGTCCATATCTCTAGCTGTTAGCTTGATTGATGAGGAATCCCAAACGTCGCTGACGGGTGCCACAATCTTCGTTCGATGCGAGTACGTTATCTGCAGGGACGTATTTCACGCCCGGTTGTGAAACCGTCATTGCAGCCGTACCAACCTCGGCCCAGGACCTCGGCCGAAAAGCAGTTTCGTCCCCCCCCCACACACACACACCTACACACGCACGCGTGCACGTAAAAATCAATACTGATTAATACTGTTACTTTGAAGATATCGCTCTGCTCGGCATCGTCACCCAGAACGAGAGAACGAAACCATTGCCCACTTTACGGAAGCATCGTATTTCATCAGTGAATTCAGGGTTTGGATTGATCGCATAAATACTGGCGTCACCGCATTTTGGATTCAACATCCACTATATTTTTTTACTCTAATTTTGGTCGTATTAATGCGCTCCGTATCGAGCCGATCAATTGTTTCCATATCTGTGCACTACGTTATACATACGTGGCCCCACGACTCGTTCAAATTCAAGGTCAAGGATGCGCAAGGAATTTGTCAATACTGCTGCAGTCTGTCGAACCTGTCTCAAGACAAAGAGATCGGAAGATTTTTGAGGCGAAGTCTTGGTGACAGGACAGTCACGATCGGTTCCTATTCTATTCCCAATACGGTCGATATCTCTCCCTCGTGATAGATGCTTCGAACAGCGGCTATTTGAAAATAGCAGGTAATATTCTGCCTATCAGTCGGTGATACTCCCTCGGCCCCCTCAAGTATTGATGCGATAATCTAGATTGTTCTCCGGCCAACTACCAATTGCGGGAGAGGCCGAAAAGAGTCTATTCCCAATGTATTTTGAAAAGGATCCGGCCTGAAACATTCAGCACGAGACGAGAGAGAGGCATCATTTCTGCGGTGCTAGCGAACGGTCCCATCTGCCTGCATAGCATTATTTGTTCGGCTTGGGTCGGGTTTCATGAAAGGTCTAATCGACAAGAAAGAGGCTAGAAGACAGAGGACTCCATGCGGTGACGGCAGCATCCGGTCTATACCTTTCCATCGATGCGGTCGAACTCTTCGAAGAGGTTCCGGTAAGTCTTGTTCCGACGAGACTTCTCGTCGTCGGTCGGCAAGTACTTGCGGACCAGCCTCGGATTGTCTTTGTAGAGGTGGATGTAGATCTTCTCCGCCTCCCGACGGACTCCGTCTGCCGGGTTGTTGATGGCCGAGGAGGCGAACGACATCAGTTCTCCGCTCGACATCCCACTGCGACGACACACAAATGGAGTATTGACTGGCTTTACGAGCATATCGATCTCTGGTTACCCCACCCCGCCTCAGATGAGGAGGGAAACACGACTCGCGAGTCACGTTTTACTGCAGGCCTCACCTGTCCTTGGCTTTCAGGATCCCTAATCTCTCCAAAAGCCGGTTGACCATCTGCGCCCGACATTGGGCTTGCTGCACTTGGACCTGTTCGGGTGAAACACAGTGTGAGACTCCAAATAGGAGGGAGAAATTGCTATAGCCTGACGAGACCATTCCTTCGTTCCTCGTACCGAGCCTTTAAAAGGAGTAGTGAGGGTTTTCGTCGTGACATGAGAATCGAGCATTTTTTCTTGAACGGCCATGTTAAGGATGGCTTCCTCAGATAACGTCTGCTGCCTGGATGCTGCCACGCTTCCCGTCTTGCTCAGCAGCAACGGCAGAAGCTTCTCTGATGCCGAAGAGACGTCGTACTTCTTCAACGCCCCTCTGCGGAAAAGCGATCGTGCTTTCCTTTCCAAACAACTCTGTTATCTCTAGAAATTCGGAGACGGTCATACTTGTTTTCGTTGAGGAATTTTCCGAAAATTATGTTGACGATGTCGACGGAGAGGAAAAATATCCCCGTAACGCTGTCTCTTAGTCCTTTCTCCAACAAAGCCGTTGTGCCTCTCAGGACCTTCGAAGGACTCGGTCCGTCTTTGCTTCGCCGATAATGCTCCAGGAATTTTTTCACCTCCTTATAGCCCCTTTCTTTCTCCTGGAAAGCCTTATTATAAGCTCGTTCGACCTGGATGAGGGGGAGGGAACAAAAAGGTCAGGAGGCAAGGAACTCCTCTGTAATAAAATTTAATATCGTGCGACTTTGCATCTTCCCCCTCACCGTCTTGAGACCGAAGACTCGTATGGCGACCTCGGCTTCCTTTTTGTCTTTCTCCGATAGCTTTGACGCAGCAAGATTCGCGGTTTCCGCTCTGCCATTCACAGGGATGGTTTCCTTTCTTCTGAATATGGCCAATCCCCTTCTGCATGAGACCGATGTGTACAGTATAGAAAGGGGACATGGAAATGAAGCACAACGGGAATCGGACTGATTTCGTTAGAAAGAAAAGGTTCAATTTTGGCTTCAGTGAATATCATACTTTTTGACGGCAGCCACTGGTTTGTTGTCGTAGGCAGCATATGGATTCCCTTCGTAGTATGGAGCATCTTCTTCGTCAGGGACTGATTCCAAGGGAGACTGGGGCGTTTCCACCTCGGATTCTAGTTCAAGATCTGGCTCTGGTTCCTTCATAGGTTTTGGTATCGGTTCCACCACAGGTTCAGGTTCAGGTTCCGGTTCCGGTTCTGGCTCTGTTTGTGGCTCAGGCTCGGGGTACGGATCTGGAGGTCGAGGAGGAGTGGGTGGAGGAGGAGTGGGTGGAGGAGGAGTGGGCGGAGGCGTGGTCTGTGTAGCAAACGTCGCCATCTGACGGATGCGTGGCTCTGCCTTCGCTTTCTCTGGTTCCTTCACCTCTTCTTCCTGCGGGGATTCTGGTTTGGACTTCACTCGAGGCGGGGTCGGCAATTCCTTCAGCACCTCGGGTTCGTCGTTCTTCGCTATCGGCTACAAGAATAATATCATGTGATTGTGGTTTTCGTTGCTCGTACTTGTTCTCATCAGAAGGAATTCTTTTCAGGATTCCTGCCTTTCAGGAGGTGAGCGAGTGTATAATGACTTTTCTTGTGACTCGTGATTGAAGGAAGGAAACACATTTCATTTTGCAAAATTAACTTTTATTTGGAAACAGAACGAAGCGCTTTAGTGAGCAAAGGCGTTTTCATGCAAGACTGTATGCATAGGAATGGATATGTTGTATGATCACAAGAACCGCCATTTTCTCGATCCCCTCGAGAAGTGCATGCGCAAAGACAAAGCCACTCTAGCAAGATTGTGCTAAATTTTGATGTATCTTGGTTGCTTGGCAATCCCCAGAAGATATCTTGACACCCCATATGTGTATTGCTACAAACAACAGAAGTAAAAAAAAAAAAAAAGACCTCAGGTGAATTTATCTTCTACGCCATCCGATTCCGATTAACTGGCCTCGCCTGCTTTCTTAGAAAATGGCTTCCCGTTCAGGACTTACCCCCTTTGTTTCCAAGAGAGTCTGGATGTCCAGATGATCGTAGACCTCATTCCGGTAGTCTTCCTTCTGACGATTTTTCTGCTTTGCCTTGTCATAGCTTTCCGACTCGATCGCGATGCGCTTCTCCATTTCCAGAGCGCCGAGCTTCAAGCCCGCGAAATTCAAAGCAGTTTGAGCGTTCTTCAATTTTCTGGCGTACTCGTACCTCTCCACTAGAGGAGAAAAAAGAGATTTGATGACTTCCCAGGATCATGGTTGTGGGGATTTTCCCTATAATCCAGAAGGGGATCTGGTTACATTTGACAGCTTCCTTCTTTTTATTCTCGAGTTTCTTGAGAAGATCGACCACTTCCCCATCCATGTACATCATGTAAGCGAGGTCATCCATGGGATTTTGAAGCTCGGGATCTTGACCAGGAGGAATCCTGACTCCATTGAGTGCGTTCCGATCATGGCCGAGGATATTCACTCCCAGGAGGGCCACCTAGCGGAAGATGAGATACTTCCTGCAGACAGGCTCGTGTCATCGTTCATTCATACCATCATTCATATCCACGGAAGGACATCCTCATCTGGTACAGGTACATTTGGTACAGCTCATCTGCTGAAGAGGCATGCAAGTTTGCTGCCAAAGATTCGTTGGTGACCTGCTCTTCAGTTGTTCCACACTCGTGACAATACCAGCCACCAGGGTCAAGAGAAATTTTAAGGGTTCTATGTAACAGAGAGGGAAAATGCCGTCGTCCTTTTCCCTGGGCAGCTAACTTCAGAAAGAGGGTACTGGGAGACCCAAAAATTATTTCGCTGTTTGCCGAGACTCTTATTTCTGAAAGTTGAGAACGGCTAGATCTGAGCAGGACGGACTTTTATTCTAACTTTCAGTTTAGAGCTTTTCTCTAACCTCATCACGGAGAATCTTCAACTTTTCACTAATGCATGCATTCCCAACAAGAAGGCCCAACTTTAAGGGGGAAGAGGGAAGCAAGTTTTCAGGTTTATCTCCCTGACAATGATCCCTTTACATCCGCAACTAGGTAACCGGTCAACTTGAAACACGCCCGAACTCCATTGATATGGGGCAACAAATCGTCCTACTTGAGACGGTGCTTCATGGAAATTTGCAGGTCAAGACTTGAGAAGAGTCGCTCTGGGTCAAATAAACCCAGCTCAAATGCGAGTAAAACGTAACCACTGGGATTGGAGTGCTGTCTCCACGCCATCTACATGCGATCACTGAACTCATTTAATTCATTAATTCGTTATCAAAACGATTCGATTTGATTCAATTCATTAGCTTTCCCATGGAATGCCATGGATCTCTCAATGTCTAAATTACGGGCGTATTTTCTTTCTGCGAGTAGAAGGGGGGACACGTGTATATATAATAAGTTGTAATTTTCTGGTGAATTGGTGACGATGAAGCCACACGAGTTACGTCACACTACCCATCAGTCCCCATGACAGAGGCCTACACACGCTGAATTAGTTCCCTTCGTGAGATCGGCCTTGACTGTTGAATAACCTCTGGTCCCTCCCTTCTGTGTTTCCCTTTCTTATATACAATGCCTTCATGCAGTCCTCCTCTGTCTGCCATTCAAGAAGCAGTGCAGCTTTCCCTTTCAGACAGTGGCTCCCTTCGATATCCCCACGAACAAAGAGGTATGGGAAATATTCCGAGATATTTCTTCGATGAGCCTCATACTTGATTGTACTTATTCCGGCGGTTGTCATGTGGCTTGAATATGATTAACTTGACGAAGGAAGCTGTGCCTGTCACGTTGATCCTCTTGAGTTCCCTGGCCCGGAATTCCGAATTGTCATTCCGGGCGAATGACACAGTGCCAACAGGTGCGAACTGGACGTTTGAGAGGTTTTTCTCCAATCCCGCCGGTGCATCACCCAAGAACACATCCGCCTTCTCCGCTAAAAAAAAAAGAGAGCAAGGTTGATGCATCTCAGCACCTGTCCGAATCGTTTCCGCCCCCTCATTCGTGTCAGGTTGCTCATTCATAACTCACGAATCATATAGGTGTGCCCCATGATCTGAATTTGGCGTATGCACACGGTCTCCTCCAATTGCAAAGTAAGATGCTGTGGGTAGATGCAGAATCTGGGGGAATGCCATCCCTTAGAACTTGGGCTCTGTATATTCAGTTCGCTTGCTTTGTAACCTTCGTCGTCCCCTGCAAAGATAAAGTACTGCCTCCACAGACCTTACTGCAATGCGCAGGAGATTTCCCCCTCCGTATAGATAGAAGACGCGCTTGAATGGAATGACCACGAGGGAGTCACGAGCATTCCCAAATACATTTAAAAACTCAGACGTAGAAAGTGCACTATACCTGAGGACTCAACAACTATGAAGTTGATGCTTCGAACACTCGTCATGATCTTGGAGATGTTCCACAGATTTGCCGTTGACAGATGATGGTACCATTCCGAAGAGAATCTTCTAAGTAGGGACAGGTCTACCTGGATACTAAGGAAACCAGTAATGCAACACCTACCATCTCCAAGGACTTGCAGTCGTGTGTTTACGCCCGTGCTTGGCAACGGCCGCTCTCGTAATCGATGCCCTGTACCAGTCGGCTTCGACCTCCCCACCTTCCCCAGATCCTATCACGCGAAATTCCGATATCCGCTCCGCTTCTGAGTGACGAGTTTGCTAGGGATATGAAAGAGTTCGCTCAGTCCCATTCATCTCATTGTCAACGACGGCATGGCACGGTGCAGCCTTCTCTCCCTAAAAATGCATGCACCCTTTCTCTGGAACGAGGACAGAAGGAAGACAACGCCTCTTCGACATTTCGAGGCAGGAAAGGGTGGGAACACCCTGTGACCCTGATTACGACCAATTGTCTTCATATCCGATTCCCTCCCCTGGTGTTTCTGTGAAAGACCTCTAATCTTATCGGGTCACCTTGCTCTATTCGAGCCTTCGTGGAGCCGTAACGTCGGAGAAATCGCTCAAGCTTCATTATGAATTATTGGATTAGTATAAGTCGCATGTCACGGCCTCCAAGGATAAAGATTAATACGTTTCAGCAAACTCCCTCCCCTTGCGTCGAGAAGAAAATTCTCATGACGGTGTCGTCGGTAGTGCGGCGTATTCTTCGTAAAACCCCAGGTCTGAGGGAAAGGAGCTGTTTGCCTGCGGCCACGTCCTTCCACAATAGAACCATGGGCGCATGTGACTGTTATCGTCTCCATTCTTGGCAACGAAAGGCAAAAGAAGCGGGGGTCACCGTCAGGAGACACATTCGAATTCATGCCCCACACGGCTACAGATGTCCCCTCCTTTATACTCCAAGATAGCGAAAGGGGAGGGCGGAAGGCCGGAAAGGAGATTTCCTATGGCCATATAACATGGCTGTTATCTTGTCCTTGAGAGCAGTGCGTACCCGTTTTGAGTGCCCCCTTCGGTATGGTGCCATGATAACTTGCACGTGAGTCAATGCATAGAGAAGACATAGCCCTTCTCCTAGGTCGTAATCGACTTTCAGGGAACCTTCTATCACGAACTGACTTCCTTTCCCGACGTGAGTCCTCATTCGTTGCTCGGTGATCTTGGTGGAAAATTTTTCTCCTCCGTACGATCGAGTGTGTGGAATTCTGTTTTTACAAATGTGAAGACATAGAGCGTTGGTGGTGAACAAAGGGACGTTATCCTGACGAACACCATGATAGATTCCGCCAGGGAAGGATAGGAGAAATACGGGAGATATTATGATAGTCATGCACGGATATCGTATTTCTCCCTGCCAGGTAAGGGTGCCATAGACACCACTTTGCTATAAATAGAGAGCATTGAATGCGAACTACTCATTAAACCTATGTGAAGCTTTGAAACAACCTCTCTCTCAAAGGTCTAACGGATGCTGGTGGGTCATTTCCTGCTTTGCAGTTGTGAAGACAGAAGGCCTCAATGAAGGGTGTGAAACAGCAAATTAGAGCAGCTCAAAGGCGCTTTCAGCGTCTGAGGACCCGCGATCCTCCGTGGAATGAAGTGTCGAGGGATACATTGAATATCTTGGGTGCTGTCGCACAAGTGAGTGCCTTTTCTCTCGAGACTTGTTATCATCCGAGAGGAATTTTTTCTCAAAGGGGAGAAATTGGCTTTTAAAATTAGGTTTAGGAAAATGCAAACGATGATAGGCTGCTTGATTAGTTTTTACTCTCATGGATGCTCATTACGAGATATCCGGGACTCCAATCTTCTTTCCGTCATTATCATGGATATGGTGAAATTTTCATGGACATGTGGCGTGGGCAAACCTCATATTTTTCCCCCTATCTCTACACACCAACGCTCAAGACTTTTTTTTTCCCACCAAGGTGGGAAGGGAGACATGACTAGTCATTATAGACGTCGTAACGTCTGGTCGACGTCATAACATCAACCAGATACTTTAAATATGTAATGGTTTGTTTCTTGGAGTTAACCCCCCTGGCTTATACATATTATACGATACGTCTGCCGGCCGGCTTCACGCTCCTCGTTGAGTAGGATTCTTGTGATTGGGAGTTTTCATTTTCTCTCAATCCCACCTGTCCTGGACAGAAATGGAATGTCCCCTGTGTTGACGAAGATGTCGTAATGGCCGGAACGTCCTTGCGTTGATGAACAGGATGATGAATCTCAGCGATCGACGGGAAGTCATCAACGTCATGGCGTACTTAAAAAGAGCGACCATTCGAGTTTAGGTCAAGATGTCCAGTGAAAGCGTTTTGTAAAGGGAGACCCTCTTTATCTCGAGCCCCGACATTCCTTGACATCAAGGATTTCTCTCTGTTGACTCGCTCATTGAGGACAAGGAAGGCAAGTACGGTTTACAAAAGAAAACTTCAAGCTCGGAATACATGGTGGAAAAGGAGGACACCTTTCCCCGCTTGCCGCCTCTCCCTTATATCCTTAACAATGTTCGGTACGTGATATCGCGAAGATTTACGACATGTTTATCAGTACGGGATGCAGAGGGTAAAATCTTATTTTCGTGACTTCTCATGATTTACAGGTTCAACAACTATAGACAGAGGCAGTTTCACTGGAAAACAAAATCGTTGGAAATGTCACGACCTACTCCTTCCAGTGGAACAGGGATATTGAAATAAGTAATCGATAATCCAGAGAGGGTTGTCACTTTTCCTTCATCCTGGAGCAGTGGCATAGCCAGGTTTTCGTCAATGGGGGGCTAACTTCGCCTTGTCAGGTTGGGGCGGACGCATTTCGACCAGAGTTGGGGGGGGCTTGAACCAAACTTGGGGGGCTGAAGCCCCCCCCCCCTCTCGCTACGCCACTGTCCTGGAGCGCAGTCCTATAGAACTTATATGAGCGTCCCGTTTAGGACAAGGCTGAAGGCAACCATTGTCCAAAGGGCATCTGCATCCATGGAGGAAACGAGAGTTGATAGGGTGGAAGCAGGACGTGGTAGGGAGACGTGCGACTGGGTCAGGTCAGGGTCATTAGGCAAGTTGACTTTCTCGAATTTCTTTAATCGGCCTCGCATTCCTCAACGCGGATCTGCACCAGCGCATGAGCGGCACCTCCTCCCTTGGGTTCATCGAGAAGGGAAAAGACCCTTCTCTCACCTGAGCTCTGATTCTGAGTGCAATCCTCTTCGATGTGACAGGATGCGATTGCCGCAGTTCGTCATCCGGAAATTTTCGTTCGTTGACTATATGTCATTCCTGGATTTTGTTTAGCACGTGCCCAAAATTAATTTTTGTCTCCATCCGGGGTGTTACTTGAAAACCCCGACGGACTGTCACTGATCATAGAGCAACTATAGATTGGTCAATCGAAACATTTTGTTTCCTGTCATACATGTGTTATCTTGTAAGGATTGTAAGGGCTCCCATTCGCAACATTAACCAATAAACGCTCGCGAAAACAAAAGTTTTTGTACCGGTATCGCACCTAAGATAAGTGATACAAATTCCGACTTCCCTTAGCTTAAAACCCGTCTCCTCACCTACGTTTTGAATTTCATTATTTCGGAATCTATACGATTCGAGAGAAAAATGTACGCACTGTCTATTTACGCTTTAGAGACTGGACATTGGTGTAATTTGATTGAAAAGGGCTGTTTGGATTTCTTATTACGTTAAATTATGTAACGCGGGGGCGGACTTCATAGCAGGGTCGGAATTTGCCTCACTTACCCTATTTACGCGCGGTATTCTCGAAGATATTAACCCTTGGTCATACAGAACCCATAAAGCTATCATATTCTTTCTCGATGGCAGAGTACATTGTTACTCTGAGGTACCCAAGTAGGAATTCATACTGTAAACCAGGGGTGTCAAATTGGCGGCCCGCGGGCCGGATCCGGCCCGCCAGTCCATTTTGTTCGGCCCACGAAGTCCTCTTCAACAGTCGGTTACGGAAAAGTGCTGCAAATTTCAGCCTGTCTGCATGAAAGATTAGGAATATGGCATTTGCTGTGGCCCCTAATCACCCTTGAAGGTTTCCATCCTGCCCTATCGAGATGACACCCCTGCCGTAAACGAACTTTGCCCTAACATCTATGTTCCTCTGTCCTCCACGGTTTGAGTAAGAATATATTAATTACTTACGATGACTTGTAATACGTAGGGGATAACAGCTATTTCTATTGTATACAGTAAGTACTTCACGGACGATAGCTTGTTCTTTAATGAAGCGCTACTCGAAAAGCATGAGTTTCATAACACTTCGCAATAATCATTCTTCCGACAATATTTGGATGGCAAACAATGCCGAGTGCTCCTTATCGGCGTGATCTGAAACTTCGGTTCGGTAGGAGAAAGATAATGAAGCATGACGGAAAGAACGGAATCGCTCGGATTTTTTTTTTGTTCGTGCTTATCCGTCGCAGGGGACATTGTTTATGCTTTTTGGCCCTGCATAGGAAATGGGAGACCGTTTCAAAGTGTCCATCCCCTGGATGTCTTCCTTCAGTGATCTTGAATGGGATGCAGGAAACGATGCGTCATTGGAAAGGACTTGCTGGCCTCCCCTTGAATGCGTCGTGAAATTGGCATAATTAAAAAGTATTGCTAATTATTGTTAGATAATTAAGGGAACATGAGATGTTTTTGAGGGATCCAAAAATTCTAGGAAAAAACTTGTAGGGAAAGTAGGATTCAAGGGAACCCCCAGAAATATACTGTATAGGATGCAGGGTGGCAGTTGACCAGTCGGACATGCCACTTTTTTCTATTAAAAATTTCCGTTTATTTCGGGCTCGAAGGGGAAAACTTGCATTTATTTAATGCACCTTTGCATGACAGTCGATTATACAGTAGACACCGCTTATTGTGACCACTGGTTAATGTTACAAACCAGAGTATGTTATCAAATATTGAAAGCCAAAAAAATTTCATGTTTCTCCTATATATGCTATCATCGTCGCAGGTATATTATGATCAAGTATCGTCCGACCACTCCATCTCCATCTGGTTATCGAATTGCATCACCCTTTCAGATCTGAATTAAGGCCGCTATCTGAATAATATTTTTTTTTTTCATTTTTGAGCTCTTTCGTGATTTTAATCGAAAATTTCATGCTTTATATGTAGCTTTTATATTTTGTATAAATTTACCATATCGTGCCATATATTATATATCATTCATTTAATTAAATAACCGAGGATTACAAAACTAACGGGTGAAAGATGGCCTCTTATGGAACTGAGGCATGCATAATTGTGCCCATTGTAACGTAATATGGAGCGCAAAGTCACGAGAATTCTAAGAAATTGCTATGGACGCAATGTAAATGCAATGTCCATTGGAATGGACGCCAGGTCTGAAAGGGTTAAAAGGAGAGAAAAAGGGCGGGGAATCTCTCCCTGGGGTTCAAGGAGAATCTTCCCTCGGGCTGTAACGAGAGAGCTGGAAGCGGCCTTGAGTAGTATTCAAATCTGCGCGACAGCCTGGAGACCAAAAGGAGGGAGGAAGGGACGGACGGACGGACGGACGGACGGACGGACGGACGGACGGACGGACGGACTGATTGGTAACTGTAACTCGCACCCAGACGAATAAGGACGACTATTTCCTGCAATAAAGGCGATTTAGTTACAATAGCACCGAATTTTTTCCATTTTCCATCGATCGCCTCCTATTGTTATCAGGCGCTCGATGTTATCTAAAGCCCTTGTACCGATGGGATCACAATAAGGGCGTCCACTGCACTAATTTAATGACGGTCTCCGCGAAAGAAGGAGATAAGGAAGCTGGCGTTATCAGCGACTTCGTCTTCTCTCCCCATTCCGCGGGGGGTGTGGCAAGTTTTCTCTCCATCACCTCATGGGATTCACCTTTAAACTTTGCTCGATTATTTCCTACTCATCATTAAGAGTTCCTTTTCCACGTTTAATAAGTAAACACCTTCGGGTGGATGTTCGTTTTAGGATATTGCCAGGAATCCCTTTTCTAATTGGAGTGTTGGGTAGGTTTTCTCTGCGAATATTCATCCCACGCCATTAAAACTCTGATCGATTTCACGATGCACTGCCACGAGCTTGCGTACAACATTTCATCAAGATCGTTCAATTTGGTATTGCTTTCTTAGGCGATGAGTGCATTTGATTACTCATACATAAGCTATGAGCTTGCGTAATTGGGGTGTAGGAGTGGATAAACACGCGACTAAGGACGATATGTGATTCCAGATGAGGCCTTCCGCCGTCTAGGTAAACAGAAAAAACTCCGCCCTTGATATGTAAATCATGAATTAAACTAGTAATGTGTTCGTGTTGTATCTTCATTATCCCTCTGTAATTTGAACGTCTGTTGCAATTCAGTTCATGATCTTTATTTCGAGGAGGAAGTTGGCGCCGTTGTCTCCGCTCAGAGAAAGCCTGGATGCCCTCCCCCCCCCCCCCAAAAAAAAAGGCTCATCTCATTATATCATAGCTTCATCGTACTGGAAGGCATTTGCAGGAAGGATATGTTTCTTTTTTCTTATTTGGATGTGAAATACCGGAAAAATTTTCCCGAAAGTTTCATCGTCTTCTGTGAAGATTTCGAATTTTGGCAGAAGTGCAAAATATATCTTTAGAAAATAAAGTCCTAATGTGCAGTTTATCCTCTGCGTGGGAGGCCCGACCGAGTTTCTTGGGTTCTCAGGGATACCGTCTGTTTCATTGGGGAAACTGGACGCATTGAAGGTCCTTGTTCATTTGAACAAATTTCAAGATTTGATTGAAGTTTGCACCTGTCGCTGAGGTTGAGGAAAACTGCTCTACTCTCATCCCTTATCCAGCACATGTTCGATATGTGCCGAACTCCAGTGAGTCTTATCTTTGAGACAACCTGTACAGAGCAGGAGTTCAATCATGCACGCTTATGTCAAGGGTACTTCATAGTGATTATATTAACGAGGGTATTTTCAGGCTGCGGAGAGTTTAAAAATCTTTCCCTATCGCGGACGCCATAAGTGGGAAAATTTTGGAGGCTTTACCACTCCCTGTCTACGTCGCTTTTTTTTTCTGTGGAAGCTTTGCGTGGGAGTGGGCAATCGTGACGGAGTGATGGACTATATTTGCTCGTTCGGTGCTACTTCCTCGATGCAGTCGTGAACTGTAACGTACTAGCAGTCAGTTAATTGTTGGAATAAGTCATTGGATTTCATATAAGTATGTTTTCTGTATCACTTATGCGGAGTATTGGAAGAAGTGATGGCTGAAGGTACAGCATGGAACGCCAGCGGGTCGGTGGACTCCTTTCATGTCCCAGCTGAACTGAAGCTGGTCCTTGCTCCACGCTTCCCTCTCCTGTTCTGTCTCTCGCACGCGTACAATCTTCCATCCTGCCACATGAGAAATTAGTGTGTGCGTCTGTGTGTGCTGGAACGTGGACGAAGTGAAAGTAGAGCTCTCCCACACTGTCCATCGACGAGTTCACGAAACTTTCTATGCCGAGCCTGGCCGATCCGAGTCCAATAGAATACGAGGTCGGCCAGTGTTATGCGCGGAGCTTGTACAGATGGTTAAAAGATAATTAACAGAAGCTCCGCGACTCGGAAATTTGCCTCGTTGCTTATGCAGATACATTCTATGGCGAAGAAAGTTTGCTGCTGCATGCTTGCATCGACCAGTTCTTGCTATGTGGGGCACTATTCCGCGGCAGGATATTCTGAGCAGGGCTGACTTCATTACCAGCCACCGGCGATGCCCGCCTCAGCCTCTCGTGCCGCAATCCCCACAAATGAGTGTTGCCTTCCTCCTTCATACAGCTACGTTATGTGTCCGCGTCACGGTGGAAGCATGACTCAGTTGTGATCTTCAAAGTGGTGAATCCGCATAATTAACTGAATTCCCTTCACAAGCCCCCTATCTACGAACTCGAATGACGGTGGACATATGGTGAGGGTGAAAGAAAAGAGTGGAATACAATAATAAGAGTGAGTGAGATAGCGAGTGAGTGTGAGAGAGTGAGAGCGGGTGAGCGAGTGAGCAAGCGAGGGCACGCTGTCCAAGTAAGTCTAGTTATACTTGTCAGCGAGTGAACTCTGGTCCTGTTCCATTTTCGCTCTTCACCCAGATAAGGAACGCAATCTGGACACGCTTTATTGCTCCATGGTGCCATCCTCGTCCAAAGTGGCCTAGGCAAGCTTCACGTAGACACTGTTCTGTGCAACACTCCTCAATTGTTCATCAAGTCGTCGTTGTGTACCTGAACTTGATGATCACGTCAGGACACTAATTATGCCCAATTTACGGAGAGAGAATGCGATGGCGCCGCCATCGAGAGCTGCCAAAAAACCCAACCTTATCAAGCGCCTGAGCAGTGGTCTCCTGCACAAGCGGGATAAGAGGAGGAGGGCATCCCTGGAATCGGTAAGGAACTAGGAGTATCCGCATAGAAGAGCCCGAATCTTATTACAAGGCAGGCATCAGAATGCCTCGTCTGCTCGTAACGTTAGGCCTAAGCCTATCGCTTCTCGTCAAAGTAGACCTGCACACATTTACTGTCTCTCTGTGAGACCAAGAGGCGGGAAAAGCGTCAGACGTCAACACCAGGTGAAGCCAGTCTTTGAGATCATTTTTGAACTCGCGAGCCCCACCAAAGATTAGGCTTTTGCCATATCGGCATTTGTCTACAGGACTAACGTTAGCCTTGGATACACAGACAGGCCTATCTTTTTCATGCGCTTGTCTAACGTTAGGCTTATGGTTAGGCCTACTAATACACCTGGACTGGGTTTGCCTAAGCCTATGATAGGCCTAACGTTAGATCTTATTTTTCTTTTGCTGTGTTGACTCAGGCACTCTTGCATGAGTATGAGTCGTATGAAGAAAAGACTTGCTCAAGTGAAAAACATTGTATAAGCCAAGGTCTACAGTGAAGTTGAATAGACTTGGAACACAGAAGTATTTCAATCCACAATGGATTTCAAATTGAGTTTCTGGATAATCATAAGCATAGACTAAATGGAAAGGTCCCATTTCTATCATAAGTATGCATGTAAGCAGGGTACATAGTGGGTAGGCATAACTTGAGGGCAAACTCTGTTGTGTGAAACAAAGAACTGATTGGTGGAGAGTTGACGTGTTTGGTATGGTGATTTGGGACTAAGTTTCTCATATGTACTGGGTTCATTACTCTGCATGAATGGATTGCCAGAAAGTAATGTTATATTGCCCATGAGGACCTCAAAACTCTTGATCGTTAATGTCACAGATGCTACTACAGCATCATGACATTAGAAAGAAGCAATAAAAAGAAAATCACAGTGTCTGCTCCTAGTCCTGTTTACCTGACATGGAAAGCTTTAACTGCACCATTGCTAGAGTTTGGCCTTTATGTGAAAAGGACCTAAGCTGAAGGTTTCATCAAGGATAGCAGGCTGCCTTTCACCTTGATTCCTGTTGCCTGTCAATGCAGACTATTCTCTCACTCTAAGTGTAGCCTTGGTGCAATAAGGAGAGTCAAAATTGACTTGATGATGGCCTATTTTTGAATGTAGAAGGTATTATGGTATGAATCTTACTCAGTTCTTACTGTTGTTTTACTGTTGGTCAGAGGAGAATGGACAGTGTCCATCAAATGAAATATGGGAGTGGACAAAAACTAAAAATCAAAATAGAACACTGTCAAGGAGGCTGGACATAGTGGTGCAATATGGTTTATCCAATGTGTAAAACTCAGGCAGACTAAGTAGGTTATCTTGTGACTTCAATGTTGACCACCTGACTGTTTTGGAATTGGTTTTTCCCTGCCTATCTCCTGTCCATGGCACTGTTTTTGTGTGGTACACATGATACACTTAGTGATTGTTTATGTCACTGATAAGGAGTAAAGTAAGAAAGTAAGGCAAGGAGATGAGTGGATTGAATTAATATTTTCATTAATTAATTGATATTTAACATTAAGCCTGTTAATGTTAAAAAGGAACATTTTCTCTAGCTTTAAATTGTCAATGATATTGCTAATTGCTTGAAAGATGTTTTGCTCTGATCAAGCATATAGCATAGATTTGCTTTTCTCTTTGTTTTTAAACATGAAGCTTTGTACTTGATCCTTAGTCTATTAGTCTTTTTTATACTTTTTTTACTAGACTATTACTGTTGTTGGGGCCTAGAATAATTTAAATTCATTCCAAGGTTTCTTTTAATATGAGCTTAACCTATGCCTATTAATTACAGCATTTTCAGCCAAGGTCTAGATAATATCATTTTGACAGAATGTAGACCTCATTTTATATAGACCATTCAAATTCATTCTCATCCACTTGTCTGTCTCATGACACTCAGTGCTTGAAGGAACCATTCTTGGGTTGAGATGAATTTCATCTGGTATAAAGGAAAAGGAGACCTGGCTTGATATGGCAAGGAATTCTATATCATGGACAATGCCTGAATGTACATGGTTCATATTGCTATGAAGACAATAAACAAACTGTAGTATATGGTTCTGCCCTCTCTACTGCATTGATGAATAGGGTAGATGTCCTGTGCCATCATTTTTCTTGTGCTCTTCAGTTTTGAAGTGCCAATGGGCTTCCCATCAGCCATTTTAAACCAAAAGATGTTGTGCAGGCAGAAGTTACATGTTAGAGTTGCCAACAACCTGGGGAATTCATCCTTTCTGGCCTTTAGTTGTGGGGTCACAGATTGGATATATGCTAAGCAGTTGCAGGAGACTATGTAGAAAAATTTGGTAAATGTGAATCAGGCACCAATATATCTGGTTTGCAATTTCCTATGCTAAAAATTTATAAAACCCTAATAGCAACCCTCATGTGTAACAAGCACACAGAACGCATCCAAAATATATGCTTTCTCCTAACTGCAGGATGTATGCTGGCTTCTGACCAAACTACCCATGAAAAGAAAGTAGATTTGATTACAGGATTAAGTGTAGAACACATGCTCCTCATCCTGGACATTGCTTCATTTTGGACTCCTGTTGAGTAATTCAGGCAAACCCTGAGGTAAGAATTTACAGCAATGTTCACATGCGGATGATGAAATATATAACCCAAAAGTGGCCTGTGAAAGCCTTGAAGTTACTCAAAACATATTGGAGAAAAATTTTTTAAATATATTGGGTGACCTGGAAAGAACAGGTGATGGCTATATGGTTATGGGTATAACCACTGTTCAATCAGTTGTAGATTACTTAGACATTCACATTTAGGGGTGAATTTCCTTTCCCTCATAAGCAAGTCTGTCATGATTTATAATGGTTCAACAAAGCCAAAATGGTCACAAGAAAGGCACCTCAGTTTCTGCTGAGAAGAAACCTACCTCTGGGGTGCATTAAGACATACTTTTAAAGATTTTCTTATTCTAATATGAAAGAAGAAAATCAAATGCAATAAGGAAATTAAAACATGTCACTGTGCTTCTTGTGAACGTAAAAAGCAACATGAGGAAGACCAAATGTGTTGCTGGGCTGGAAGATGGACTTTAACCTTTTGATGTCCATGCCTGACATATCTCATGTTGCCTTGTGCTGACCCATGCCTGAGATATCTTGTTTTGAGTTCCCTTGCCAAATCCCATACATTTTTGGACATAGAGCTGATTGCTAATGTCACATTTTAATGCCTATTATTTTTTTTAAATATGTTGAAATGAGTAGACTACCATATGAGATGCACAACCTCCTTTGCACAAAACTGTTAAAGGCAAATTAAGTTTTCATTTATTAACCCTGGTTTGAATCCTTCCAGGTAATACTTCTTTTTTTTTCTAATTTCTTGGTGATATTTTGTCTGAGCACAAATATAATAGGATTATGCATGTGAATGTCATTGCTTTGTGATATGTATAGAGAAGTCTGAAAGTATGGACATGATGTCCTCATTAAATTTTGGTAGAATGGGGCCAAAAAAAGAATTATGCAAATTGTAAAAAAATGTGGATGCTATGCAACAAAGTTAAAATGTAAGAAAAATACTTCCATTTTTTCATAATGTCCAGATATGTGGGCAAGTGGTTCCCAGCCATTGACATCACTGAATTTAAAATAATTATTTTTTCAACAATTATGCAGCCAAGTGAGAACATGCCAAAATTTCAAGTCATTATATCCAGTAGTTTTCTCTTTTCACACAAAGGGTTAATGTGAGGGCATAAAAACTTGGGACTGGCAGATACAGACTTAATGAAAAAAATTTCAATGGAAAAAGGGATAATATGTCATGTTCATGACTGGGGAATGCTTTTTCACTTCACAACATGTGGCTCTAGATACATTTGGATCTTATGCTCCTTTTGCAATCAATCTCATTTGGTAAGTATCAATGTGTCAGGGGTTAGTCCTAGGAATATACTACCACCAACTATTTGAGTTGGGAAGCCAGATTCTAAATATGAAAAAGGGAGAAGAAGGTTTTGGAACGTGAACCCAAGAACTGCAACATATTGGTTTTCCACATCATATGCAGACATGAGAAAGTCAAGTTCAGGAAGGAAATTTAGCATGTTTACTGCTATAGCATTTTTTTGGGCACATTCAGCCATCACTGAGGTCAAACCCATTACTTAGTTTAAAAAAAAAAAAAGAGGCCAAATTGAGATACTCTTTTCAGGATTTTGCTTGTCATAACACACTGATGACATCACTGGCATCAGTTTTGTTAGGACATTGCTGGGCTTAATCCTCCTTGTGGTGTTACATACTTTAGAGGTCATTAGACCCACCAGTGTTTTAAACCGTGAAACATGTGTAGACATCCTGTCACATACTCAGTTGTCAGTCTGCTTCATGATCCATTAGAGGATAGACACTAACCTCTCGAGATGCTTTCTGGTAAGATACTGACTATTTTCCCACATATTTCCAAAAATGTATTTTGTTCATGTTAGTTTTATGCCAATTTTTCTATATTTACGTATTTATATTTCCTGATTGTAATTCCATAATTACTAAAGTGTCTACCAAAATGCCCAATTGGTGGCTTAGTTTTTGAATCAAAGTGATTTTGAAGTGTAAAACATAATTTTGTGATGCTTGCTTTAGTTCCTTATGTGTCATGAATGACAAGTTTTGCAAAATCTTGGTTAAAATTGAGTTTTCAAAAGATTGCAATGAATGTTGTGCAATGCTCTTTTCCTAAATACAGTATTCACCCTCCTGAGAGCATAGTGCAAGAGCATAAACCCTCCTGCCTAGTCAAAATATTTAGGAGCATATAAAAGTAAAAGCAGCATTTAGCCCATCAGTAGGTCTAATGCCAGTGAACGTGTTAAATATAAAAGAAAAATAACATTGGATTGCTTCGAGAATTGCAGGAAAGAAAGAGTGGTAGAATTGCTAGGGTTCAATCAAGTGTGTGAGTTGGGGATTCACTTGTATTGCCTGCCCATACTTTGAGTTGTGACACCAAACCATGACTCTCTATGTCACTTTGTCATCACCCTTGAAAATGTACTCATTGGTTCTTACACATTTAATCATACATCTCTACTTGTCTGATATAGAGTGACATGATATTAGTGTTGAAACTGCAGTTTTCTTGACATTGGACTGTCATGTTTACTTTTAAATATGCACATCTTGAAAGTGACAGGCCTGTCTCAACTGGTTTTCTTTTTGTAAATTTTGACTGTCATGCAGGATAGTGTCAAAGTTGGTCTTCAACATAGCACTTGTCTCTCATACATCATTATTGGACTTAGGAAACCTATACTTATGACTGATAGTTTTCATTCATATTGATCTGGCATTGAAGGTTGCCAATAAGATTGAATGGTATATTGACATCATATCCCAATGTTATACATTAGGATCTATTCCTTTACATATGGAGCCAGGAAAAATGGAACTACAATTCAGTTGCCTAACATAGATGGGATACACAGTCATCTCATTTGACTTTCCCATGTCTAACATGTTTTTCGTCAAGTCCAGCACAGCAATGCATTTGGTTTTTCTTGTCACTTTTGATGCTCCTATGCAGCACAACAGCACATTTGAATTTCCTTGTCACATTTGACTTTCTCATGTCCATATTTGACTTAGAAAACCGATACTTGCCACTCAACTAATTAGGTGAGTTTATTTTACTGAATAATGCAGTTAGAAATGTGTTGTGGAGAGTATGGTGTAGAACATTTTGTAAAGTGTCTGAGGGAGCATTGGCAGTCTCAAAATAATTAAGAACTGGTAGAAAATCAAATATTCAAAATCCTGATATTTAAATATCTGCAGCAAGAATGCCTTTGAATCTGCATTTTAGGAGTAAGGTGGAGAGGAAAAAATTAAGGGGCCATTCAAGTCCCTGAACTTGATCACAGATATTTTCTCATGGGGGTGTCATACAAGCATTTTTCTTTTAGAAGCTTTGAGACTTGAGGAAATAAAAATAAAAAAGTACTAGATGTCTATGCTCCACTCAATACAGGTACTTTTCTGCTAATGATATGCATAAGTGACCCTTAAGTCTGCATGTAAATTGATGGACAGTAAGGTGGAGCCAGATGTGGGCTGATTAAGGTTTTGTGCTCTCCTTGGTATTCTACAGATTGCTCTACAACATGAATTACTCTGTGCATAGCACCTGACATATTTCCAGGACACCCATTCACAGTGTTTTGAAGCATCAAGTTTTTCTCTGGGAAGTATACTACTTGGTTCTGGTGCTGGTGGTTCTTGAATAGACTTATGTCACATCTACTTGCCATATATACTGAATGACCTTCATATCCCCACTTTTCTCTCATGATACTGTACCAGTATTAGATGCATTCTTAGTGAAAGCCCTGTACCATTTATCTGATTGGAAAGAAAGTTCTCGGAATTTCATGAACAATTATTACAACCCAGTTTATTTAAAAGCAAAATCATCTCAATCATGAATGTAATCACCATTGGCCTCTATCACTTCACGCCAACGTTTATGCAAACTATGGATGCCATTCCAATAGAACTCTGGCGGCTGCGCTATGAAAAAGTTGGCCAAATCGGTTTTCAGGTCGTCTTGGTTGGCGTACTGCTTTCCACCCATGTGACGGTCCAGGGCAACGAAAAGGTGATAATCGGACGGGGCAAGGTCGGGGCTGTAGGGCGGATGCGGCAGCACCTCCCAGCACAGGTCCAGTAACTTTAGATGAGTCTGTCTAGCGGTGTGCGGCCGGGCATCGTCGTGGAGGAGGATGGTTCTCTGTCTTTCTGGGCGTGTTTCAGCCAGTTTCTGCTGCAGCCGATCGAGTTGCTGGCAGTAGTAGGCAGCAGTGATGGTGGTGTTTTGCGGCAACAGCTCAAACATGATGATGCCTTTCGAATCCCAGAAGACCGAGAGCATAATCTTTTTGGGGTGCAACTCCTGACGGGGTTCTCTTTCGGCCGATGCTCCGGCGTCCACCCACTGACGTTTTCGTCGAATGTTGGCATAGAAGGTCCACTTTTCGTCGCCTGTCACCACTGAGTCTAGCCAATCCGTTCGGCGCGAACGTGACAGAAGGGAGATGGCCATGTCTATTCGTCGCTGGCGGTCCCGATCATCCAGCTTGTGGGGTACCCAGCACCCCAACTTTGCCTTCTTGCCAAGCTCAGCCAGATGATGAAGGATAGTTGTATGGGAGACACCCAGCAAGTCCGCAAGCTCTCGCGATGTTTGCCGGTTGTTGGCCTCCAGTGCCTCCTGCAAGGCAGAGTTATCAAACTCCGAAGGACGACCGGTGCGTGGCTGGTCTTCCAGGCTTTCATTTCCTTTCTGGAAGCGACTGTACCAATCATAGGCAGTGCTCTTGGACACAGTGTCCGGGCCAAACGCGGTATTGATGTCAGCGATGGAATTGGCTGCCTTCTTCTCGATTCGGAAGTCATAAAGAAGAAGCAGGCGAACTTGCTCCTTAGTAAGAGGGTAGGGCTGGTTCATGGCTGGAGAGCACCAGGGCTGTAATAATATACGGTTGTATGCCGAAGGACATGACCTACTTATAAACACACGCAGAACATTCTAGCATGCTCTGGAAAAAAATTGTACTGGATATTCAAGAAATTCCGAGAACTTTCTTTCCAATCAGATAGCCCACTGACATGTAGAAAAAAAGACCCCATATATGTTGAGTGATTTGTAAAGAGTAATGTCTGGAGTACTGTTAAGTGGAAGTGGTATGGAGTGTATATAAGCCTTCACATTACTAGCTTTCATTTAATGAATTGATTACTTCTTTCCTGTAACCATGACTGATGTTGCTTGTTACCAGGCACCTGATGTAGGCATGGGAAACCGTCAGAGTGGATCAGGCACTGGAGATGAGGATGATGATAGGGGACAGAGTCGTTATCCACCAAGAGAAATGTCTGTTCCTGGAAGGATGAGCCTTGCTGAGGACTTCACCACAGAAGAACCCTCCCAGGAGCCAGGTCTTGGCATTTCCTGTGACTCTCAGAGTCCAGAAGTTCGTCTAGTCAATCTGACTTTGAACACCCCTCCACCAAATGTGAGTGTTGGGCTTTGTTTCAGGTTGCATTTGAGATATTTCTCATTCATGTCTACCCTACTGGACAGCATATCACAATTGATACTTAAGATGATAGTTGAGAGAAAGGGAAGATTGTCTTAAATGTGAAACTAGGAATTTCTCAACCATTATTTGAACCAGTGTCATCTTACATGCATCAACTTTATAAAAACCCATTTGCAATCAGAGAATATGCTAGCTTTTTAACCCTGAAACTGCCAGAAAGATTACAGTGGCTTACTGTCTATTTTATCAACTGTTGGCAGTTCTAGTGTTAAGCTCACAATCTCTGTAACACTGAATGAATCTGATCTTCATTTTATTGTGAATGTGTTCACATATCCAAAATCACTAGACATGTTGGTCTGGGTGGGATATGGGACAAAATTCATAATTTTAGACTGAAAATCTCAGATTTAGGGATTGGGTGCATTATAACAAATGTTACTCAGTTTAGATTCCCCCAAAAAGTGGAATCATATGCTACGATTGATCAAAATGTTTAGAGTTGACTCTTAGATGGGCTAACAATATTTATGATCTAATGACTGCAGTGCTACCTTTTTTTTAAATAAGCAGTTGATTGGAAGTTTTTTGATTCAGTAGGAAATATGCATTTTTAAATGTGTGCTGTATGCTATCTCATGAAAGTGTCAGTACAGTGTATCAAAGTTGCTGTACAGTTTCAAGGAATTGCTTTTGATGTAAACAAAATATGGCAGGTGATTTAAGAATGACAAGGTTTTATTTATAAAGTTGTAAATATTTCAAATCTAAAATCCAGGGTGTACAGAAAATGAGAAAAATACAAAAATCTGCTATTCAGTGATCAAAGACCCTGTTTTAAGATATTTCTTTTCATAAACATAAGTTCATGTGGAGTTCGAGGCTCCAGTCCCATTCCTAGCACTTCTTAACTCCTAGGAGAAAGCTAGAAATTTAGATAATCAAAACACAACAGCTATTCTGTATCTCACTGCTACCAGATTGCAATCATGTTGCTTGACAGGGTAGTGCATGTTCTCACCTTCAAATAGCTCCAGTAGCAGTCCATTTTGGAGGGAATGGGATTGTGTGTGGGGAAGGTGTGCAAGGGAAACTAAGTAGCCCCAAAAAATTTGTCGGCAAAGAATTCTTCACTTACTGATTGCCCAGTGGATAAATTCTTCTTTGTGCCCTTTTTGAAAACTTCTTTTGCCATATGAGGCCAGGAAGAAGGAAGATGACAAGCACCTTTGCCATGGTGGAGAAGACTGCCTTTGCCCCCAGGTTAAAAATACTTAGGAGCTGACCCTAGTCTAAACAAAGGAGGCCCCTTTTGTGCCTTTCAGGCTCATCCTCCAGGAATCGCCTAGAACCAGTTGGGACAACAACAAAAAAAGCTTCATTACACAGGCTACTTTTTTCTAGAGATGGAAATCCTAAGGAAAAGATACAGTTGAAAAAGATTCTTAGTTTTCTATCCACCTTCATTTTTTATCTGAGACTTTCTCAAGTTGCTCCATGTAAGGTTGATTTTTCCTGTCTTCCAGGAGGAGTTATGCACAGGATCATCTTTGATTGATGACACAAGAACTCCAGCTAAGTCTGAATGTGACAGTGATTCCTCTGGTTGCACTGGTGTTGGTCCAGGATCATTTGCTCAAGACCCTACAGGGGATCTCGCTCGCACACCCAGTGAGAAGGAACGCAACAGGCAAAAATATGTGCATAAACGCAAGTATGTCATGCAGGAACTTGTGGACACTGAACGTGACTATGTCAAGGATCTTGGTCTCATTGTGGATGGATATTTGGCTTTGATGCGAGATCCTGATTGTGACACACCAATGCCTGAGCCCCTTAAGGAAGGGAAGGACAAGATCATATTCGGAAACATTGAAGCTATTTATGAATGGCATCGAGAGTAAGTCAAACGCAAGATTCTTTCATTTCATGTTCTGACCTGATTTACTTTAAGATTTGATTCAAGATTGTATTATGTAATTCTTGCATTTTTACTTTAAATTTTTAATTCTTTTTAGGATGATATTATATAAGAAACCTGAAATCATGCTAATTGTGGAACCTGAAGAGGTTCTCTTAGTAGTAGGTGTTGAAGTCCCTAAATTTTGGTTGGCAGGAGCTGAAGTAGTTGAATTTTGATGATTGCACATAGGCATGAAGTATGCAAAAGGGAAGAAGAGTAAGTCCTCCTTTCCTTTTGGAAAAAGTTTTTTTTAAAGGTGATATGCCTTGAGGAGACTGCAGTATCCAGGGAGTCAGAACTGCACAGTACAGGGTATGTCACTGGGTGCATGTTTATTTCTAAAAAGGATTATTCCATGTCAAATCAGTGCACAAAAAAAAACTGAAAATTGACCCAACTCCCTCACAATTTAGGAAATTTTTGTTAACTCATAGGGTCTATAAAAGAAACTAATCAAATTTCAGATCTCTGGGTCAAACAATTTCTGATATTCACCAATTAGAATGCTGCCAAAAGGGACTGGTTTTTGGTTATAAGTTATTAATAAATTAACTTGGAGAGCCAAAAGTTGCTATTTTCAAGCTTTTTCATGGCCTTTTAGAATGATATGGAGTTTTAATGCAAATGAAGGTCAAAGGTAATTGACTTTAAATTCCATTTAAAGGAAAGGGCCACTTTTGTTTTTCATTTTTAAAATAAACATGATTTCCTTTGTCTATTCTCTCAATATACCAAATTTCAATTTGGGACTTCCACAGGATCAAAAGATATTAATCAAGTGCAAGTAAGTGGATAAAAATTGGCATTTATTGTCTAACCATAAAAATACAATTTGAAAATTTATTGATGAGTAGTTATTGAGAAATTATAAAAATTTAACTAAAATTGAAGGACACTCCTTTTTTCACAACTGGAGCTTTTCTATTGCAAGCACATTTTCTAGGATAAGGACTCTCATTTTAATTGGATAAGAAGCAATACAGTTTGGAAAAAAATTTTGTCACTGAGATGAACAAATGGAGTTTTTTAGTTCTGGGAATTGTGAGTGATTGTGCAAATCATTCTTCTGGAACCTTTGCTTCTATCTTTTAGTCATTTAAGCTGCAGTATTTGAAGGAAATTGTTAGGATCTTCTCAGATGTTCATTCAGACAGTAAGTGAGGCATCATTATCTGTTAGTTGTACAGTTGTTAAGAGACTAGCTCTTGCACCTAACCTCTTCACTGAACCTCCAGCTCCATCGCATGCTACTCTCCATAGCAAGTGGCTGAGAAGTGCCACTCAGCTGGAATGCCAAAGTCTACCTTATGATTACAAAAGTTGAGAAAAAACTGGGGAATTGTTTGGCAAGCAGTTGGTAATTGAACCACTCATTAGAACCCTGTCCTGTATAACCAGATGAAACTATGAAAGTCTTCCATGTTTGTTTATTTCATGGGAAGCCATGGCCAGCAACCAGCCTATTGTTTGATCATTCATCGAAGGAGAAACTTTGCCCTTTACAGTTGTTTTAGTCATTAAATCATGAAATTGGGCTTTGAAACATTAGATTGGTGTTTTTTATTATCATGCTTTTATATTATCATGCAATTTCTGATTTTCACTCAATCCATGCACTTTGTTCTGTTTATGCAGAACATCATCATACATCTAAGGGTATCCACAGCATTCCTCATCCTGGGGAACACTGTAAAGAGCTTCTTTCTTATTTTTACTTTTTAAAAAGACAGTACATACAGCAGACACAAACAAAAGACCCAGAGAGGAAGGGGGTGCCCACTTGGCACAGGTACTGCATCTGAATCACAGTCCCTCAGGCTGGGACACCCCTCGATGGTCCTATAGGAGCACAAAGAAGCTGCTCACATGTTGTCTAAGCCCATGACTGGTATGAGTGATTTTTAAGGTGTACTAGACCAGTATTATAGAAGTAGCACACAGAGTGGCGTGTGTGTTATCCCCTGCTTAGCAGACCCTCCTATGAAAGCAGGTGGGTCACCTGTTGGCAGAGGAAGAGCCTGCCACCACCCAGATTCAATCCCTTACCTCCTGGGTTTCACCCAGAAGCCAGAACCACTTGGCCACTGAACCCCAATCTGTAAAGAGCTTCTTTGTGGGGGGGGGGGAAATGTAATGTTCCTTCAAGTTTGTTAAAAGGAATCTGAAATTTTTGCTGCTGGACCAATATTTTGCTGTTTTATTCTGGCACACCATGTCAGTCAAAAGAGACTAACATGGTGGCAAAAGTGTTAAATAAGTGGTTCTCAGATCAATCCCAATGCCTTACATCGCAGTCATGAGGCCTAAAGTCAAGTTTTGAGTCATTTTCATAGTTGCAAGTGAAAAGAGACAGGGGCTTATGCCCTGATTGTTTTTGATACTCCTGGTTTACTTGTGGAGGGTTCTGAAAAAGTGAAACCTTAGAAAATTGATTTGACTTTCTTGGACTTGTGCAGTTCATGTATATGTAGGTATATTTTGGAAAATAAATTATTTTTCTATAAAGTAGGTTTGCCCCTAGAATTTTTCTTTTAGTTTCTGTTTCTTCCTTCAATACTTTGATTATATACACATCTAAGTTATTGCCAGCTGATGGCATTAGCAATGATCAGCTGGCAATAACATGTGAAGGAAGTTGGTTTCATAAAAATTTTTTGGAGCTTTCCTACTTGCTTGATGCAAATTCAGTTATTTCTTTGTTACCCCAGAGTATGACTTATCATCTAAGCAGTGGCAGACTAAGGCTCATCATAAGTGTTCTATTGAAAAATACCTCGTGCTTGTAACTCTTGTCTATATGATGTCTGCAACTTTTTCTCTTTAATTCATGCAGTTACTTCCTGGATGCCTTGGAGAAGTGTGTGAACAAACCACCTGAATTGGGTCCCTTGTTTAAGCGGTGTGAAAGGAAGCTTCGAATGTACATTGTTTACTGTGAGAACAAGCCCAAGTCAGAGTACATTGTGTCAGAGTTCCTGGAAACATATTTTGAGGTAAGTGTGCATAATTTTTTACTGTATTTTTAAAAAAAATTTGTTAAGGCAAGAGACATTTTGAAGATCTGCATTGCAGTTATATTATCAATGATTGACAAAAAAGAAAATAAGAAATTTTGTTTGTCTGAAGAGAATAATAATTTTAAAATATTCACCTTTTCACCAGAGTGCTAAGACTTTTGGCTTTCTGGTGCAAGGTTGAACATTTCTCAAGTTTCATTCTGCTCCCCAAATAAGGAGCAAATTCTTTCCTTCCTGAAAAATAATGTAATTTGTCCTTATCAGATCATCATTGATATGTTTTATAAGTTTAATATTAGCACTTTCAGTTCCTAATTATTTTATGCTCATTTTATGCAGTTATTTTTGGGTAAAACATTCAAAACATCACTAAAGTACAAACCATCTCTAATTCTCTTTTTTTCCCCCATTATAATATCAGCAGTTAGACAACTAATTGTTTGCCATCATTATATTTGTGTGGGAAATATCTGAGTGGATCCCCTGTTTCAGAATGAGCACCTCATGAATGTATTTATAGGTAAAATATGTATAAAATAATTTTTTTTACTTTTTTTTTTATCCCTTAGATCAATAAAGCATGAGATGAGCAAGAGTATAAAAGGAAGAAGGTAACTGTTACTGGTTGTATTGTACAGGATGTAGTGCCACTCCACCCTCATGCTAAAACAGAATTGGCACTGTGTGTGGCCCTTTTTGATGGATTGCCGTTCCAGGAAATCTTAGTAGCAATGAAAAGCTAGGTGATGAAAACGGAAAATGGATAGTCTAGTTGTGTAATGGGACAAAGATGATTAACATTCAAAATCATGCCTTGGCTTGGCAAAACCATTGGTGTGGTTTGGTGGAGTTTGCTATTTTAAAAATTCTCTGACAAAATGGAAAGTTGTCAAACAAAATATTTCCATGGTTTAATATTGAATGAGCAAATAAGAGTTTCATGCAAGCATGTTAAATGTTTGTATGAAACTCAAATGTTAAATGGTCTTTCCCCAATAAATATTGAAGTGAAAAAGTTACTTGACTCGATAGTTTCTTACTTGGTTGTCTATCTTATTGTTAGTTGTTCATTCCTTCTCCAGCTGAAACACTAAGGAAGACCTCAATGCTCATTATGGCTTGTTCTTTTTTTTGTAGCCTGGAATCTTATCAATGTTTCAAATAGCCCTAATATCAGAGTATTTGTATTTGCACATGGTTGAAAATCCAATGTCATGATGTCCCTCTTTTTCACAGGAGCTGCGCCAGAAACTTGGGCACAAGCTTCAGTTGCCAGACTTGCTCATCAAGCCTGTTCAGAGGATTACCAAATACCAGCTGCTGCTGCGTGATGTTATCCGGTTCACAATGCAGGCTCAACTCATGGATGAGCTGGAGTCTCTGCAGAAAGCCCGAAATGTTATGGAGATAGTTCCCAAAGAGGCAAATGATATGATGAATGTTGGGAGACTGAAAGGATTTGATGTAAGTGTATGTAATTGCTGACAAAGAAAGGGATTGGCACCCTCAAGTATGCATATTAATGGTGGCATGTGAGAATCTGGTATGGGGTATGGGAGAGCCTCTTTACCTGGAAAAAATGTCTCCTTTGAAGTGTTGTAATTAGGACAGTGAGTGATACGTTGACTCTGATAGACCTAGCAAGAATTACAGCACAATTTGAAGTTTGGCAATCTATGTCCCAGATTCAGCAGTGGTCAAGGTTTATATTAAGGTTTTTGGGTTCCTGGCTGCATTCCATCCTTTTTGACATCACCTCTGCTGAACCTGGGACACAGATTGCCAAACTTCCAATCATGCTGTAATTCTTGCAATCAACTTAAGTCAGCCTATTACTCATTGTTCTACTGGCAACCCATCAAAGGAGACATATTTCTTCCAGCTTTTACTATAGAAAAGAGGGACAATAAAATTTCAGTCAATTGCATCCTCTGACCCATAAAAAATAAAGCCCATAGGATTTGATATGTGTACATCTAACCTAGGTCTTAAGAGGATAGTTACTTTTCAGCCACCCTCTATATCAGAAGGTTTTTATTTACTGTTCCACTGTTCACATTGATTTGTTGACCTTTGTCTTTTATATCTTTGCAATGGGGAAAACAGAGTACTGTGGAATATTAAAATGTTTTGATGCTATATCTTCCTTGTTTATTCATAAAATTTTTTAAATTGCTTGTAGGGGAGTCTGAAATATTGTTGACATGTTTCTACTATTGATATGTTGATAAAAGTTTTCTCTTACTACAATTGCAGTTTTTCCATAAGGAAGCTAAATTAGCTGTTTTCAAGGTAATGGGGAGTGCCAGCAACATGCCTGGAATCATATAATCTTATCAAGTGAAGTTGAATGGTACAAAGAACATTGACTGAATTTACTTTGAACACTTGATGAATTTCACTGGTCAATTAAAGGTTATGCAATTGCTTGATTAGGCCTTAGGCCAACTCTTCTGCTTCCACAGCTTCATTTTCCTCCTTTCAGTATCCACTCTTCCCATGTTATACAGACACCCCCAGGCTGTGAAAAACAATGATTTTCTTTATTATCAATAATATTTGGGTAAGCTGGAATATTGTTCCACATTACCCAAAATGACCATTTTGGATTCATCTTGCAATACAATCCATACCACAATGGATATCAACAATTGTAATTGCACTGATTGAGAGCTTATTTAATATCCTTCAATAATATTCAACAGTAAAAGTCATGAATACTTGCTCAAAATAGACTATTCTAGATGTTTAGGATCTTGTCAAAAAATCTTTCAGGAGCAAAAATAAACCATGAAAACCATCTGTCAAATGGGAAAGTGACATTGTGCAACAAATGCATGTAATTTGTTCATTTCCTGGGTTGGAAGAAGTTGGCATGCTGACTGCTAGATGGCTGGTTGGCTTTTCTTGGGTATAGGGGTATTCCACATTACCTCATTTTCCTCTCCTCATTGAAGATTTTTTGGGCATCCTCAGGGAATTCTTAGCATGGCCATTGAATCCACACTTTTACAATTCCCATTGTTTTTATGTTGGCCAATGCATAAATCACTTTGAACTAGGATCAAACTTTCTCTTATCACTGTTCTACAGTAGCTGTAACTGTTTCAGTCTTTATTGGATTCAAGTAGCATAATATTCATATGAAATTGTATGTATATGAGTTTTGAAATATTTGTCATACCCTTTAGCATTTGTGAAGTGCACCCTATTAATGAATTCCATGAAATTGCTGAAGCTTCTTGACTTGCTGTGGCACTTCTGCCTCTACAGGAAAGCTTAAGATTCAATTGTGTGACTGAGAAAGGTTGCCTGCCTATTAAGTACGTGCATGTTTTTAGCTATTGGTGAAATGACATTATAGCATAAAATATCTCTTTCTTTCTGGTCTCACAGGGAAAAATCACTGCTCAGGGGAAGCTCCTCATTCATGGTCCACTGTATTGTCAAGAAGGAACCTCTTCTGCAAATATGGCTAAGAGCAGAGAACTTCAGGTTTTCCTGTTTGAGCAAAGCATAATTTTTTCTGAAAGTGTTGGAAAGAAGACACAGTTTTCTCATCCTCATTATGTGTATCGAAATCATCTCCAGGTGAGGTTCACTTAGTTGAATTTTATCTGAGTTGCTTATTTGTCTCATTTCACTCAGTAGGGTATTTTCATGGCCTCAGCTGTCTTGCAGGATGCTTTATTGGGTCATTTTTCTTTTCCCAGGCAAACAAAATGGTGCTCCAGGAAGAAAAAGCTGAAGATGACCCAACCAAGTTTGTCTTGAAATCAACTGATCCCCGAAAGCCAGGACTATTGTATATATGCCAGGCCAGTAGTACTGAAGATCATGACCGGTGGGTGCATCATATTCATGGGATACTGGACACACAAAAGAAATTCCTCATAGCCATCCAATCACCAATTGAATATCAAAAGGAGTTGACCCGTGACACATAAGCCAAGGAAACCTAGGTGCTCTAGATGACCTCTCCAGTGATGATAGTCTTGTTACCTGTTGAATTGGAGGTTTCTCCTTGCAGTTGAGGTGGGGAATGACTGAGTGTACCAGATGTAATTCACATGGTAGACTGTGATCTCTCTTTTTTTTTTTTTCTCCTAATTTGAGTTATGCTTAATGCCCTGACTCACTGCAGTACTGGTCTTTTGTAGACCAGGGCCATGGGAATTGATGTCCAGGTCTTTGGTTCTAATCTAGAATGTCTTTTCTTGGAATTCTAACTCTTGACATAGTTTTTTAGACATTGCTTTCCCTTTGTTGTGTGCATCATTTACTGCATCCTAAAACTAGACTTAGTTCATTTGAACTGTTGCTGGATGCAGTCTCTGTCCTCATTCACAGAGTAATTGTGCCTGCTGAGTTTAGACTTTATTATCTTGATAGTTGTGGGAGGCATCTTTGGAATTTTATCAAATGATGGAGACAGGTTTTTTCTGCAAGGAAGGATTTCTGTTCTTGTTAAAAGTCTTTGAATATAAGCAATTTTTAATAGGACAGTCGTAGCTTAGAACTTCAGATTCAATGTCCTTTTCTAATCATTTTCATTTTCAGGTTGTTCATGGAGTTGCTTTTTTTATATATTGAAATGCTTTGCACTCTATATGTTATGTTGGAGGATTCCCACCCTCTGGGATGGCCTTAGTAGCAAGTCTGTAGGATATACTTTCTAAAAGTTTTAAAAGCATGCTCAAATGTGAATAATTGTGACAATAGAAGAACAATGAGTATATGGATTCTAGCTGCCTAGACAGTGAAGGCAGGCAATTGAATTGCCTGTGATGTCAGTGTTCAGTTATGCCAGTTTTGTCATAGGAGTGACAATTTTATTGTGAAGTTGTGCTGAGGTCATCTTGGCAGTATGGCAGTATATTTTGAACTTCAGTTTTCATTTCTATTGCTGGTGTTGATGTCAAAGAGCACTCATACAATTTTATTCTCAAATTCAAGATAAGGATTGTGATATATACATACATGCAGCACTTTAATACTAGCTAGAATTTGAAGCAAAATCGATACAGCTCTGGTATCATTTTGTAATGTGGAAGTGAATACCAATATTGTAACATACCAGAGCTCTTGAGGGAGGTCACTACCATTATTGAGAAGTTGTTTGTGTATGGGAATGTCTTGGATTCCCTGTATATTGTGAAGGGGCTTGTGAAGCTCTCATGAGAATGCAATATGCATTATATATTTTAGTTTGGTGTAGGCCTCTCATTTGAATTTTTTGTGGAAGTCAGGTCATTCTGTTGGGAAAAGATCTCAGATTTTGCCACCCATTTGTAGCCTGTCTTGTATCTTGTTTCTGATTCTTAGCTACTAAGCTCAAAATTTCTTCTTGTGAACATTCCAAATGCCCCGTTTTATGGTCCCTGAAAGGGACATGTCATAAAGGTAGTATACAGCCTTTGTTTTAATGAAGAATCCACCAAACCCATGAAATGTGAGACTTTCAGTATAAGAATTTGGGCAGAGTGTTGCCTGTCCTTGTAATTGCCAGCTCAACTGTCCGTATTACTGTGATGGGGATGCACGATGATATATACTAGTGATGATCCAGGATATGGGATGGAAAAGCAAAAACAGTCTCCCATATTGTATTGCTCTCCAAGGTGTCAAACCCTGTTGAGCAGTCTTCCACCTTTGAAGTAGTTAATTGCATAATTATACCTTGACTCCGGTCAGTTTAATCTTGTTAAACTGCATTACATGCAGAGGTTAGTTCTCTTCATCAAACTTTATCTTTTGTCTTTATCAAACAGCACGTTCTTGAATTCAACAGGTCTATAGATTTATATTGCCAGAGACTCAAGTACAGTATACAGGCTATGGATATGTGGCTTAAAAATGAAAAATTGGAAATTATTCTGAGTTTTGTCTGTGAAACCTATCCATTGATAAGGGATACCAGGCCAAAAGCTCAGAGTATGGAATAGACTAAATTCTCAGGATTTCCTTTTAAAAGAAGCAGCTTCAGCCATGTTATTCATGGGGTCATGTAGGAAGTAATTCCTGAGCAGTCAGTAACCAGTGAATGAGAGTGGATGATAGAATAATGGGAGTTTCAATTCTCTTTTGGTTCAGCATATGTTGCCAAAAATCACCTTCAGATGGCAATATTTTGATTCATGAGACATTGTGGAAATTGAGAATAGTGGCAGTATTTGCCTATCATTTCATGATGTTTCTTTATGTTTTTGATGAGTCCAGTGCTTGAGTTTTCCCAGCCCAGGCTTCTGAAACTGAAGATATCTGAAACAGAGTATGGTTGGCACCAATGAAACATTGGAGGCAACTGAAGATTAAAATTTCTTTATGGTGAAGTGTAGGAGACTCATGCTTTACTGTGATATGCATTTCAGTCTGGAGTGATGGCATCTTTATTGAACTAATTTCGTTACGAAAGTCTGTGAAGTCATTATAATTTCTTTGCACAGTTAAATTTAGGCAATCCCCTTGGCAGTTGTCTGGTCTTCATTAACTCCATCATAGTAATTTGCCCCAGAAAATCCCCATCAAATTTTTCCATTTACCTGAATATTACTCCACACCTGACCATAATACAGACTAATTATCATATCCCCTGGAGCCCTTTCACATCCTTATTTGAACTTATAGAAATGATAGATGCAGAGGACCCACTTGTGTAAGCAAAATAGGAGAGCTTCTGGTATCCCCCTCCCTCCTTTCCTAATATCCCAATTTTCTTGTTATCAGGAATTTTGAATTGCTCCCTCTGTCCTTGGACAGAGATTCACAATTCCTCTTTTCTTCCAGTTTATTTTTTTGTATGAGATATTTTTAAAAATTTAAGATTCCATAAATGTGGCCAATGTGTTAGGATTAATGCTAGTTCTCATGAAAAATTGACTCAAGCAAGCTGCAGTACACTGAGTTGGCCTATGGTGGTTCCTGATTATTCATAATTCTTGCATTCCTGTAGTATATCAGGCAGCAACAGCTGCATATGTGAGTCACCCAACTCTCCTGGACAATGTATGAAACCAAGATGCTTAGTTACATTGTAGAGGAGGCTTAGTATCAGTAACCAACTTGGTCAGAGTTTAATAATACATTCTTGTGTAGTTTTCTTCTCTTTGAAAAAGATAAGAAAATGAGGTGTGATTTGGTTATTGAGAATTCAATCAGTCCCTGTTAGCCAGATTAGCAAAGTTTGCTGTAATTAATATCTCTATGCATGTATTTTAAAAGCTTAGGAGGAAAGTTGAAGGTTCATGGTTCATTTGGATACCTGCTGCCTTCAAGAACTGAGCAATTGAAATCAACTGCCTTCAAAATTATGTACATCATGCATTCTCATCAGATGTATGATGTTGAGTCTGGTCATAATGTAATAACATTAATTGCCCTCCTATCTGTTATGGAACATGAGGTTCAATAAGTAACTCATAGTTCATGAGAGATCCCCTACAGTGGACTGAGAACAGTACAAAATGGCCCTTTTTCTTTGGGTGCTCTGCTCACAGCATGAGGGTGCTTGTTTTACTCCCTAATCAGCACTATAGTCTGCCAGTTTTTTTCAGAAATCCCTTTTGTACCTGATTTTTCCCCCTTGGCAATTCTGCATGATCTTGTGTGTAAAACTCAGAAGTTTGCTTGCAGTTGTCCTGAGGGCAATGGAAGTTCATTTTTTAGTATTTTCATCTCTTGGGCAAACTTAGTTGGTTGAAGAAAAGCTGTAGTGGTTTCTCCCAAGAAAGGATGCAGGAGCTGGACAAGACTGAGTTATCTTGTGGGTTATTTTTTTAAATAGAAACTGTTCTGTTATGATTCATAGCCTTCTCCTGGCCTTGTTCATTTGCTATGAGGTCTTTCATAAGAGGAAATTGATTATTTCTCTCAATCATGTAAAACTGGCCTCAACCAACTATGACTCTTTTCATAGTATCCATTGTGAATTTCTTTTACCATTATTACCATATGCGAATGAAGGTGAATATTGGAGCCCCTCTGGCTTTGTTTTCCTTGGTTTTCCAAAAGTTCATTTGCCCTGACTAGAGACATGTTCATAGCAAAAGGTGCATTTTCTCATTTTCTTGAAATCAGTGATGTGGAGATATTGACTTGAAACTATTCAAAAGGAACTTCCTCAAGTAGAGTATGACAGTAGTGACTGAAGATACAAGGATGTTGAAATGACCATGCTTAAATCCCTTCCTTTTTTTCTCAATAGCTTACTATGGATTACTCTTGTATTAGTAATTCTTCAGGAAATATTGGAAATGGACTTAGGCTATTTTATGATTGAAACATGAATGACTGTCTCATAAATTAGTGTTTTGCCAGATTTGTTCAGTTATCAATGTACCTTATACAATGTTCCAGCTCACTGTAGTTCAGATAGGACCAGGTCTATCTCTGAAGTTCATTGTATCATCATGTCATTCATGTTGAACTGTATGATATTATAGATGGAACAGGCTTGTCATTTCACATTCCTTCAGTTTTCAAGGAGCTGGTTACCTCAGTGAGCCTAATGCAATATTAGTGATCCAGAAGAAGAAAAAAGTTTTACTGCTGGTTGTAGAAATCAGAACCTTCAAAGTCTCCTTATTCTATTAAAAATCTGATTGATGAATTTTTTTTATGTGCCTCTTATTGCTATATTAACCATTTTGTTATGGTTTCCTTTTTTGTGAGGGACAGAACCAATCATCCCTGATTCTATTATTTACTTGCTGTATTCCATAACCTGAAGTGCCATGAAGTTGCCATTACTTCCCTGTTGTTTCTTTATTCAAATCTGTCTTTTTTGCCATGCTTGAGGGAACATAAGAATTGACTCAAAAGCATTGTAAGATAATGTTCTTGAGGGTAGTGTATCTTTCCAATTGTAGTTGGTTTGAACTAGTCCCAAGATTATATTTTGTGATTCACTTCATGCTTCTTTTATGGATTGCCTTGTGGATTTATCAGGAGTAAAATGCTTTTATTGCATGGATGATCTCTGAAGTTTTGTCACTCATTGTTTAAAGAACACTCACTATTGACTATTGACTCTTGCTGTGCTGTCTCAGAGGAAAGTAGTGTCAAGATATGCTATTGATTGTAGAGTGACCAGAGGATGTTCTCTGGCTGGGGTTATACACCCATGCACTCAAGTGAAAAATTTAGAAACTACTGTGTTGTAAAATTTTCACTCAGTCCACATCAAAATTCATATTTCAAAAGCTTAGTATTACAAGGGAAGCAGGCAAAACAACCTATCAACCTAGCCTCACCTAACCTCTGGAGACCACAATTAATTTATTTAGTCATCAAGCTCATTGAAGCTCTTTCATATCTTCAAGGTATGAAATTCCTTTTTCCCTATCTTTTACTGGAGAGGTCTCTGCTCTAGCTGAGCTAATTTCATAGAACTTGCCCTTAGCATCAAGGTAATTCACTTCAAGTGTCTGACAGCCTATGGGGAACATCATGGATTTTATTGAAATTTGGCATGGGAGTTCACTCCATTGAAAAAAAAAGTCAAGTTAAATATACCTATAGTTCCCTGGGTCAGGTTATACAATTTTTTGCCTGTATATGCTTCTGCACAGATGTCGTGAACAAAATTTTTCTCTCGGGAACTATTCAAGCTGGACCTTTCCAGTTACTGTCTCATTTTTTCAAGGTTGCCATCAAATTCACAAAGTGTGAATCCTTGTTTAAGTAATGTCCATGACCTTTGACCTTGTATAATGTCAAAATGATGCTTAATTTAAGTGGGCATTTTTAAAGGAGAGGACATCTATACAGATACACAAAGTTTCCACAGGTGTTCTTGCTTCTTGCAGAAGTGTTACTGTGTTATCTAGTCATGAGGCTAACCTAAGCTTATAGGTTTGAACTACTTATATGAGGGTGGCTGAGTCAGTCAGTCAGTCATTAATTTTTTCATCCTACAAACTATTGCACTCTGGATTGTCTCTCTGGAGTACCATGCCTTTATAGTTTATGCCCATAAATAATAAGCATGAAATGCAAGGCAAACCTGTCTCATCCTCTTGTCAAATCATCAGTTGTACATGTCCAGAAGACTTACCTCCAAGGAAGCTGGATGGCCTTATAAGATTTGACATGCCAAGTCATGGGTTGTTGCTGCATTATGTAATGAGGAATCATAGCTCAGTAATGTAAACTTAAAATCATGGGAGGGACAAAGAGTTGAAATTGATCTTATGGTTCCCAAAGGACTATGCTCATCCTTTAAAGCTGAAATGCATTGCAAACTAACAGTGCTTGTAATTTATGTTCTCAGCCATATCATTCCATTCACACAGATGAAGTGAACCTATGAAAGAGTGATTTTGAAATGGAAATTACTTTGTTCCTGATATGCCATAATTAAAGTACAGGTACAAGCGTCCTGTAAGAAAAGTTTTTTTTAATGTTGAACAAAAAGTTTAAAATGCTATATCTCAAAATTAAGTTTTTTGAACTGTGATGGCCTTGAACCAGGAAGGCAATATGTCTTGAATTGCAGGGAGGCGACTTCCACCTTATGATTCATTGAGGCTTTTTTGTTACTTCACAGCTTCCTTGGAGATTCATGGCATGTTAGGAAGGTTAGAGGAGGTTTCTTTCCTTCTGTGACTTTCCCTTTTCTTCCCTACCACTTTCCCATGCTTATCATGTTTCATCATATTTGTGTCAATTAACTAGATCTGCCAACAGTTGATTTTACTGATGCATGGCAGTTCAAGGGTTAAGGGAGAAATCACTTTTTTTAAATGTAAACACTGATGATGTTTTCTATGAGTGACGTGAGTAGACACAAATTATTGCTTCCTTTTTTATGAACAATGAAGTTCTGTAATTGTTACTCAGAGATACAGATATTTGAGAAAATCTTGTCAAAGCAGCCCCAATTCCCCACCTCTGAGTCTAACTTAGGTCAGGTGATCCGAATTGCACCCCAAAAAGTCACATCACCATTAATGTTTCTTCCAGAACACACCACAAGACATTCTTGCAACTGATCTTTTTCCTTGGGCTTCTTCCTGCTTTAGGAGATGACTTGCTTGACCCTTAAGGTTTCCCAGGGTATACCATATGGCTTGGAGGCTTTTCACCTTGAGATTTTTGTTTGATACTCATCTCACAGAGGTGGCTTGGAACTCTTCACTATAGTTACTTCTAAGGTTTTGGCACTGATATCCAAGTGACATCTAGAATGTGGAAAAAAAATGGAAGGGGGAAGTTGGGTCAAGGTGACCTAAGTACCTGACATGAACTCACACTTCAAGATAGAGAAAAAAAGTTTTTTTTTTAAATTGTGTAATGAACTTGGGAGCAATGACCAGGAAAGTAAATAAATAGTCAACATTCATTAATAAAGCTGCTTATTAATGTTTTCATGTCACTCTGTTACTCTACATTAGGCACAAATAGCATTTGATGGCTGATGTTTATTGAAAGATTGTCAAACAGGAATATTTTTTCCTACAGCGACCACAAGCAAAACTAATGAGTTTCATGCCCCATTTGCTTCCAAATTAAAAAACTTGATGCCTCTACCTTACCTCCCCACCATCCTGCCCTGTCCTGTCTGGATGCCCCCTCCCCCCCTCTTACCTGGATTTTCTGGATCCACCCTTGTTCTACCATCCCTGTCCCAGTCAGACATTTCTGTCATTCAAGCCCATGATATCCTATGTTTATTTTGGTATGCCTGGAAAGCAGTTATTCCTACATTGCCAGCTTATCAGTAGGATCTTGATCAAAACTTGATTCAAGGATTCATTAATTTTAATGAATCCTTGAATCCTTTTGGTCCTGGCAGGAGTTCCACATTTTTAAAATATATTTTGCAGGGCTATATAGGAATGCATGGTCTTGAGGCCTAGCAAGACTTCTTAGTCCTTGTGACCTCTTTTGGAATTTGTATTTTTGTGGTTAATGATGTTCCATTGTGAACCATTGAATAAGGAAAATTCATTTTTAAATCATTATATTTTAAAATTCAGGATTGAAAGGGAATCTCCAATCATGTTTTAGCTCTTTATTGTTTTCCTCCATCATGATGGAAAATTTTTGAAGCTCTGTAGGTGATCAGGAAGGAAAAAGTCAATTTGATCAAGGATGGGAACCTGATCAAGTAGTAAGCTGTTCTGAGATGTGTGGAGCAGCGAAATAATCATTCATGCCAAGTGCCACTAGTATCCTGGGCCCCTATAGAAATGGCCATGGGTTTCAGTCCAAAACTGTCACCATTGCCTGTGATTATTGTGGATTCAATTCCCACAAGGAAGAACACTGGTGAGCATCGAACTCCTTTGCAGCCAAAGTGCCTCAACATTTATTATGGACAGGGCTCTGGCTCACCTGTGCTTCCAGAGGCTCTTAAGAGGTTAGATTAAATGTGGAATGTCATTTATATAAGTTGTTTAACTTAGGCCTTATTGGAAATTTGTTCCTATCCAATTACAGACAGCGAGCTGGTTCCATACATGATGTACCCATTGCCTGGCCTGTGAATTGTAGCCATGGAGAAGTTTCACCAGCTGGGCTGGAGAACCTCAATTTGTTCCTATCACCTGTAGATCATGATGAAGATGTAATGAGCCCTGGACAAAGCCCTGCAAGAAAAAGACGCAAAGTATGCTTCAACTTGAATCATCCAGATCAAATTTCCAAACCATGGTCTGGTCGGTCCAAGCAGAGTGGAAAGGATAACTCCAAGAGCACTTCCAAGAGTGGGTCTCTTCACATGGACACACCTTCCAGAAATTTACTTCTGGAAAAAGGATTGGACTCTCATAAGAATTTGGATGTTCTTGGAAGGGGTGGCTTTGGAGTTGTAGTTCGTGCCAGCTATAAAGGTATGAATTGCTCAAGTCTTTCATGTTTATTTTTAAGGAAATTTTCAACTGGACCAATATTTGTGAGATGAGTTGTCCTTGGATATTTCAAAGGAAACTGATAAGAGTAATCATTTTACAGTAATAAAAAAAAAAGAAAAGAAAGAGCCTATTTTCATCATTGATACTTGTGCATGTCATGCCTTTCCCTCAGTTCATTTCTATTGAATCCTTCCAATTTTTACTGGTTAGATAGTGAATGGATGGAATGTGTTAGGTGAAGATATAGTGATAGTTACCTTTTCTTTGGATTGAAGAAGTAGTTAACAAGAAGAGGTTAGTTGCTTTCAAGAATAAAATGGATAGGAGCAATACACAGAGTATGGAGGAGTAGGTAGTAAGCTATCATTGGAGTTCATTTTTCCTTACTAACATTCATGTTGCATCAAGTACAATCAAAACTTGATTTCATGGGGAACAGAATAGACTATAGCCATTTTATAAAGGAATTGAAACTTGATCAGAAAGGACAAAAGTTCCTATTGCACTACCTTATCTGCTGGCAGTGAGGATTCAAATCGGTGTTCATGAACTATGTGACAAACCCCCCTAATTCCAGGCTGCAGAAGCACAGGCGAAAGTTATTTAAACTCTGTGTTAATGGCTAGCTGGTTTTGATTGAAAGGTACATCATGAAAGCTGAATTTAATAATAACAAAAATGAAAGATTAAAAGACCGAATTTACACCATATTTTAAAATACACTTTATGCAAAAATAAGCCCATTCTGGTGGCTGGGACAGAATGTGCTTATTTTTTTATTAACCTCTTAACACATTGATGACCAAATCCAAGTTTCCTCAAGTAATAAAGGCCATTTGTTGACATCCATATCCAAGTTTCCTTGGATAAGTGCACTTGTTTAAATTTACCACCCCTACCCAAACAAGATATTGCTTCCTCAAGGGATGTCCAGATTTCTTGAAAACTCAGGCTCAATTCAGATCAAGCTCATTTTAAATTTATTTATGAGAAATTGCATTAGGGAGTCATTCCATGCAAATGGGGACAGATTACTCAAAGTTTCAAATCCTATATTTGATCCCATTCCAAAATGAGCAATGCCATATTTGATAAAGCAATGCTGCTCACAACCTGTGCGCAATTGCAGTGAAAAAATAAGGGATTAATAAATAAAAATCTTTTTGTAGACCTGGTGTTCTTTAGCATTCATAATATAAGTCATGGCCAACTTTTTATTGTCATTGTGAAATGTCCTGAAAATAGATTTCAGAGTTCAGACAGTATGAAATGCATCCTTCATTTTTGCCTCGAAAGGAAGTGAAGTGATGGATCTTGATTCAAGTAAGGTTAATATTTGGCAGATATTTGTTTCAGAAGTTTGGCTCCTGGTGATTGTGTTCTATTCATATGAGTCACAAGAACCCCTATTCATTTCGTTGCCCTCAAAATTGCTGTAAGAAAATTGAATTCCTATGATCGATGAAAGGTTGACTATCACAATTCCTGTTGTCAGACTCCTGTTTCAAAAATTGGAAAACTGAGTGCAGTTGATGGCCAAAATTTTTCTGAAAATGTAATGAGTCATGATGGAATTACCCATAACATGAGATAATTTAATCCTAGAACTGCCAACTACTGATAAAATCTATGGTCGATAGTGGATTTTATTGATGGTTGGCAGTTCTAGGATTAAACCAGGAAATGAATCATATGAAACTCACAAGAGTCCATGTAACTCAAATGTAGGAAAGCATTTAACAGGATGCAAAACTTGTGCCTGTGAGTAGGCCTATTTGGTTGGGAACTTCAGCTATCTAAATCAAAGATTTATAGTAGAATTCAGCATATTTCCTTTTTTTTTTGTATTCTGTGTCAGAATTTTCCACATTAATATTTGTTGCTATCTGGAATATTGGCTTGAATCTTTCTCTGGCATCTCTTCAGTATATTTCAATATATGAGGTGTTTTCAACATGCTATTCCCCTGCCCTCCAGGTGCTCATTTCTTCTGTTTTGCATGTTAGACATCGAATTCATAAATAGTGGAGAAAATATACAAAGTTAAGATATATACTGATTGGCGAATGGAAAATAATAATAAAAATTTGAAGCCATATGTAGTCTGACTATTCACGTTTTTCATTGGTATGTTGATACAGTGATATTTCTGCATGGAATGAATGCAACAGCTAGTGTGACTCTAGAAAGCCAGTGAGAAGTTCTACTTGTGGCACGTACACTGTTCATGAAGTTGGAAACCCATGCTCTTTGCTACACCATATATAAAAGGTTGAGATGAAACTCACTTGTTGTGATTTTAGGAGAAAAAGTGGCAGTCAAGATCATCCCATGCAAGCATCGTAAGAGGCAGCACTTCGAGGCAGTTCTTCAGGGAGAAGTAAATGCAATAAATCTGGATCATCCAAATATTGTGAAGACCTTTTGTGTGTTTGGGTATGACAAGAAGAATGCTTTGGTTGTGATGGAATATGCTGGAAAGATCACTCTACAGCAACTCCTTGATGACCCTCAGCAGCATATGGATCATGTACGGAGATGCCGGTGTGTTTTTGACCTAGTCATGAAGTTGAAGATTGGTAGTATTCATTTTTATGTCAGTGTAGCACACCATTATCTGAAGTTTTACAGCAGTAGTTAGCAAATAAGTTTCAGAGAGGGCTGATGGCAGAATGCTGCATGTTTGTAGGCCAACACCTATCAAGTGTCATTAAAATGAAAGTTTTAATGAATGTCTGATGTCAAATGTGCAGTCAAACATCTACTGTCGGACTGTAATATGTGATAGCTGGGCCTTCACGGGCCAGAGGAAGGGCTTCCACAGGCCCATGGTCCACATGTTGCCAACCACTGTTATACAATGTGCTCAATAGTCAGTATTCACTCAGAGAATTTCATGGCTCCTTGTGAATTAGACCTGAATACTGTAACCTCCTTTATTTAATGGCCCTTTAAGAATGCATGAACTCCTTTGAGCAAAAAAATCTTTTAGCTTAACCCTTTCAGACTTGAATTAAGGCTGCTATCAGAATAATATTCTTTTTTGCATTTTTGAGCTCTTTCGTGATTGTAATTGAAATTTTTATGCTTTATATGTGGTCTTTATATTTTGTATAAATTTACCATATCATACCATATATTATATATTATACATTTAATTAAATAACTGAAGATTACAAAACTAATGGGTGAAGAAGGCCTCTGATGAAACTGAGCCATGCATAATTGTGCCCATTGTAGTGTAATATGGAGCACAAAGTCACTAGAGTCCTAAGAAATTGCCATAGACACAATGTAAATACAATGTCCATTGGAATGGATGCCAAGTCTGAAAGGGTTAAGGGGAGACCCCCCCCCCTTGAAAAAAAAAAGGTTATTATGCAAGATATCTGCATGAAATTTGGTATGCATACATAGTAGGCTAGAGCTTTCCAGTCATGGTCATATGGCCTCAATAGCACACTGGTTGCCATGGCAACCAATTATCATAGTGATATCCATTTTTGAGAAACTACTTAGGAGCATGCTATACTCTAACCTATCAGAGGTAGATGAATAAAACTCAGTGAAATAGTCAGATAGATAACTATTCAACATTTCATTGTGATAAAATTTACAAGATTCACATGTTTTCGATTTTTCCCACTCTGTCATTTCAGGTGCTCCAAAATGACCATACACTCCTAGCTATAAATGTCATAACTATGGCATTTTTAGTGACATTGGAAAACTACCACATAGTGCACAAACCTGCACAAATGTGTCTGTATTGACCGTACAGAATTTGAAGAGAATATCACCAAGCATTCCAGAGATACTGTCCTTAAGTAAGAAGAAACACTTTTGGAGAAAACCGGATTAGAAGTTTCACTTCTCTAATTATCACCAACTATTCAGAAGAGGATGCCTACAAAATCATCATTTGGGGGCAATGGGAGCCAAAATTCTTCATAGCTTTGATGGAATAGGATTGCTCATAACTTTCTACTGAAAATGAAAAAAATCTGTAAAAATGAAATTTTCACCAAGAATTCAAAAAATTTGAGGGGGGATCTCCCCTTAAAGACCCCTTTATCTCCCCTAAGTGAGGTCTGCACATTTGGATCATAGATGCCTTGCAGAGCAGTGAAGCATGGTGGTAAGGTAGAGGAAGGTTGCATGTTTTTTATTTTGACATTATGCATGAAAGTCAGTCTTCAGAGTATGCAAGGCGAATAGTTTTTCCATTATTAATTTAGAAGAAATGCAAGTGCAATTACAGAATAAGTTGAATTTCATTGTTCTCTTTAAAATGCCTTCATCAACTCAAAGAACTCTGACAGAACCTGATGCATCAACATACCTCTCTGACCCCTTTCACATTTCTGAAAATTGGTGTATTTGTTGTAAACAAGTATGACCTTGTGTGGTTGAAACATACAGCATAATTACCTAAATATCTTCAACAGATGGAGCATGTTTTGTCACATAATGTCATTGACTTTGCACAAGATGAATTGTAACATTTTGTTACTCTGATGATAAATACATGAGTCCTTATCCCTTTCAATTTGAAACTAGTTTGTGACAGTAAAAAGCTGGCAATATAAATGAATATTGATGAGGACCACATGCACATATATTTGTTAAACTTTGATGTTGAGCTCCAAGCAAGCCACATTATCAATGGAACACCTTCCTTATTAGAGTCTGACTCAATGGATTGATATTGTTTAATGGAATGCTATTGAAAGGTAATTGCTATCAATTTGCTGCATCCAAAGCTTCAACCATCAGGGTTAGCATATCACACTCATCAGTGAGAAGAGGTTCTTTTCCTGATTTCCTGTTGTGCCTTTGTGCAGAGAAGTTCATTGGATGGATGTCTTGTGCAACATGGAAGAGCTTTTATTAGCATGATGATCACTGTTGGATTGGAGATGAGAAAAGCTGGAACAATATTATTACCTTTCATGATCCTTGATTGCTATTTCTGCAGATATTTCTATGCATGAGATCATGGTGAATATGGATTCCAAGACAGGAATCCATCTTCAAAAAAACCAATTGAACCCATATGACGTTGCAGGCTCCCTGATGCTGTTTAAGACAGAGGCCCCTGTGACATACCTCAGCCAATGTATACAGAGTGCGTAAGAAGTTCTGTTACAAACGTTTCTTTGCCAAAAACAACCAAAGCAACAAGAACGACAACTTCAAGTGATAATTTATTTAGTACAAAGTGTCAGTCAATGTTAGGAACCATAGCTACTCTAAATGTCCGCCACGTTTGGAAATGCAAGCCTTCAATCGAGGGCGGAAAGCGCGTACTGCAGCACGCAGCTGATGCTGTGGAATATTCTTCCATTCTCGGACCAAAGACTTCTTAAGGGCTTCGATGTTGCGGTGGGCACTAGCCCCAACTCTTGTCTCCAAAATGGACCAAATAGAAAAATCCAGAGGGTTCAGGTCAGGGGAGCTGGGAGGCCATTGGTCCTTCGTAATGAAGTCCGAAATTTCATGATGAAGCCATGCTTGGGAAATGTTGGAAGTGTGTGCTGGCGCACCGTCTTGCTGAAATGTCCAAGCCTGGTTGCTGAACATGGTTTGACCCGCATGTTTCACTACTGGGTCTAGAATGAGATCTTTGTACATTGTACTGTTTATCTTGACCCCTTCAGGAACGAAAACCAGATTGGTGCGACTGTTGGCAGACACACCTGCCCAAACCATAACAGACTGGGGGTGTTGTGAATGAGGCACGATTAGCATATCGCCCGAGACATCTGAGATCCGTGGTGCGAGAATCCGATCATTTTGTCGATTGGAGACGGCCTGGATGGTGAACAATTTTTCATCTGAAAACAGGATTTTGTCCACATCATCAGCTGTGAACCGCTGCAGCAGGGCCTTGCTTCGTTGAAGTCGCAACTGCCTTGTGCGAGGTGGCAGCAGTTGCGCATGCTTGCGTTTGAGAGATTTCAGATGAAGATGTTTCTTGACAATAGTTCTCATGGATCCCTCTGATATGTGCATTTCCCTGGCCATCTTCCTCATGGAACGCCTGGGGTTCCGTTGAATTCGGAGAGCCACCTTTTTCACCATCTCTGGAGCCGTAGCAGACCTTGGGCGTCCACTTCTCTCACGATCCTGGATAGAGTGGGTCTGCTGATATCGTTTAATGGTGCGATGAATGAACATACGATTCGTGCCTTGGCCTGAGAGGTCTTTGAATATCTCTGGTGGTGTTTTTCCGCTGAGATGAAGCTCAATGATGGCTGCACGTTGTGCATTCATTTTGGCACAAAAAATGATAGGAACTGATGAGACCAATGCTTCATCTGCAACTTTAAGCTACATGTCCATACAAGTCACACGCCCATAGGCTTGTAAAAGATTCTACCCGGGAGACATTCTATGTGAGTCCAAAGTTTGTAACAGAACTTCTTACACACCCTGTATATGTGGCATATTAACCCTTCACACATCCATTCTCCCCTGCCCATGTGCACTCCCAGGAGACCAAAACAAATAAATCATGATTTTTCCAGCTGTGATATGACATCAATCTTTTCTAAGAAAACTGCCAGAAAATACCTGAAAGCTAAAAGTTACCATTAGCAGGCACAGATGTCATCACTAGTATCAAAATCTCGTCTAATATGGGAACCGTTGAAAAAGTACCATTTAAAATCTCTTGAAACTGAAGCTGCCTGAAGGGTTAAAGGTTCAATAAATGTTATATCCTTGGAGGAGCCACTTGGATGTAATTGCATGTCTGGGTGAGAGTGCAATGGACTGGAACCTTTTCAGCCTAAGTGCCTGGCATCAGCCCTCTGAAGGAATAACAGTCTTCTAATTATCTAATAATAACTTTGATATTAAAATGTATTAATTAATAATAAATTATTGATTAATTTAAAATATAAAATAGCAGTACAATTATTGCAGAACATGAAAAAAAAAAATTAATTGGCTTACTCCTATTAATCATTGGGCAACATGGTGAAACTGCCAAATAATCCTTGGTTTTTGTCTTTCATTTGATCTTTTCATGATTTTGCATGAAAAACTTTCAGGAAAATTTTAAATTATTGGCCAATGATATTTCTTCTTGGAGAACTTTGATATTCAGCCAAGAGAGGCATTTGACTATTACCAGATATTGAAATTGATGTGCATATCCTAAGATATTGTAAAAACTTCAATGCCTTGTAGCTGTGAAAAAAACAGGACCAAGAAGAAGGCACTGCAGGCACACCATTATGTGGTATTTGAAAACTCTAGAAGTGGTCTGCTAGAATGCTGAGAGATTTTTTATGAACCATCTGTACAGAGTGTTGAGCTATATTTTATAGTATGACGTCTATTTTCTGATGACGTCTATTTTCTGATGAAAATAGACGTCGTATTGTCAAATGTGACAAACCTTGCTTAGAGTTTAACTATCTTTCAAAAGTTGCTAGCTGTACTTTTTTAGGATTACTGTGTCCCAGTAGACTCCTTCAGTAGACAATTCTAACACTTTCAATCTGATGGACATAAATGTACATCCAGCTCTAGCTAGCATCAGACAATGGTGGATGCAATTGTACGTCCTTTGAAAATGCTCACATTTTATGTAATTTTCCACAATAAAATAGTTTATGCTTCAATTTAAAAAAAAAGAGCAAGTCTAATATTTTGCATTCTGAAGGTATAAACTTTTTTTTTGCAGACTTCAAAAAATTTCTGTCACACCCTCCAGAGCAAAAGTGTTAAAGCACCCTGTACCTCCCTCTAAGCCCATAACCATTTCTTATCATCCCACTTAAACTTTTTTCTTTCATTTTTTTCTGCTTTTCATGGTTCTTCTTTTGTGCATTGTACCCTGGTTCCCTGAGCTCTATAAGGATCCCCAGTTGACAAATACTGTTATAGATTGGTTTTCAATGAAAAAGTTAAAATTTTCATTTTCATTCATGTAATTCATTGATCCAAAAGTTTTCATCCCATTTTTACCAAACTGCCAAATTTCTTCAGTCTATATGAATTGGAAGATATGATTTTTTAACCCTTTATGGGGTGCTGGTGCCATAGTGCATAATCTCTCTCTCTTTATGCAGAGTTTTAGTTAGAGGTGTTGGTGGATTTCTTGAACCTCTAAATCATGGCTTGTATTGCCACCTCACTTCATTTCTTTACTCCCCTCATTTCTCATTTCAGTGTTGCTTCTTTAAATTTCAGATTTGCCTACCAAGTGGCAGCAGCCTTGAGGTATTGTCATCAGCATCGCATTGCACATTTGGATGTGAAACCCAGCAATATATTGATCAATGACTCAGATTGCTGCAAACTTGGTGACTTTGGGTGTTCCAAGAAGCTTGATCTCTTGCAAGCAGACCCTTGTGTGATATCTGTTTCACCAGTGCGTAGAGAATCATGTTGTGTTTCCAGATGAGCTCCATTCTTCAGTTAAGTTGAAATGGTTATAGAAAAAAACAATATTAGCATTTTTATGTTTCAGCCTCGTGGCACAGTTGTTTATCAAGCTCCAGAGGTCCTTCGTGGGTATCGAGCAACACAAAAGGCTGATATTTACTCATTTGGCATCACTTTGTGGCAGATGAAGACACGGATGTATCCATTTTGGCGTGAGAACACTCAAGTTGTACTCTATAAAGTGAGTTTCAAAAGTTTTCTGGGAAGTGTGGATCAGTCAAATAGGATCTCTGAATATTTTCCCTCCCAAATAGGAAACTCTTGGTCATGGTATGCTAAGTGAGACAAAATTCAACCTTGCCATGCCTGAAATGCATGTCAACATAACAAGTAATCCAATCTGCCTTTTTAAATCAAATTGCATCAATGTCTAGTCTCAAAGGCATGAATGGCAAGTGTGCTATTTCTTATCAAATGGTATTGGTCCGAAAACCATCAAGTTCAAAACTTAGGTGAGGGATAGTTTCAGGTGCAAAACCTTAAGAGGATCAGAAATTGTCTCACCATAGTTAGTTGCAATCAAAATACACTCATCACCCAAAAAAAAATCTCAAAATGGATTTGAGCAATCTTGATAAAGTTTTGTGTGCTACCTTTTAGCCATTAGTCAGGTTTCATTCAAGTTTCAAGGGTGTGGGATGAATATTGGCAGGGAAAACTTGCCAAACACTCCAAATTGAATGGTGGCAAGGTGGTCATGCTAATTGCACAAATTGTTTACCCATAAAAATTAATTAATTTTATTAATGAAATCTAGAGCTGGAACTCTGAATTATGTGTTGGGAAATTGTGTAAAGTTTCTAAGTCGTTTGGTAAGGCATTGCAGAGAAAACTTTCTAAATGCCCAAGGAATTGAGGAAGATAAGATAATGATGATGCCTTTAATAATGCCAGTTTCTGCTCCTTTTCCCTCTTTCCCCCAAAGCAAACTGTGAAGCAATGCCAGTATGAAATCTCAGGAGGCGATCTCTACTCTCTCACTTCCCTTTTTTATTCAATTTATTCACATTTCTTAAATATTCTTTTCTGATTTCTTGAAGAGGGGATATTTGTTCTCTTGAAACATATAAGTTTTTCATATTTAGCCCCTTAACTGTCACATCTGAGTATACTTGTGTGAATGCTGTTGTGCTTTTTCACATCCACACCATTTAATTCTGTAAAATATTCTCAATTTAATCAGTTAGAACTGAAATTTTATGCTTTATGAACATTTAATTGAAAATAGTTTTCTATTCCAGGAACACATATATTTGGTAATGACATAATAGGTTCAGAGTCTGCTTTAAAACTTGGTTAATAAGCTCTTTTCCCTAGTTGGGAATTGTTTTTCAGTGTCATCCCATCATACTTTTTTTTATTCACTCACTGATCCTCTTTGAGGTTTCTGGTTTATTTTGATGTAGCAGTTTGGTGGTCCTTGATTTTTGCTTGTCTGAAGGTAATTTCAACTATTTTTTCAAGCATTTAATCAACATAGGTTAATTGGGATGTTTAGCTTGCATCAACTTGCATTCATCATGCTGATTCACGAATTTGATGCTTACATTCCCGAGTATGTGCATTGTATCTAAAGAATGGTGAGAAACTTAAAACAAAGTTTAAATGTTTGGTTTTTTTTTAATTTTATTTAGGACTGCTGAGAATTTTTGAGAAACAAGTTCACATACAAAAAAATCTAACGTTGAATACCTGAAGGATAACATTTTGAATCAGAGAAGTTTAGACTGGATAGAACGATGTAAATAAACTACAGAAAATGAAGTGGATGTTATTCATACAGGATGCACTTTAATTGGCTTCCAGTCAAATTGGATAACATTTCAGACCAATTGAGTTGCTCCATACTTGAGCCTACCAGCAGCTTGGCTTATATGCTGGCAGGTGATCCTGATGGTGCAAATGGCCCTGAAATCCATCTCATTCAAGGCCTAGGAAATGAGAAAATCATCAAAATCTGCAATGAGAGCACAAACCTTTGTTGGATGTCTCATCTCAGGACGTGCAAATAGTAAGATAACATCTTATTCCTGGTGAGTGATAAAACAGGCATGAGTCGTCGGAAGGACGTATAGGGTGTCCCTAATATTTTCCCCTTTGTGCAAAATTTTTCCCCTTGGGAATAATCAGAGTTGAAAAGAAATTATGGCTGATTTGACTGCTCATTTCCATATCCTCATACTTACAATGATACCTTTTCAAGAAATTTCATTTAAGGAAGTTTATGATGGAATGAATGATTTGATTTTTTGGGGGGTACCCAAAGTCTGTAACTGGATTCTGGGAATGCTGTTACAGATTGTAGAAATGACTAATCTAATCAGCCATCATACTTAAAATCTGTTTCTACCCTTGAGGGAGAAGTTGCCCATGAGGTAACTTTATGGACACCCTATAGGTTCAAAAGGGAAGGGCACCTTGATTGCCCCAAAATAAGGAATAGGAAAGAGTGAAGCCAATTAAAGAACACCCTGTGTTAACAAATACAAGTTGTAACTTAATTATGTTTTGTTTTTGAATACACACCAACACTCACCCCCTTATCCCTTCACCTTTTTTTAAAATTATATTGTAATATGGTGTAGCCATTTTGCCCTATCTAAACTCAGCAAGAGCAGAAGAGAATATATTTTCATTTTTTAATACAAACAATGTTTTTTACATATACACCACTTAACATTCAAAGTGGATTACTATCAATTTTGAGGGTAACAACAAGGTGAAAAAGTATGCGTGTATTGTGTATGTACTTGAACAAGCTTGTTCCCAATATTTTGGAAACTAATTTGATCTGAAACAAATTATCTAGGCTCTGTGAAACCAAATAATAGCACAGGATTAGTTTAACATTTATAGTTATTTATAACAGTGATCCACTTTGAATGTTGAGTGGTGTATATTTCTAGATATTTAAACATTTACTTTAAAGTGCAGTATTTGAAGATGGAATGGAGAAGAGAAAGAGAAAGAGACAGAGACTTGGAGTTAGTCTTAGTGAGGTATGGGAATGAAGAATATCCTGACTCTTCTGCCTTATTTGCCTGCCTCTGGATCCCCTGTCACAAAAATATCCTGGAAATGCCGAAATGCATATTTTTAACACACTATTCACATATTCATGTATCAAATTTAGGTTGCTGCCCGTGGTGAACGTCCCTATATGGATCCTCCGTATTCCTTCGAAGATGAAGATTATCAAGCTCTGATTCAGATGTGTTGGGCCCAAGAAGCATCACAGAGGCCAAATGCAGCAGAGGTCCTTACCTATGTCGATTCCTGGAACGTCCTAATCTAGTGATCACTCTTCCTCAGGGGTGTTTTGAGGTCATGCTCTTACTGCATTTTTGGCCCTGAAAATAGTCTGTTATGAGATGAGATGTGATGTTATCATGTGATCCCATTCCCACAGGATGTGATGTTTATGCAGCTCAGCCTCTTTCTTGTAGGCTCAATTTTTTTAGGGTTTTTAATTTTACATTTCCATTTTAGGATATTTTTATTTGAATAGTGCTGATTGCTTGAACCAAGTGTACCTGCTTTACTCAAACATCCATTGGAGAAATGCTATATAAATAAAGCTTTCATTTGAAGTACCTCTTCATTTTGGTTGAGGCTTTCATTCCACATGTCAAGGTCTGTATCATACCTCAGGATTGTGCATTTTGTTTTGTGAGGGCCAGTAAGAAAAATTCCTATGCACTTTTTTTCTGGAAATATCTATAAACCATGAGGATGTCACTATGAATTGGACATCCTAGCCAAAAAGTATTTCAACATTTAGGCAATGCCATTCATTAATAACCATGTGACTGGAGATTTGGAGAACAGCTGCTTCAGGATAACAATGCTCCAACCCACATGTCACTGTAGTGACCAACCTTTGTTAAGCATTAAACCTCATAAACCAGAACACTGTCCAGCAGATTCATGGCTGACGTATTATACAGGGTATGGAAAAAAAAGACCAAGGACTTTCAACCTAAATATTGTTCCTCCCAATAGAATTATTTTTGTGAAACTTTCACATTGCATATATGGGTATGTTTCAGACTGATACCTCAAGTTTCACCCAAATTTGCAGTGCCGAAGCAATTCTATAAGCAGGTATTGAAAAGAAGTTAAACATAATAGAGGGAGCGTCCGTGAACTCAATTAAGCCATGTCCTCATCTCGACGGCAGGAGGAAATAAAGGACTGATCGCGGGTACTTCATAGAACCGTATGAGTGTTCCGATAAGCGACATTGCAATAGTGACTTAATGTTACCTGCAACGCCAACCAAACACTGGGAAGGTTCAAAATTAACGTTCATACAAGGCTGATTGAATGTTAGTATGTTTGCTGGGCAGCTACTTTGGAAATGGGTTAAATGTTGCGCTTCAACTTCCTGCCAGCCTTGGCCCAACGGTCACTTTTACGTGGGGCCAACGTATCCTGACAGAAGACCACATTAGGCCAACGTGGGCTCCACGAAAAATTCTATCTGGGTTCCTACTGAGAAGCACGTTTCACGGGCCATTTTGACCATTGGTACTCAAACATACCAATGGTAAAAATGAACCAAATTTGTTTTAACATTTATTAATCCTCTTAGTGCCCAAAAAACAGGGCCAGATTAAGGTTATGAGGGGCCTAAGGCTTAGGGGAGGGAAGGGCCTACGCATGAATTACAATTGCAAAAAAAATATGGAATGGAGGGCCTAAAGTAAGGCCTAAAAATATGAGGGCCTAAGGTTATAGCCTATGGGTTAATCCGGCCCTGCCAACAAAGATATAAATATACATCGTTGTTTGCAGGGCCGCCCAGAGGTTTCCAGGGGCCCAGGGCAAAACTAAACCGCAGACCCCTTGGGAGCCCCCCTTGAGGCCCTTCTTGAGACCCCTTTGATACGTGGGGCCCGGGGCAGATTGTCCCTTTGTCCCCCCTCCTCTGGGCGGCCCTGGTTGTTTGATCCTCGCGCGGAAAATGAGGGAGGGAGGTCCTGGGGCGTATTCTATTACCCAGATAACATTTTTCGTGTGGCCCACGTTGGCCCAAAGTGGTCCTCCAACGTCAGGATACGTTGGCCCAACGTTGGCAGTAAGTTGGATAGCAACGTATAACTACTTACTCAAGTAGCTGGTTTTTGCACTATATCATCATTCCGTACCATATACTTAAATTCCCTATCCAGTGGAGGTATTCCCATCTATAGTACGGAACCTGTACTATGTACTACAACCTACCAAGGACACGTATATATGCCCTCGATAGGCAGGAGACATAGACGTGGACCTATCCCTGACTGTACTGAAGACAGTACATGTCAGAGAATGGACCACCTCATACGGTTCTATGAAGTATCCCTGATCAGTCCTTTATTTCCTCCTTCTGTCGTCGAGATGAGGACATGGCGGAATTGAGTTCACGGACACTCCCTCTATTATCTAGTTCTTTTCAGGTAAATTCCTCCTGTCATTTTTTTCAATGACCTTTTATTTACAAGGAAAGGATATGAGGTGGGGAGGAGTAGAATATACATAAGAGGGTATAGAGATAATAGATGGTTGGTAGAAGTGCTGGAAGGTTCATTCAGACGAAGTGGTAGAAGTGAAGATCATTTGGTTGAGTGAAGCCGCGACCAGCCACCGGGTGGTGTTATCAGGCCAGGGATTTTTCCCGCATTTCAAATATGTTCTCATAAGGAATATGAGCTTGTTATGTCCCTTGCCTGAGCTCCATGAACCTGTCTTGAGTAAGTGGATAACAAATGATGAAATGTCCGCGTTTATTGATTCCTATAATGAGACTAGGCGAGACATTTGGCGAGGTACTAAACAATTCTGCGAAGGACGATTCCAGGGAAAGAGGGAGAGGAACTTCTGCGTACTGTGTGAAAAGTGAGACCCTTACCTCCATCTAGTGGCCTGGCGAAGAACTTGAAGGTTTTGAAGTTCTCCAGGAGTGCTGCAGTTCTTTTCAACATGTAGATATGCCCACGTTGGGCCCACATGGGGCCAACATCGTTCCCCAACATTCACATTCTGCCAACGTTTCCCACCTTTATCCAATGTGGGCCTAACATAACGTGTTATCTGGGTACGTTTTAAAGAGCAATTTTCTCTTAGCAAGGTGGTTAGCTGGTACAGTATTTGCCCCATTAAAATGCATGGCCGAGGTTGAGCAATTTGTTTAAACTCAGTCTAATATTTTTTATTAAAGAATACGGCCCCTGGGCACTAAGAGGGTCTATGAGGCCTTCGCATTCTGGATTTTCTCCACTCGTAAGCATATGAGAATGACCTTTGGTGCGTAGTTCCACTGAAAGGACGGGAATCGCGTTGTCGGGCAACACTCCCCGAACAAGAATGCGGAATCTTTTCCAGTTTGTCAATAGGGTGGGTTTATGTTAATTGTACGGGAATCTCATAGAGATTCCCGTAAGGCCCGAATGCTGAAACCTCCTTTAGTTAACGGTCCTTCAAGAATGCATGGACTTTTATGGGGGAAAAGAACTCTTAAGCTTAAAGGCTCCTTAATCTCACCTAAATGAGGTTTGTGCATTCGGGCCTGAGTCTTCAAAGCTAGAGGATTTCCGTACAAGGCAGTAGCTGAATCAACTGAATTGTTATGGTTTGGAATAATGTCTACCTGAGCATTCACAGCTTCACCCCATGAATCGTCAAAACAGTCTCTTAGAAATTGCAAGAGTTGAGATTGAGAGATGGAACATGCGGAGTGTAAAACAGACAAGGATACATTCACACTGAACAGTTTACAGCTGTCGCAACAATTGCAATAGATGAATGCGTGATCATCGACAGACCTTGTTCACCGGGATCCATTCAGGATCTGGAAGGTTCGCCATGCTGAATGTGCTAATCGTTTTCCTTGTGATCCCTGGAGAGCGACACTCATGACTCTTGGCATACTGTTCCTTAATGTCATTAATGTTCCTTAATGTTAATTCCTTGCCTAGATCTGCGTTACCAAAATGCGTCAACTGTCGCCGAAACCGATTTCATAAAAACTTCATGCACAAATTGGCCAATTCATCATCGAAAATTCACAACAAACGTTAAGATTTTATATTGCTTGGAATTTCCCGAAGGAAAGTCGGTTCGGGAAGAAAAGCAATCCTTCCGTGAACCTTTGTAATATCACCATTTCATAGCCCCGATACTTTAAATGATTGTAAGGATTTCTAGCGATGAAAGTATGCGGGAACGGCGTTTTCACTAGCATTTTCTTTTCAAGACTTCGTTGCAGCATTTCAGAATATGTTTCAGAAGATGAGGTACATGGCCGAAGGGAAGTATTTCGAAAAAATCAATATATTTTTCACTTAGGTAAAGTATCTAAAGTATCAAGTCTAACAACTTTTGGAATGACCCTTGCACCCCTTGAAGTATAAAGACCTGAGCAAGAGTCTTGCCGTTACAACCTAAGAATTGTGAAATATGGACGATTTAGAGGACCTGTGAGCCTTTTTTTTTATTACTACCGATAGGAAGAATGAATACGAAAGAAATTCCCTTACAACATTCGACTTGTAAAGTACCCATATTCGGCACAGTTACAACCAGTGGCGTAGCGAGGGGGGCTGGAGGGGCTTCAGCCCCCCCAAGTTTGGTTCAAGCCCCCCCAACTCCAGTCTAAATGCATCCGCCACCCCTCCCCCTTCCCGGCGAGGAGATGTAAGCCCCCCACTGTTCCACTTAGCCCCCCCCCAAATTTTCATGAAATGGTGGAAACAGAATTTAAACAATAAATGATTCTAGCACATTCGATATTTGAAACAAAGCTAAAGGTGAACAGAGTTAATTTCGGGATTCAGTCCAGATTTCACTGTACAGACATGCAACTGGAAATTCATTAACCTGTACTTTATTCATGACTTTCATCCGAGTTGTGGTCCTTCCGTTTTCATAAAAAATTTAGCAGCGTCACGTCTGCAGGAAGCTTCTGTGACATTTTCTCTTTACCGCAGCGAGTAGCCACATGTGACTGATATGACCTTCACCTTTCACTTCCATATTTGCCCCTTCTAGCCTCGCTCTCAGGTCGTTTGCTCAAGATATCTTTCTGCGTCCCCCACCCTCGGAGGAGAGGGATCGTGAGAGATGCTATCATGAGCAGGGGTTTTGGCACATTTTTTGCAAGAGGGACACCCGGCCTTCTCAAAAATTCTCTGGAGTCGTTTTATCATACAATTTGAAAACATTCAAGATTCAAGATTTAGTGACATCAAGAGGCGATTTCGCCCATTTCGATATCACGTGTCGAGGTCGAGCGTTCCTTAATTTTAGGGTAGGCCTAACCCTCTTAAAGCTAAAAATTTTTGTATTTTTTTTTTACTATCCTAGTTGCTTACTGTCTAGTACCTACGTCAACATTGCCCCCCACCTTTTTGCCTGTCCATGAAAGCATCTAGTTTCTTCTTAAAGATAGTCACAGAAGGGGCAGCCACTACTTCGTCATCTAACGCATTCCACGCGTTCACCACTCTGCAAGTAAAGAATTCCTGTCTCGACCTGAGCCGCACCTGCGGTTTGCGCAACTTAAGTCGGTTACCTCTCGTTCTCTTGCTGTCATCAAACTGGAAAAACCTACCACACTCGACATTATCTATTCCTTTAATTATCTTGAAAGCCTGGATGAGATCGCCCCTCCTTAACCTTCGTTCGAGCGAGTACAGTCTCAGCACTTCTAAACGCTTCTCGTATGATAGTCCCCTAACCTCCTTAATCATTCTTGTGGCCCTCCTCTGTACTCCCTCGAGCGCCAACAGATCGCCCTTATTTGTAGGCCTCCAAAACTGGATGCAATATTCCAGCTGGGGTCTTATCAGCGCCGCATACAACGGAAGAATAACGCGAGATGTCCTACTTGCAACCGACCGACGAATGTAACCTAGAATCCTATTGCATTTGGCCACCGTCGCTTGCGCGTGCGAGGAAAATTTGAGGTCCTCGTCGATAGAAACACCTAAATCTCTCTCTCCGTTTGCCTCATCCAATTTAACATCGCCGAACGTGTCGAGAGACCTACCGTTGTTTCGACCGACGTGGAGAACTTTACACTTACTTTTATTAAACCTCATGAGCCATTTCTTGCTCCACTCGTCCAAAAGCCTTAAATCTCGCTCGGCTCTAGCCCTATCCGCCTCCCCCCTTATGGTAAAACCTATCTTGGTGTCGTCGGCAAATTTACTTATCTTACCCTCTACGCCGAGATCCAAATCGTTTATGTAGACCAAAAACAGAAGCGGTCCAAGGACCGAGCCTTGAGGGACACCGCTTGCGACTCCGACCTCCTCCGACGCTTCCCCATTTATCATCACCCGTTGCTCTCGTCCTGCCAACCAGCTACTGATCCACTCACTCGTCCTACCCTGGATCCCGTGCGCCTCCAGTTTAACCCGCAACCTCTTGTGAGGAACGGTATCGAAAGCTTTCGCGAAATCTAAATAGACGATGTCCACGGGATTCCCTTTATCCCTCTCTTCCGTCGCCCAGTCGTAGAATTCGAGCAAATTGGTGAGACAATTTCGACGCCTCCTAAAGCCGTGTTGAGAGTCCCGAATGAGCGCGTTTCCTTCGAGGAAATCCAAGAGATGGTCCCTTAGTATGCTCTCCATGATCTTCCCTGGGATACTCGTGAGACTTACCGGCCTGTAATTTCCTGGATTACTCTTTTCGCCCTTCTTAAAGATCGGTACGACGTTTGCGCGTCTCCAGTCCTTAGGTACTTCCCCGCGCGAGAAGCTGCTATCGAATATAATTCTTAGCGGAACCGATATTTCTCTCGCGGTTTCCTTAATGACTCTCGCAGGAATCCCATCGGGGCCGGTCGCCTTGCCCACCTTCAGCTTCCCTATCATATTCTCGATCATTTCCTCGGTGATGGAAATATCCTCGATGCGCGCCGAGGTCACCTCCTCCAAAGTCGGTGCCGAGTCGGATTCGACAGTGAAAACGGACGCGAAGAACTCGTTAAGTATACTGGCCATATCCAGTATACTTAACTTAACATCTATTAAGATATCAAATATCTGAAGAAAGAGAACCATTGGATTCATTCTCAATTGACGCAGAACGAGCCAAGTCCGGTCTCTGAAAGTTGACTACTGTTCAGAATCGCGGATGGGAGACCAGAGCCTGGAGGCTTCCCCTGACTCATAAACAACTCTAAGGGTATCACATTGTTCACGTAAACGATAGCAGGGAGGCCGGTCCCACCGTCTGCAGTGCGCATGAGCAGGTACCTGCTAGTAAGAGCTAGCATGTTTTTATGCTCCTTAGCTGTTTGGTAATCCGAATTCGCATTATTTATATCTACGCAGTTGCCATGGATAATAAAAAAAGACCCAAGGTATGCTATTCATATTAGCTCGATGCGATTTTGTTTAGAAGTTGTGAAACTCGCAAGGGAAGAAATTCGACCGTCATTCTTCTCTCTTCGACATTTCCCAAAAGCGCGATATTTGGCGTCCCGCTTACTTCATCGGGGGACACCGGGACATGTGGTCTGAAAGTGGGACTGTCCCGCCTAAATCGGGACGTCTGGTCACCTTGACCCTACACTGCATGATGTGCCAGATATGGCACGCTCCGCTTTGCATTGAAACGTATTGCAATACAATGGAAAAATCAAAATGAAAGGATAATTTTAAAATTATTTTTCTCATAATTCACGTGACAAAATATGGTCGTCAAAAATGTTTTTGGTACAGTTAGAAAAATCATGCATTGTACGGTTAACCTATTTCCTAACCTAATGTCCCTCTCCTATCCCAACATGGCGACTTCCAATTCTACCGATCTTAACAGCGAAGTCAGTTTTGATTTTGTTTGCCTTGGCTATTCCTTAACATATGCTTGGTCCATTTTCATCAGTGCTAACCTTTTGTTGACCCCAGTGACACGTCTAGGATTTTCAAATGAGAGGGATATAGTGGCTGACGCCTCGAGGGGAGGGGATTATTACAAAATTTCCTGGACTCTTAAAGGCGGACAGACAAAAATAGGCGCAAGGGTGAGCTGACAGTCACAATGGGGGTTTAAACTCCCAACCTCCCTTCCCCCTTCCCCCCTCTCCGTAGACGTCACTGGTTGCTTCCGCTGAAGTTAAGCCTACTACTGCAAATCATTAGTAGTAAAAAAAACTTGTAGACCTAGCGTTGCAAATGTTTTAGCTGGGGTTATGAAACAGGGCTCGTTTGGCTTTGTTCAGTCTATGCCATCGTTTCACATAACTTTACAGGGGTGTGAAACTTCTTCAAACTGAGGACTACCTGTCTGAAGATGCAGTCTAGGCCTGGGTCTTACCCATGGGCCTCGAATCATTACCTCTTAATGTGCATGCAATTAAAATAATACTTGGGTTGCCACCTTTGAATTGAACAAGATGTGGACAAATATTCAAAGTATACCCTCTTCCACATGCCAAGGTGTCAATCGGTACAATAAGAGTGTGGCCCATTGCTTTTGACTTACAGAGAAGAGCAGTTTTAGCTGCTATTAAGCTTTATCAGTTCACAAAATCTTAACAAGTTTGAAATATGGACAAAGCAGTGTTGATATTGAGACCATTTTGCAGCATGAACATTGTAACTGAAATATGTGCTATTTACTAATTATGAATTAGTGGCAACCCTAAATGAAACTGATATAACTAAAGTTAAAAATCTAGTGAGAAGTTATGATATTAGAACTTCAGGAAAACCACCCATAGAAATATTTTTAAAATCGTAAAACTTCTGGGGGAAAGCTTAGTTACATGAACAGGAGTCATCAGAGTGGGAATATGCTTAGCTAGGAGCTGTATATCACTAGTTCTTACTATAAGGCATCTATCATCTATCTATCATGTTCTTGTAACACTTTTTATGAAGAGAAAGTGGGCAGTCCAGAAGCACTGGATGAGATAGGCCCAACTTTTTGCCCTGTGGAGACTCCTGCATTGTCATAATAATTGTATACTGAATCATTGAAGATAGAGAGCTCTCAAGCAATATGGGATTTCAAGCAAAGAAAGGGGAAAAAAGGAATACATTCACTTGAATTTTTTTGTTTGTTTTTGGAATGGGATATTTTAGAAACTTTTGAGCTTAAAAATTAGGCTTTGTATCTAAGAGGGAACTGGTGATGTTAAAACAGTAAAATTCTCAAAACTGTACAGAACCCTTGAAAATCTGTTGGAATGCCGTTGGAAAAATGAACTCAACTTGAGTTGACATGCTCTTCAGATCTTGAGGTTAGAAACTTCAAAACAGTAATTTTCTTCATATTTGCAATGCATGTATGATTGAGGATACTGGTTCCTGTGTTGTCTAATGGTACCTGGCTTGTGTTAACATCTTGTAATCTCTCGTGTTCTGATATAATCCACTCTCATGAAAGATCATGGATAATTAGAATTTTAAATTGTTTGAGCCTGCAAAATATATCACATTTCTTTTAAAATATTTATATTATTCATTTTCTTTTCAGTTTGTAGTGTTGGAGTTGAGGGAATTGGTGGCTGAATTACTCAAAGAATTGGATCCATTCCTGAAGCAGTGCATGGCATTGGTTGAGCAGAAATGGAGGGAAGTTAGCCTTTCCTTTGCTGTATCTGAGGAAAGGGAATCATCTCTTCAAGTTCATCCTGCAGCAGGACCATATGCCACCCCCAAGCTGAACAAGCTGTCTGGATTACAAACTGACTATGAGAAAATATTCAACCATGCCATGAGACAGAGGAGCCCAGAACTTCCTAGAACTATCCTACCTGATGAACCTTTGAACCTTTCATTGTGTTAACATTCAGTTTTTTGGTGCTGTGATAGAAGTGGGAAAGAAGTACATATGCAAAACCCTCAAACGGGCATTCTTCTTTTCTTTTATTTCTGTGAAATGAATATTTCTTCAGTTTTTCATGGGTTGCACAGGGAGCTCTGAGACAGGTGATGATCAATGAGAGGTTCTCTTGAAAAGTTTTTTGATTTAACACCTGAAACGAAGACAGAAGAATACAAGCCAAATCACTTGCTGAATGCACTCTTATGGGTTGCTTGTGCAAGTTATGTCTTGTTCTCCTAACAATTTTAGAGTGGCAGCAGTTAGACATTGTGTAAGCAGCTGATCCCATGGTTGAAAGACCTGTTCACAAAATTTACTGTCATTTTTACAACTGGAAGAGAGGCTTATCAGGAGAAGCTTATCTACAGGGTGTCCCAAAAGTCCCTTTACCCATATGTTTTCCATACTCACTTTGCAGTAACAAAATGGAATACTGGATATTGTAATAGTACATTTTATTGTCTGTACAAAATGAAACACTGGACATCCTCTTCAACATTAAACATCAATAGCATCAGTGTGGGCACCATTGTTTTCTGCTGACAGACTGATACAGTGCAAGGCCTGTTGGTTCATGTTTTGTAGCATGAGTGGTGTGACTTTGCAAAAAGCACTACAAACTGCTTCTTCCAATTGTTGTGTTGTCTCATGTCTTTGGTTGCGGACTTCCTGTTTAGCGAATCCCCAAAGAGCATTATCACAGATTGAAAGATCTGGACTATGTGGAGGCCAGCTAAGCAATGCAGACAGTCTTTCTGATCCCCTACCTTTCCATCTACCTGGGAAAATTTCTTTGGAATTAATTTTTCCAAATTTTTGCAGTGGTGTTCAACTGGAAGTCTTCAAGTTATCTTCAAATGTAAGAGAAATTAGATTGGAGGCAAGTCCCAATCTTGGCATCCTCTGACAGCAATGTGAAGCAAAAGTCGTCTTGTGCTTGATGATCAAAGGTGGTATCCATAAAAAAAATTCATCAAAAAGCTCATGAAGTCAATATTTGCATTTATCACTGCTGTCAGTGAGCACCAAGATCAGGGGTCACCTTCCAAGTTCACTGTTTCTGACATAGAAAGCAAGTAGTTACCTTTCTTCCCATAAACTGCAATTGGTCACTTTCCATGGTGGCAAAGTAAGCAGTCAACTCCCAAGTGTTGTCACAGCCTGCTTGTTGCACATCTTAGGTCGAAATTCAGTGAGGGACATCAAGAAGCACTTTCACAAATTATGACGTCCCATGTCAAGGTTAAGCATTAATAGGGCCCCCCCTCATGAAGATATTCTTGTGTGCGCATATTCACCTACACTCCTGTCAGTTACGTCGTCAGTTACGTCGTCAGTTACGTCGTCAGTTACACCACTCTTTTTTTGTTTAGCCCATAAATCCCAAGAGGGGGGAGGTTGACTTGAAAAATTGGTATTCCACCCTGCATATAGGGCCAAAAAAAAAATTTTTTTTTGAGAATCGAACCTGTGAAATGTATTCCAAGGGAGGAGGAGAGGGGGTTATGACCCCCAAAACCCTCTCCCTTGGACACGCCACTGAATGCATCTGACCTCTTCTTGAAGCTAGCCACAGAAGGGGAAGACACTACAGGATGATTCATAAGTTTGTTACCACAACACCTACATTTACATGGAGAGAACCATTTGCCCCACACAAAAAAACCAATTACACTGTTGAAAAGAGTGCCTTTTTCCCGACAGAATGAGTAACTGTCCTCTCCCGCAGAGAGAACCATTCCAAGGTGGCAGTCTATTACGTAAAATGTTCTCCCAACAGGACGGCGCCTTACAGCATCACGACAAGTTAGTGCATTCACTTCTGAATGCTGCATTTCTTGGCCAACAGGGTCGACACGGCTTTCAGGAAGAGGCTTCCAAGCCCTGAAGTTGGGATCACTACATTTATGTCAAGTGTCAAGGACCTCCTTGAAGAAGCTTGATGCCACTGCTTTCACACATTGTTGAAGTGCGTGCAGAATTGAGTGAGGAGTCATGAGGGGAGGGGCTACTTGGAGTTATAAGAGAAAATTTTTTTGCTCATTTCATTTGCATACATTTGAAATTACTAATGACCCTCTTTGGGTGGAAGAAAAGATCCCTAAGGCAACTTATTCCCTCCAAAGATGCATTTATTTCAAAAGATTGACTCTGCTGATGATTATGCAAAATTCAATTCATATCTCACCAACTCAGCTGCCTGCTCTGTAGATGGTTTACATTTATTGCCTGAGGGGAATATTAGAAAGTTTATTAAATAAAATGACTGGACGGGACAGTCCTGGTTATGGCTCTTTCCGTCAGACAACTGTCCGAGTTCTTTCTTTCCAGTGTCCTGATTTCTTCTTTCTGGCGAGCAGCTCATAGACATAACGTCAAATGAAAACGTAGGGATGTCCTAGGTTTTTTTTTTCCGCCTCCCCCTAATAAAAAAATCTGGTCATCCCATTGACCCTGCCCTCGAAGTGACAAGCCAGGAATCACAATGGCAACTTTTTTTCCCGAACTAATTGGCACATATTCAATCCTTGAGAATGTCCGATTTAGGGGCAGTGCTCAGGGAGCAGCACTGGCTGCGTGGCGGAGAGGATAGTTCTCTCCAAAGTGTCAGCTAACCTTCTGAAAGGGGGGGGCAAGAGGTTCAGAACACCCCTCAGGCCGGGGGGAGTTTTATGAATGCGCATGCCAGAACTCAGTCGGAGATATGCATCTAACTGAAAAAAGTTATAGAGCTAAGGCCTCCTGTGCCCCCACACTTGAAAAAGAAGAGGGATTTTCTTCATCCCTTATCTCCTTCCCGCTTCGCATGCCTTTGGTATGCGTTATGGATTGCAGAAATATTCATTATTCACAAGTTCGTATGAAGTCTAATCAATCGCTATGTCGTTGCCGTCACATCCAAATTGTTAGTTTTCTCCCCAACACTAGAACGATTCAATCTGCACTAAACAGTCACCCTTCTCCTCTCGTCTCTTCCCCTGTCATTCAGATGGGCTGACGGCATAGGCCCGAATGCACAAACCTCAGCCTTTAAACTAAAGAGCTATTTTCCCCAATATGAGTCCGGGTGTTCTTAAAGGACCGTTTACTAAAGAAGGTTTCACCATTCGGGCCTTAACCTTCATTTCAGAACCATCGTCGCATTTCCGCCAAGGTCCCAGCAATCGCACGGGATTCATGATCAGTCATGGCTCAGAACAGGTGCATGTGTGAGACTAAATACGTTTGAAAAACATGAGAACCAGCTTTATCGGTACGTGTCATCTCTGGGAGCCTTTTTCCATGGAGCTGTACGAGTTTAGAGGATAACTCTTCCGTCACGGCTCTGCTGATGGTAATGATGATGGCTACGACGACAGACACGATGTGGAGCCGTGTGAGAAAAATCCGGTCAACCATTGACCGACATGCGATCGATTCTCAAGCTCCGAAGTCACGTCCTGGACGCATGCAAGATGACGGTGCATCGATTCCTAGGAAGTTGGGAGAGTTTGCATAGATAATTTGGGGGAAAATATAACTGGGATTTTCAAATGATCAAGTAGCTTCTTTGCTGAATTCTCTGAGAAACAGGGGTGAGTATTCCGACTATTCTAATTATGTGAGTGTTTATCAGCAGTGTTTATCATCAACAATTCACATTAAATTTTCAAATGGAATAACGCAGTATTCATACATTGCATTGTTTGAATAGTTATTGCAGCTATTCAGTTTCTCTGATAATGCATTCATTGTTCTCAGAAAAAATGCGCAGGTCTCTGTTGAAGATACACTCGATAATTACGCATCCAGTCTTGCATCACTGTAAGTCCTCTGCAGCCATCGATAATGTCAGTGGGGTCGACTTAATTAAATGAGGAATCCTTGGATTGATGTTTTAAAACAGTATAAGCGACCAGGTATTAAATTGCAATCATCGATAATTAGCGAAATCGCTTCCAAAGTATTCAAATATTCGAATTGAACAGCATTCATGTTCAAACAGGAGTTCATAAATTCTTATTCGTATTCACAATTCAATTAAGGTAGTGGACTGCTATTTGAATTCATGTTTTAACTGCAGCGCATATGTTTCGCATTACCCTTCAATCCCGAGAAAGATTCCATGCAAAACGATGTGCGATTCCCGTGACTTCGCATCAGGTTCTCGTTTATGTGGGCTCTATCCCATTATTTGGTCGTTTCATTCGGGTTCTGACCAGCTGATACTTATTAGTGGAAAGGAAGTAAATGTGAGGGAACGAAGAGGACGTGTCGAGAAGAAGAGTGAAGAACAATGCATGTGTATGCCAGTCACTATAGTGGAAGTGGAGGGAGCATGCCCCGAGGCAACTCTCTCGTGCCGACTGGAGCCTGGCACCGATGCACACCACGAGTATAGGCCCAGCCAGGCTTAGGAGAAGCGCAGAGCTCGAACCTCACATGCCATCGAATGGAGAGGTGAGGGGGGGGGGGGGGGATACAGTACGTTGTAGCGGTTCTTCGGACCACGACTCAAAGGAATGACTCCTTTCTTGGAAGCGCTTTGGAAGCATCGGGGCCACCAGGGATATGTCACCACCTCCTGGGCGAGGCTAATAAGGTTTTTGCGCTGTTCCTCAGGACGAATTTTCTGGAACACACGTGAAGTTAAAAGGGCTGGGTTCGTCCAGACAGTCACTATTTCCCATTTGTGCGAGGTGGACGTGTTCAATATCGTTTTACGAAATGTCAGTCATTGTGTGATTCTTGAGCGCAATGCGAAGACATGCATAACTAGTGATAGCATAACTATTCCGAATTGATGAGCTGTTATCAGTCTCTATTAGGAAATAAACAAAATGATCGGGTGTAAATAATTTTCCACGTCTGTCTTCGTGGGCAAATTTGGAACGAGTGGCTGCGTAGTTCCCGATTTCGTCGTCGGAATGACGGTGAGAGGCATTTTGGCCCAAGTGCGTAGGTCGGATAATGCGAAAATGCTGGAAAGCTATGTGCCAGTCAGCGTTGACATAGCACAATTCAAACCCTCAGAGATGATCGACGCCCATCTGTTATATTAAGGGTTAATCGCAATCGCTTTTTTTTTATTTTTCAAGCCTCCTCTTCCTTCCCTCTTGAGAGGGTAACACTTGGTACCAATTTCGATGGTCAGTTGATTTCGCAGTATGAGCGTAGTACATAGAAAATCCATCTAGTTTTTCCTTCTTCGAGGGCGACACTTTTCGCTAAGGAAGGTTGGATGAATATTTATGGACGGGAAGTTGGGATTTGGACGAGGAAAGAGAAGAGGTCGCGAAATCTAGAATCCAGCGAAATTCAGTGGAGCCGGCGGCGCAGGGTTAGCTAGTGGCTATGGCGCACGAATGGGGTTTGGCTGGTTCTCGAGAACTGCCGTCCAGGCGTCCACATGTGGATTTTGCGGCGTTGCACTCCGACGTGCTCTCTCCTACTATGCCTCTAACGATCGCTCCTCTTCCTATGTGTTATTGCTGCTGTAGAGTCCGCTGAATGCATCATGGGAATGCGTTTCCATCAGCTGCACTAAAGGAACGAGACGCAAAATGTGGACTAGGTGTGCTGCTGCCTCAATGTTCGTGCTGTTCGGAATATGCTTCTTCTCGTTACCTGTCTTGGAAGCACAAGACGTGTTTCAAGTTCAAACTCCAAGGGAATGGTCCAACACCACTATTGCAGGTGAGTGATCGATAATGATCTAAGCTCAGGCCTACCGCTTGTACTTCTCGTTGTCCGGCGCAATATCCCACCTGCAATTGAAACTAGGCACAGCTATCGATTAATGGGGTCAATGCCTACTGCCGGACTCCTTTATGTTCCCTAAATCACTATGGCATTCATCAGCCCTATAATGCCAGTCGCGTAGCTCTGTAGATATGCTTGGCTCATCTGCATTAGTGCGAGAACTATGCCACAAATGAATTACGAATTCAGTCGCATTTCGTATCCATGTTTAGGTATGCGTAGGCATAGAGGCCGAGGAGAACTTTACTTATTTATCGTTTCATCGATTATCTTCATCGTCTACTCATAATATTTAAACAGCACCCAGGCTGGTTTCGTGTTTCATTTAATTGGACTATGCAAATCGGAGGCTCCTGCAATTCGATTACTGCGTTCGAGTTGAGGGTACTATTTCGATGACTGCGTTCGAGTTGAGGGTACTATTTCGAACTACTGGCCTTGGTCTCAATTACCGCTCGGCAAAGGATGGTTGAGGATATCCAGAGGTCTGAAAAATGCAGGGCATTGACCTCGGCTTAAGGTTGACGGTCTCCTTGAAAGTAGCCAAGATGTTGTGTAACGGCATTAAGAATTCAACGGACGTGAGTTTGGGGTTCCCTGTAGGTTCTGCTATATACTTGAGAAAGAAAAATTCGCCAGTAAGATTGATCTGACCGGGATACGGAACTGCCGATGGGCGGTGGATAACAGAGGTCTCGTGGACAGACGCGGAGACATTAGTCATCCGATAAGTTGGCACTCTTCCAACAGGTCATGTTTTTTTTTTTTTAGGCCTCCGCCATTGAATTCCTTACCTTTTTTTTTTCATTTCTCAATACACCGGACCTCCAGCCACGTTTGAAGGCCAAGGGCTTTGGATATCACTGCGCTTCCTCGATGTTCGCATTACTCCAATGCCGAGGAGAAAACAGCAGAAAAGCTTTGAATCGTGCGTGCCTGCATTCAGCAATGTATTCGTTTTCGTCCGTTTGGCCTTGACGTGGCCCTACAGTATTGACCGAATTTCGTAATTAGAACAGGACCTTTCTCAAACACAATCGAGAGATTTTCTACTCCCATGTGAAATGCTACCGCCACGTACCTGGAAGGAAAATGCGCGCTTGTAAGAATATTCGTGCCCGTGCGTTCCATGCTCTCTCGTCGTGGCTCTTCCTGTCGATCTGATAAATCCCTGCTTCTTATGATACGCTTGAAGAAGAAAGGGCAGAGGGATTCATTTTGAACCTCTCCCGATGACGCTGTCATGAACCCGATCCCCATCTGGGGTGGGTGGAGGGGACGGATGTGGGGTCATTTGCCATGAAACTTACGCGTTCTAGATGGATCCAGTGCAGAGCTACCGCACGAGCATGCTTCCTGTAATTCTACTGTTTCCTGCTTTGTTCTCCCTCGCGATGTGAACGAATGGCGGAACCTGGATAAAGAAGGCGTATATAGCCTCTCTTTTAAGGGCGGTTCCCATTCTGTCGCAGTAAAATGCTGGGTCTTCCCCAGCCTGCGTTTCCCCAGAATTTATCAGTCGCAGGTGACATTTGTCCAGCGGCGTAGTGTCGGGAGAGCCGGGGGGGGGGGGGGGGGGGGGGGGGGGGGGGGTCAAAGCTTTTCTGCTGTTTTCTCCTCGGCATTGGAGTAATGCGAACATCGAGGAAGCGCAGTGATATCCAAAGCCCTTGGCCTTCAAACGTGGCTGGAGGTCCGGTGTATTGAGAAATGCAAAAAAAGAAGGAAAAGACCCAGAAATGCATAACAGTATCCCAGAGTTCCCGTCGCCCCCCCACACTTTTTCCATCCACGCTACGCTTATGCATTTTCGATTGCCTTCGGCAGTCTCCATTGTTCTTTTGGTTGCTGATTGCCTGCGCCGCTCAGCTCCCTTGCCTTCGTGGCCGTAGAAAACCCCGATTTTTGTCACCAATGCGTATTTTACTTCCCAGGAATGTTAGTAACCTTGACCTACAAGAAGACGAATAACTTGCCGCATCTCGGCCAGAGGCATTGTTGCGAAGCCATCCATTTAGATTTTTCACTAATATGGACACGCATACGTGCAGTTTTAATCAATTATATTCTCCATGATCCGGAAGAACGAACTCGTGCCTGGAAGACGACTCAAGGCGCCCTAGACTCGAAGAGTTTCAAAGCGTGCCGTTCAAAGTTGGCTTTTAGTCGCTCTTAACTCATGCTGATATTTTTGTTTTCTTGTAACATGAAGCCTCCCTGGACTCTGGTCTTTAAATATATTGCTTTATTGCCATCCTGGTCGTTTGCATTCCTTTCTTCCACTGCACATAGTACATAATCGAGCAACAGGGGATTGGAAAGGATCCCCCTTCTCAAGAGTGTCTTCATTTTTAATAGCGGTTGCATTTTTTTTTCTGCTTGATGTGTGGTGAAATCCTACTAGTTGGCAGGGCATACAAGTCGAGGACGAAAGGTCTCACTTTCTCCGATGTTCTTGCCTCGCTATGTTCTTGCCAGTAGGAAAGACCAGACGACAAGTCTGACGCCTCCCTTTCAATGTTTGATGAGATCTCAATTGCCTCTGCAACTGAACGAGAGCGCATGTGAAAGGGAACTGTTGATTCATTTGCTCGAAAAGGAATGTATGGTTTGATGAGCCATGCAATGGGACACGAGGAATCATTTCTGTTAAGCTTTTCAGGTGGCCTGCGTTAGTTTGAAAATGAAAGAAAATTTTTGCCCTACTTCCAAGAGTACTCCTTACCATGGTTCCTCGGGCGTTTCATTCCGGTAAATTGGTGAAGCTCCCTGTCCCACTTTAGAGGTGCATGTTCTTTCTATTCCATTGACTTGAAAGGGCTCTCATATTGAAAAAAAAAAAACTAAATATGCGTGCGAGCCCTTTTTCTGACGTGTTCTTGCTTTTCCCACGTCCCAGTCATGATTCACGCACGTCCTCGAAAATGACTCCTGCAATCGGTTGTTAACGTTGACGAACAGCTCATTCGACTTTTTAGGGATCCGATTGCAGGGAAAGGGGACCAAGATCAAGGGGTCATCGGCTTTTGGGAGTGAATAGTGTATTGTTACAAGGAACTGTCAAGCAAACACCCTGAGGGTATTTTATTCCGCTATTTGTCACTACGCCAGCCTGAGCCCAGACCTCGTGGCTTTGGCGTTGAGGCTTTCATTCGAGCCTACCGTGTTGAAATGCTATGGGTTCATCGATATTGGGCACCGTTAATTTTTTTTGTGAGCTTCGTGCCGTTTTCCATCGGACAGTTCTGTCGAAAAGGTCAGATGGGAAAGTGATGGTCCTTTCTCGTTGCTAGTCGATGAGCTCCATTCGAAAGTAAGGCTCGAAGGGAACGAAAGATGTGGTGTGTGGCTTGGGAAGTTGGAGCACAATGCCAGGAGAAAGAGCGAAGAAGAAAAAGGGGGGAGAGAGAGAAAGAAAAAAAAGTCCGCCGGCTGTTGCCTTCGCTACATGAAGAACCGTTTGTTTCCTATGATACCCAGAGGGCCCCCAGGTCGCGTTCTGTTAGTCTCGTGGAAACAAGCGTGTATTCTCACACCTCGAACTTGGCGACATGCCGGATTTATGTACTCCTTTTTTTTTTTTTAATAGGACGCCGTGAGATCCACGGTTTTTTTTTTCTTATCGACGTATAAACCAGCGTTCCGCACATTGGGGGCGTAGCAAGGTCTTCATTCCCTTGATGACTTCCTGTTTTCCGTGTGCATGAGATTCCCAGGCAGGGATCCGCATACCTTGGAATTAGTGGCTTCATGGTTCCATCGCGTCATTGAGTCCGTCATGCACTGTCTCTTTGTGTCTGTTTTCGATTTCCAGTGAATGGGTCCTGCTCCCAAGATCAATTCAGGTGCCATAGTGGGCGATGCATCCCACAGCGATGGGTCTGCGACAACCGGAAAGACTGCGATGACGCGGAGGATGAGAAGCAAAACTGCCGTAAGCTTCATTGCATGACAAATAGGAGGGAAAGAGAGAAATTTCATGCCTGCTTCACTCTCTGGCCTATTTTCTTTGAACAAAGGAATTCGCTCAAAACGTACGGATTTTGGCTTCAAAGTCGAATTACATAAATAAATGACCCATATGAAATAAATTGGCCAAATCAGCCAATACCCTATAGCCCGGTCCAGCTGGGCAGGGCAGCTCTCTCGCTTATTTGGCACGCTGAAAAATTTGATTTATAAACGAGAAATGTTATTACATTTTTATTTATGGCGCCCCAAATGTTCAGGTGACATTAATTTTTTTTTTGCTGATGGCTTGAATGATATTCAGTCCCCCCCCCCCCCCCCCCCCCACACACACACACACACGTGTGTGTGTGGGGAGACTGAATGAATGAAGACTTTTTATTTTATTTATTTATTTAATTATATATATATTCGGCTTTGGAGTCAAAACTGGGCAAACATCTTTCCACTCGTTCCTTTTCCTCCGGTTGAATCGGGACTTTGCTTGGCATGCATTTTCAAGGCGGAATCAGTTCCCCTGGGTTTGTCAATAACACACGTTATTGATTTAGATCTTTGACGTTTCTAATTGGATCGGTCGCGTCACGATTCTGTGTCATGCATGAAGACTGCGCCAGGTTCATTCAGATGCATTTCATGGAAAGGAACCGGTGTTGTTTAAACTCCGTGCTTCGACAACGATCGTTGTTTCATCGTAAGTCATGAATATCCTCTTCCGTGTCGGAACTCCTGAGGTCACTCGGAACGTAATATAAGGTAATAAGAGAGGGAGAGGTTCATCTTCTGGTGTTTCTCCATATCTCTCGGTATTGATAACCTTGAGAGCGTGGAAGAAGGTTAAACTCCTCCCTCGCCAGCGGCGATTGTCTGTTGCCTTTTTTATCCCCTATGGTCATGCCCATATGGTGACCGGAGAAAAGCGAATGGACGTTCGATGTGGCGAGAAAAGCCTTCCAGCACGTTCGAAAGATCTCGCGCAGTAGTGCCGTGAATGAAGTTGTGACCCCAAAACCGTCAGGAAAATGGCATATTGCCAAATGCCAACTGTTACTTTTGAATCAAAAGCGTATTCACTCTCATTCATACTGGTAGAGAGAATGTACGATATGGAATGTACGATACGTAGACTTCGACACGGAGGAGGAGGTCACCTTGACACCGTCTGAGCATCTGAGCATAATGTCAGGCATGAGTAACGAAAAATGTTTCCTCCTGTCGCAGGTTATCCGATGGTGTACTGAGGGTTTTTTTCTTTCAGTATTATTGTGTGTCTAGTAGCCATTATGGTCCTTTTATACGTAGAGAGAGGCACGTCCGAGAGAGAGTCATTTGTTCGACAGGTTCGAGCTAGTCTTCCATCATCGCATTTATTTTTATTTCTGCTCTTCCCTTTCCTTCTATTCTTCTGTGGCTCGCTCAAACGGTTTCCACGGCCAGACAGTGGGAAAAGTACCATATGTTGAGAAATCATGGGTCAATTGTGTTCGAAAGGATTCGACCGGGACTTTTTCCGCATCCTTTTAACTCATTCCTTTAGAAGTCTTCTCGCAGTTTCGCCCTACAAGTGGAAATGCTGTTAGATGAGGTCGGTTCCGGTCTAACATAATCGTGAAAGAGCCGATGAAAGTCTTACCGGGGACTTGGAGGAGAGAAAGGCATGAGTGGTGTAGAGAGCCTTTAAAGTCTGGAACCAGTAGAAAAGACTTGTGACGTGGATGGTGAGAATGAATTCGGTTACGTAGGCAGAATAGGAGCAGCAGACTCGGTACTAACTCGTTCAAGGAAGGAAAGGGAATTTGCATCACACACGAGAGCTCTTTTCTCGTTACCATCGAAGTATATGGAAAGTGAAGCTATCTAACTTAACCGTCAGTGACGAGATTCGATTCGATGAGGCCCGCTGTCTAATCGCAATTTTCATTATAAATGGTAGATTGGTGGTAATGGTTGATCTCTGAAGATCAAGAAAACAGATGCACCTCAGCCATCGGCTATTTAAGCTCATCAAAGACTGCAATGAATTTAATTAGATGAAGGAATATTTTCTTCAGAGGTGTAAGTATCGATACAGTTATGTCATGAATGTTTGCATGAATAACTTTAACCGACATACATTTGACACTGTATTGTTGCATAGGTCTCTCTCACTGTATAAATGAAGAGGAACTCACGCAAGATTTTGTTGAATGGCCTTGCTTCTCGACCTGTTCGGGGAGCCGGCTCCATTGCTACGTATGGGATACATTAAGAAAAAATCGCTTCCATAGGTGAAGGTTGATTTTATTACAGGATTTCACTAATAACGATGTTGACTTGTTAATGACAATTTGTATTTAAAAAAATACTTTCTGGTTTTCTTTCAATTTGGTCAACAACTTTTACCGCTTGTTATAAAGTTCCAAAGTGGAATCAAAATCGACCCACACAGACCTAATAATTTTCTGTCAGATTTTTCAATCGAACGGGCGGCGTAGAATTTACGCCGCCCGTTCGATTGAAAAATCTGGGTAATAGACACTTAGTCGTTCGTTCTGGGAATTTGTGAGTTTTGCATCGTAACTAATGCGTCGTTGCGTGCACTGACGGAAAGGTTTGAAGTTCATTGAGTTCATTCGTGGTGCAACCAACAAGAGCATGAACTTTGAAAGAGACACTGAAAAGAGAAAATGTGTAGCCCCCGGTCATGACATTTTTTCTTCTCATCACCGCAGGCAAGTGTATGGTAATACTGTAGGAGGGGTAAAAAGCGATGGTTAACGAAGGAATGTTGGATTGTGCAGCGGGACGAGCATGACCGAACAGCTTGTGGTCATTGATTGGCAAGGCAAGGTTTTGAGGTATGAGAAAGAGACATGCAGGAATCGAGAGAGAAAAGGAAGTTGAGCTTTTCCGCATTCGTCATTCCTTCTTCGTACGAATGAAGGCAAATGGCGGATGGTCTGCTCTCTTTTTTTTGGGACATTCAGACCAAGGAAATATCTTTAATTTTTCATTATATATTTTTTTCCCTCTTGCCATCCTCTAACTTGATTAACATTTTTTATGAGCCAGGCCGCACAAATGGTTGCCGTAGTGATTGATGATCACATCACTGTTGTACTTGAAGACCAAACAGTTCTCCATCTTGACCACATAATCATAACGCCTGATGATCTCAAATAATTCCGATAGTGGTAGCAACAATTGATCGACTGACGTATGCGGAGGCTTCAATGCATTCGTTACTTCTTTTTTTTTTTTATAACAGTCTCATACGGAAGACTAACTTAGTTACACACCTCCCACAAGGCCTTGAGCAAGAAAGCTATTAATAGTTTTGTCTTTAGGAGCCTACCAGGTGCATAATACTCGTGGCGAGAATATCACTAAACTCGTACTTTCCAGTTCACGAATTCTCTCTCTCTCTCTCTCTCTCTCTCACACTCCCCTTCTTTTCTTGTTTCCCTTCTCTTCTCAAGCATCTGGACTTCTGTTAGTGAAACATAGTTCATGGCAAATGATAAGTCATTCACTGCGTCCTCCTTTCAACCTTCTGCCAAAAGGGGTGACATCTGAAAGAAGAAACGCCGTATCATTGCGAGTATGTCCTTCGCTCGGGAGAAATCATCATGCATTAGGCCAAGCCAGATGCTTCATCAAAAGGAGAAAGATCGCCAGCAAAGTCAGGTTCTCATCGAGAAGCCTGTCACGTAGTAACCTGGCGGGCTTTTATCCCGAGAACTCCGGTGAAGAGCTCTCTCCTCTCTGCATGGGCATGCCCCAGATGGAATGAACGGGAAACCCTGCATCTAAGGCATGCATTCCCCCTTGCCCTACGCTCCACACGTACTGGACTTCCGTTCTTCCGTGATAAATCATCGATGGGCATCGTGGCCAGCACATGATACCTGTATCACGACAAGGGCTTGTCTCCTATATCCCTCAAACAGAATGCTGATTCAATATAGGATGGATGTGCGGGCACGCTCTCACCGTTCAGCTTCGGTCGATGACCTTCCCTCCCTCTTTCCTCTATCTCTCTCTGTCTCTCTCTTTCTCTCTCTGTCTCTGTCTCTCTCTCTCTTTACCCGCATAAGCTGGTTCTGTTGTGTAGGTAGCGGAGTCCTCCTTTTTTCTCCTCATCGTTCCACAGCACCAGCACCCTAACCTTCCCGTATTAACAACTCAGTAACGTATTGGCAAGATGATGCGAAGATGAAATGGGAAAGGTTGAAAGGAGTTTTGCTTAGTTATCCTAGATTCGTGAGTAAGTTGGGAGGACGTGACCCAGTCGTTCTGACATGCCCATTAGGTTATGCCGTGTTCGTGGAAAAAGCAGACGCTTGTAACCTCACCTTTGCGTAATGGTGCAACAGCCAGCCTTCTGTCAAGACAGATCGCAGAAACGGACATGCCTTGCTGGTTGATAACCAGCCTTCCGTTCCTCTCAATTGCTCGCCACGGTAGTAGCATTTCCAGGTGAAGCCCTCGATGGAGACAAAAAGGACTGGCATCTCCATCTCCGCTTCCGGTTAATCATACCAACCTCGGGTCGCTTTTGCGCATCGGCACAAAGCCAGGAAAGATATTGTTCGACGAGCGGGAATACATGCACCTGTATTCGTATGCACCACGAAAGGACAAACCAGACGAATCCCTCCCTTCTGTTGAAAGGTACCGTGTGTACCAGGAGCATTAGCAACGCGTTGTGGAACCCACTTCCACGTCTGAGGTCTCCAGGTCTGCCGAAGCGGAATGGAGTCACGAATGGAGGAGGGAAGGAAATTCCATGTCTAGCGATCGTGACTCGCTATAATAGTTCAAGAACTTCCACAAACCCTCGACCTACATCGAATTCCCACTCGACGTTCACGCCATCCGAGCTGATGTCTTCGTATTGAGCGATTAATTGTATGCAGTATGTGTAACGATTTCTTCTAAAGATAGCAACTCAGCGGGAGGGAGTTCCGTTCCCTTGAAAGATGTCATACAGGTTGACAATGGTATTGAAGGAACTGGATCTAAGGTGGGAAAATGCGGGTGGAGGGGAAAGGAGAATTCCTGCCTTAATTCCATTGTCATGTGACCTGCAATTAATGCGGGAACGGGTGACCCCTTGCACTGCATAGACAAGTGGAGTGAAAGCTACCTGGATTAGAAAGGACACGCCTTCGGAAGAGCGGAACACTCCCATATCCCCTTCTCTCTTGCTCTGTTTTCGTTTCCACCACTCCATCGTCATGCATGCTTCCATCCAGATGACGGCAAAACATAATACGTCATTCGTTATAATTAGTTCCCGGGCTTACCTGTCATGGGATGGTCACCATACTGGTAACATACGAAAATCGCATGCACCAAACAATTCACTTCCGGAATTTAAAAAAATGCAGGTGCATGGTATGCAACCAATAACAGTGCTTTATGCAGGAACACAATGTAGCCCTTCTCGAAACGGCAGATCAGCCTGGAAAGATATATGTAGTCGAAGCCTTTTTTTTATCGTCATATATGATACGTGACCACAGGGTTGCAGTCAATGGAGTGGTAAACCTCGTGCTGGGAAAATGCGTCTGGACCGGAAGTCGGAAAAGAGAATGTCACTTGATCTTTGACTTTTCCTTCCCTTTCGCAGAGCGATTGCTGTACCACGGGTATGATCCTTTGACCACGGTGCCTCGTATGCCTCACGAACCAAATTGTTTGCTTCTTTTTTCAGCTCCCCCTTCCTGTGAACCAGGAGAATTCATATGTGGTCGGCACGAGTGGAATCATTCCTATTGTCTACCTACCTATAAACGCTGTGATAAAGTGAAAGACTGTGTGGATGGCTCAGATGAGCAAGATTGCAGTAAGTCCAGCCTCCGCGACTGTCAGACTTTTTATTATTTTACGTATTGGATTTGTGTCTAGCATGTGTGATTGATGAATCCGTATTTTATTTTTTTTTTTATCCTGCAGCGTACCGGTCGTGTTTTCACGATGACGTAAAGTGTGGCTCAGAACTTTGTGTTCCATCCAGCAAGAAATGTGATGGCTATTTTGATTGTCGTGACAAGACTGATGAAGACGGCTGCAATATTACCTCATGCTACCTTGACCAAATACGTTGCAAAACGACTGACCGGTGTGTGAATCGAGATCAGAGGTGTGATCACAAGAATGATTGTGATGACAACAGTGATGAGGAGGATTGTGGTGAGTATACTCTCGTCAAATTGTCTCCGATTTGCAAAATAAGTGCTGAATCAGGCATAATTTCAACAGTAGGAAAAAGAAAGGCTCAGTAGGACGAGTAACTCAAATCTTTTGGTCCTAACATAGTTTTGGTGAGTTTTTTTTTTAATTATAAGTAATTCAGTGCAAATTTCTTGACACATCTGGTGGAGGCTTTCTGGCCTCTTGACCTTCCAATAGGAGGGAAAATGAATGCCACCCTCTCCGGTTCCCCTCAGACTTTAGCCATCTGATTTCAGAAGCTTCCTTTTTTTTGTTTACATGCACATCGTAACGCAGTGGATTTAGTACAAAGTTTCTCAGAATATTAGGATATTGCACGGAAATTATTTTGTTAAGTTAAGTTATTTATGTGAATGTCAACAAGAAAATCGGTCTTTTTTTTGAACAACTGTGGTTTTTAAAAAATATTTATTGGGGGGCTAATGTTCCAAATCGTATCATTCATCGAACAGTTAATAATTAACCCTAATGCAACTCATTGAATGCAAAATATTTTGTATTCACTGGAAAACAAAGCAATTTTTATATAATTTTCCTCTCAGGTAGGTGAAAATCCCGAATTGAAACATATTTCACTTGCAGACAGCAGCAACAGGAAAAGCTTGAACAAATGGCGCTAAATCGTTTTATATTACAATTTATGTTTGTAGAAAAAACCCTCTTTGTATTCGCCATTTACCTTAGGTTTGATTATTTGGATAACTTCTAGCGTGACTTAGTCAATGGTAGACTTGGTTCCTGTTTGCTTACAGAGCTCAATAGAGAAATTCCATTCCCTATCATTTGGGTCATCCACATAAAACCAGAGAAAGGAAGAATGGGAAGGAAAAATTATGTATGTAGTGTTAGGAAAACTAGAAGGCCAACATTGAGGCTGCCAATTCAATTTGCTAATATAATTGTTTGCATAAAACTCAAGATTATTAGAATGTAAATAGCTTCCAAGTCCAAATTCGAACATATCCTTCCTTGACTGGGTGATGCATTTGTCATTCATTGTCCCTTCGGCACCTTTGTGATACCCAATAACTGAAACACTGAAGATAAACTGAATATGTCATGCATTTCATTGAGAATGATATGAGAGCATTGTCATCTGCATTGTTATCTAGCAGATGACTGCTTGCTTCACCTTCTTTAGATTTGTAATATTCATTTTCTAATTTTGTAGGCAGAATTTATGTTTATAAAATTTCCATTAATGTGGATCAAACAGCCCTCGATTGTTTTGATTAAAATTTTTACATTTTTGGTGCATCAAGTAGCCCATATGTGATTAGACCGAAATTTCAATTAAGCAGCCCCTATTCAACATTATTTTAAAAATCTTGAAAAATTAATTATGTAGTCCTGACCACGGGAGTTTGGAAAATCCCCCCCCCCTTCTCTCCCAAGATGAGGTAAAATTTATTGCCAAAAAAGAGCGTGAGGAAAAATGAAATAAATATCACCAGGAATGAAAGGAAGGGTGAAAAGGGTCAGGAGCATAGGACTAGCGTCATATACTCTGCTGGAACGAGGCGTTTCGCAGAAAATCGCTTCCCAGACAGAACCTCTACATACTATACATTTGGCCAAGAAGGTCATTATTCAGATATGACCGCTTCGAGACATCACACTCGATTAAGTGAAGCCACGGCTGTGCCTGCGGTACAGCGTTTTTGCCGCCGGGACATGTTGAACAATGTCGTTCGCATGTGGAACGTGTGATTTCTAAGGTTTATCAGCATGACATTAAGGTTGGAGGCCATATATTCAATGCAAACGAAAGGAAAAAGAAAGGAGCATTGGCATAGCATTAGTGGGAAGTGCTCTATGATCACTACTGAGAATGAAGTTGATGTTCGTCCTTCGGCCATTTGAATTGGATGATTATACCCTCGGCAAGGATGGAATTGTGAGGACCGGCGGTCATAAGCGTATCGTGGATGGAAAATATGGAAGGACACGGAACTCTTGGACAATGTTATGCATTTCATGCGTCTTTCCTTTTTCCTTCTGCTTTTTTTTTTAAGTGGATGGGTGGGATGGGGAGGGAGGGGGGGCGTCCACGTGGTCCGGCCTCCCCCAACGCTACGCTGCTGCTTGCGGCAGTTAACACGTTGGCGACAATGCGTCCTGATGCCAGGTTTCCAAAAAATTCAACATTTAAAAAAAACTCGGCAAAAAAAAATGTTTTCTGGGACCATGCGTCCTGATGGCAGGACGCATTTTTTGACAAAAAAAAAACCCGTGGTCCCACGCGGCGGACAAGCAAAATTAGGCTGGTCGTCAACGTGTTAACCGAAGGAAGTTACCAAGGCCGAATTCATACTCATGTTTTCTGCATTGTACAGCATGTTGGACGTTCGATGCAGTACACAGCAGCAATCCGTTGACGGAATGCAAAACTACACGCTGCATCCAGCAGATACAGCATTGCATCTGCTCTACTGCGTGTTCTACTGCATCTTACAAAAATAGGATTGGTTTTTTTTATTCAATCCAGCATGCTGTACTTGCAGTTTAGCAGCTGAACTTCCTGAATTAAGTTTTTCAGTTCAGCATGCAGCAGCAGCATCCAGCATGTTGTACAGCACGAGTATGAACTCGAGCTTAGTGTGGAATCATGCTCACTGATTACATTTTGGAAATCGGAAGCGGGATTTGTCATATTTCCAGAGCGGGGCTAGACCTTTACTGCATTGTGCTGTTCTTAATGTTGCCGTGAATATGCGTTGGAAAGATGTAAAATGGCATTTCTCTATAATAAGATTCTTTTTATAGATCGATTTATGGTGCTTACTACGTTTTGAAGTTACAAATTCTATACTCCACGTACCGCCGCTGCTGCACGTAACCGCATGTGATGTCTCGAAGCCGTCAGTTTTAGAACTTGTAGCGCGAGGCTTATATTCTGTAAAACGGTACCGATGGACTAGATCTTATTCTACAAAATGGTCTTATTTCTACGCAACAGTAATTCTGCGAATGGGTCTCGTCTGCGAAGCGATTTTCTGTTAAACGCCCCTCACCCGGCGATTGCATCTTCCATTTCCCTACTCTGACATGTGTTAAAGTCACTAGACTTCTAGTATTTCTCTTTCTTCAACAGAAGTTCTCAAATAACATCACTAACCGTGCAATAATAATTAATTTTTTTCTGCATTCTGCCCGAACATTTGAAGGAATTTGCATACAATGTATTTTCAGAAAGTTTTGCAATTGTCGTTTCTTGGTGAACATTGATGCCCATAATTTTTCGTTGGTGGTTTGGTCATACTTTTCTGTGTCTGAAAATGTTTTTACGGTTGCTGTTGTTTTTTTTTTTTAGATTTCCCTGCCTGCCACGATGGTCAGTTTCGTTGTACCAATGGAATCTGCATTCCTCTACGACATAGATGTGATGGTCAGCGAGACTGTACTGATAACAGTGATGAACAGAACTGTACGATAATCTCATGTTCTGAAGATCAATTCCTTTGCCCCACCGAAAAGAAATGCATCCCCAAGTCGAAGCTCTGTGATAATCAAGTGGATTGCCGTGATGGAGCTGATGAGAAAGATGCCTGCTGTAAGTCACCCTATTCTTGTCTTGTGTAATGTCATTTTCTGTAGTTCTCTCAATGCACATTGACTGAATATGATTATGCCAAAAACCTAGAGGAGGAAGGGAAGAGAGCAAGAAAAAGATCAAAGGAAGTTTTCACATCAAGTTTCACCATCATTTATCATGAGATGAGGATGGCAGAGCCTCCCTTGTGCTCAGTTTTAGACATTCTCATCTTAACTTTTACCTTCCTTTCACTTAGGAACTGTGGCATCTTCATTATCTTCATCCTATGACTAATTTTTAATGCTATCAAATCTGATTTTTAAAATGTCATTAGGTGTGAGAATGTGTGGAATTAGGGTAATTGCATCAATTTAATAAAGGCTGGAGTAGATATTATTTAAAAAATTTGATTCAATTTGTATGGAATTTGCTTTTAAAGCACTTATGGTCTGATTTAATGGCATTGAAGATATGAGGGTATTGCAGAGAAATGAGGAATATGATCCAAGCACGTTGGCTGAAGCAAATAAAAAAGTGCATGGCCAAAAATATAAACAGAGTACAGGAAAGAGAATCTGCAAAATCTGCTTCATCGGGTTAGAAAACTTTGCAGCCAATTAGGAAAATAAATGTATTTGCTGTTTTGACAGAATCTGAGGTACTGGGAGTGGGAACTCTTTTCAGTCTCAAACTCAGTCACCATGTATTGAGAGGACTGTGTGCATTGGTACTCTTTCTTCTTTTGGAGGATATTGGCCATCAAATTAAGTTTCATTCTTGACTACTTGATTTCTAATCTATGAGCTCTTCTTTAAAGATGCTTATTTCTACTTGTTGTCTTTAGCAAAATATTTTAGTTTATCCATCCGGATTTGATTTTTATTCATTTTTACTTTTTTCCATAGCAACGGAGAAATGCCCAGCATTGGCTTGTGAGTACAAGTGCAAGGCATCCCTGAATGGAGGAATTTGCTATTGTCCAGATGGGAAGCTCCTCAGCAGTAAGGATTACCGAACCTGTGAAGGTGAGTACAGTTTAGTATGTGTAATATAGGTTGGTCCAATATGAGGTCACTGACATTGCTTATGGGACACTCAAATGTCTCATTTTGATAACAAAAGAGATGGAAGTAGCTGTCAACAATGAAGAGGGTGAAAATGCACTTCTTATCATCAATTAACTACATAAAGACTCATAAATTACCCATAGATTGCTTTATCTGAATGGAGTTTGAAGGAGTCATTATTGAATCTTAGCTATAATCTGATTGATTCAGTGTTACAGGAAGCTCAGTTTTCATCTCCTCTCTCCCAATACTAGAGTAACTATGGAACTATTGATCACTCCTCACTCCTGATGGAAATTCCATGCAGTGTCTTGGCCTTTATGAATTGGTGTACTCTCACATTGAACATGCTGAGGCATTTATTTTTACAGCACACTTAATATTTTCTATCCTTTAGTAGGACAGGTTCTATCTGATGGTTTTTCTCTATTGCTTCAGATAAGAACGAGTGCGAGGAGTGGGGGTTCTGTGACCAGCTGTGCTCAAATACTGATGGCAGTTACAAGTGCTCCTGTGTAGAAAAATATTACTTGGCCTCAGATGGAAGGTGCAGAGTCCTGGATAACAGCACAACCATGTTGTTGTATTTCATCCATTGGCAAACCATTTATACCATGGATGGGCATGGGTTCAATTTAAATGTCCTTGTGAATAGCACAGGAGCCATAAGTCCCATGGCTCTGGATTATCACTATCAGAGAGGGATATTGTTTTGGACAGATGAAGACACCAAGAAGGTAAGGGCCCTCACTTAGTGTAGAGATATTGCAATTTGAAAAAATGATTAAATTCTCATCATTGCTTCTGGCTAATTTTTTGTTTCAGATCTATACTATTCCCATGCCGGTGTCATCTGAAAAGATTGATACCAACCGGCAAGCAAGGGAGATCTCATTGAATTTAGAGATGCCCTCATCATGGAATCCAGTTGCTGTGGCTGTGGACTGGATTGGGGAGAAATTATATGCTGCTGACAATTTGGGCCAGAAGATAGATGTATTTGAGTTTGATGGTCGATTCCATGCCATTGTCCTTGGACATAATCTAACATCCCCATATGATCTTGTTTTGGATCCTACTGTAGGGTGAGTTGCTTACATTTTATGTCTTGATTTTTCATGCATGAACTGTTGGATTGGATGCAAACATTTTTTGTCTTACATTTGCAGACTAATGTTCATCTCTGATGGAAACCGGATCATTCGCACAAACATGGACGGAAATAAGCTTATTGTTCTTGTAGAAGATGCCATATACAAGGCTTCAGGCATTTCAGTGGACCTTACAGCCAAAAGAATATATTGGTGTGATTCCATCTTGGACCACATTGACACTGTAGATTATGATGGCAAGAAGAGATTCACTGTTGTCAGAGGTGAGTGAGTTTCATGTTTGAGTGGCATCCTACCATGGCAGTGCTTGTGGCATAAAGTCCACTTCTAGTTACTTCTCTATGCATTTCAACCAGTTCAACTCCAGACTAAAAATTGTGACAAGATCATTGTGATTTGAAGAAAGGGTATAGGGTGGAGGATATTCCTTTGTTTGGCTTTTGTTAAATGCTCAAGTGTTTTGTCACTTGGTAGTTGCAATAAGCTATTGTTGTAATGGTTAAGGTCCTTGCATTTTACTGTACATTGTTGCAAAAGATCTCACGTGTAACCAGGATGGACACAATGAAAGGTCATTGGTAGAGTTTCTTGAAGATGCTACTTGTGATATTTTGGGTTCACCTCCAGGTCCAACGAATGTGCCATCACCAAACCGGCTTACTGTCTTCGAAAGTGAGGTGTATTGGACTGACAAAACAAGACAAGGGGTTGTCCAAGTGGGCAAGTTTGAAGGCACACAGAAGCTGCGGACTGTATACAGGATGAATAACATCACTCAAGGACCTCGTGGAATCAAGGCTGTCCATCCTGTCCTTCAGCCCCAAGGTAAGAACACTTACAAATTTTTCATCCTTAACCCTTTGGGGCCCATTCCCTAGTTATCTCATGTTGGCCTCATGATGAAAGATAGAAAAACTTAGTTGACAGTGCTGACATGTTCAAAATACTCAGACCTCCAAAGGGTTAAAGTCAAGTTGCCAGATTCCTGCCTGCAGATTCATGAAAATGTTAATGTGTTGTAATATCCTTATAGTGGCCAATCCTTGTGGAGTGAACAATGGAGGATGCAATCACATGTGCATTGTGACTCAGAACACAGAAATGACAGGACTTGGCTATCGATGTGCATGCAACATTGGATATCAGCTAGCCAAGAATAGGCGTAGCTGTGACCGTAAGTATAACAAGATTATTATGACCTTTGTAGGTAATATCCTGAGGTGGAATTGAGGAGCCTCATGCAAGTAATGTCTCATGTTTCATTTCAGCTGTGCATGAATTCCTTCTGTACTCAAAGCAGAAGTTCATCAAAGGAGTAGTTCTAAGTCCAGTTGAGGAAAGCTTCAATGACGCCATCATCCCTATAGTGTCAAAATCTGCCCGCTTTGTTGGACTCGACTTTGATGCAAGAAAGCAATACATCTACTACTCTGATGTTATCCTGGATGTTATTCATCGGGTCAAGACTGATGGATCAGGTCTGTCCAAGATTGATCACATTTTTGCAAAGACTGTGCTTTGCAGATATTTGGAATTATTACTTGTTCTTCTATCATGGGACAGACCATGAAAACATCCTGGCTTCTCAGAATGAAGGGGTGGAAGGCCTAGCATTGGATTGGGTATCTCAAAACCTCTACTACATTGACAGCCGTCAGGGAACACTGAATGTTCTAAGTGCCAGGAATAGTACATGGAGGAAGGTTCTCCGACGTGAACTGAAAAGACCGCGTGCCATTGTTGTGCACCCTAATAGAGGGTAAGGTGAAAGCATTACCACCATAAATATAATTTTTATCATCATATAAACATAAAAGCAATGATTCCTTTTATTAGGTATCTTTTCTACTCTGAATGGGAGAGACCAGCCAATATCAGCAGAGTCAGTCTTGATGCCTCAAATGTCCTCGTGTTCCAAAAGCTAGTTCTTGGTTGGCCCAATGGACTGGCAATCGACTATTCTCAAGATCGTCTCTATTGGTGTGATGCCTTGCTGGATCACATTCAGCATTCCAATCTTGATGGAACAGATGTGAAGAAGATTGATACTACTCTTATCCGTCATGCATTCTCCTTGGTTGTACATGGAGGTAAGTTCTCCATCACTGTTCTGGAAATGATATTTAATTTCTAAGAAGGAGTCACTGTTGGGGAGGGGGTTATTGATGCTGTCATAAATCCTTTGTTTCCTCCAGATTGGTTGTATGTGACTGACTGGCGTCTGGATGCCATTGTGAGGATGAAAAAGGATACAGGTGAAGAGGAGAATGTAGTTGAGAAAGTGGAAGGAAGCAATCGCTTGTATGGGATAAAAATCTTCAGCTCTTGGGCACAGGATATCCATAAGGATCATGCTTGCTATCATGACAATGGAGGTTGTGAGAAGTTCTGCTTCCCAATCCCAAAGAGTGATACCAATTCATCTAAGGAAGGTTCTCATGGTTTGATGCCCAAGTGCGATTGTCCACATGGAGAGAAGCTTGCTGAAGATGGTATGTTTGGCATTAGTCATGCTCCAAGTTATTAAGGATTTGTCTGTCTCCTGGATCAAGTGGACGCTCTGTCTTGTATTTCTTATTTCAGGGAAAATGTGCATAACAGACCCTGATGTTGAACCACCTCAACCAGCTTGTGCCCGGCCTTACTATTTCACATGTTCCAATCAACGTTGTGTACCAAAATCATTTGTTTGTGATGGGGACAATGACTGCTTGGACAACTCCGATGAAATGCAAAATTGCACTAGTGAGTTGATTCTACATATAATAAAGGTTGCATAAGCAATTACCCTGGTAAGAGGAATTCTAAATTTACATTGGTAAACACCCCAGTTTTTGGCCATGCTGATACAACTCCCATAGGAAGTGAACACTCTGTGTGCACACTGAGAGACACTAGTAATTGGTCCTTGTATGGGAAAATGGCCAGATTAACTAATTATGCTGGATTTAAGCCTCACTGGCCAACAACAAGAGACTGGCCAGAAACCGGGGTGCTTACCCTATTCTCATTTTTGTTGTGTATGGCTGATATGTACTGAATTCATTGTGTAATGTTGAAAGCATCTGACAGCATTATGGTCCAGCTGAATTTATTTATCTGTCTTGCAGAGGCAACTTGCAAACCAGATGAGTTTCAGTGTGGTACTGGCCATTGTGTGAAGAAAGAGTTCCAGTGTGACTCAGAAAACGATTGTGGAGATTTCAGTGATGAGACAGGATGTGAGGATGTCACCTGTGAGTCACGTTACTTTCAGTGCCAGAATGGACGTTGTATCCTTGAAAACTGGAAGTGTGACTCTGAAAATGACTGTGGGGATGGAAGTGATGAAGGTGACTTCTGTGAGGAAAAAACATGTGCCTATTACCAGGTATGTATATATTGGTTTGTTTTTTTTAAATCAGATTCACCATTGTTCCATAATGATGTGAAAATTTAGGTTTACTTTTCTAACTATGCAGTTCCCATCTCCTTTTTTTGTTTTTAGTTTACATGTCCTGGTTCAGGGCATTGCATATCTCATGCTTGGGTGTGTGATGGTGACAATGACTGTCTTGACAATGCTGATGAGAAAGACTGCCCTCCAATCACTTGTACTGCAACCCAGTTTAAATGTGCCAACTTGAAGCAATGCGTTCATGAATCCTTTAAATGCGATGGCATTCCTGACTGTGATGATGGAAGTGATGAGCAAGGATGTCGTGAGTCCTTCACCCTTATCATCATGGTGTACCAATGATATAAGTGCACTGATATATTCAAGTACATGTTGTTTTCTTTTCTTCCATCCAGCAACCATTGGTCCAAATCAGTGTGATCCAGAAAAACAGTTCCAGTGTGAAAGTTCACGCCAGTGTATCCCAAAAGATTGGTTTTGTGACAGGACAGTTGACTGTGAGGATGGAAGCGATGAACCACCTGACTGTGGGGAAGTGAAGGTAACCCTTGGCTATCCTATCCTTATTAGTGGGCCTTCTTCCCAAAAAGGAGAGGCCACGTTAGCCATGTCGTGTTTGTCTGTGTGTATGTGTCCATATACCACTTTCCCTCTTTCTCCCTTGTTCCATTGTTAATCTCTTTCCTCCTTCCATCCAATTCTCCTGTTTCAGTTTTCATAAACTCATGTTTAAGCATAGTTCTGGATGAGAAGATACTTTTGGTAGACAAAATCAGGCTTTTTCAAGGAGCTGATAAATCAGAGCCCCTCTACAGGGTGAGTCAAAAGTCCTGCCCACCTTTTGAATGTTAAGAACTTTGGAATGCTAGATCGGATTAAAACGTGGTTTGTACCATTTGAAAGACAAGACAAATCTCTATCTAAGAGTAGGTTTTCATTTTATTGTTTTTATTATATCCTAATTGGGAGAAAGTAAATAAAATACCTATATTTTGGGTATTTAAACTTGTTCATAACTGAAAACACACTGTGTGTGGCATCTGATTATCTTTCAGTGCCTGATGAATTGTGTGTCCATTGCAATTGATTTCCCCAGAACATTTTTTGGAAAATGAGCTAGCAGTGATTGAGTATCAATAAGTGTCTTGTCATAGTACGACTATATTCCAAATTCGACCAGGATGCAATAGAAACCACTTGACAATTCAAAAGGAAATTCAATGGAGAAACTATCAGCTGGAAGTCAATCGTCTGTATCATCTCAAATTTTGACAAAATGGGAACAGTCACTGACCTTCTTTGCTCTGGACATCCAAGGACAGGTCATTCTGAGGAAAAAATTGATATGGTCAGCAGGAAGATTTCTCAATCACCTAGAAAGTCAATGTGGCACGTGTCAGCAGAGACCACAATCTCCAAGTCATCGGTCAAACAAATTTTACGGAAGGGTCTCAAACTGAAGTCGTATTTTCCATGTCTCTTTCAAGAACTTTCTGAAGATGACTGACAGGCATGTGGAGTTGGTAGAGGAATGGAATCTATCGGAAGATGAAGATCCAACATTTGGTGAGCAAGTGCTCTAGTTGGATGAGGCAATCTTTTGTTTGAGTGGTCATGTCAATCACCACAATTGCATCATTTGGAGCAACATCAACCCTCATGAAACTGTTGATCGCCCATTTCAATCTCCTGGTCTCATGGTATGGAGTTATTCAAGACAAGTTCATGGGGACCATTCTTCTTTGAAGATGGCACTATGGATGGTGACCAGTATCTCAGCATGTTGGAAAACTAGATGTGGCCAGCGATTGCTGCTTGCAGTGACATTGATGTCTTGTTTTTCCAACAGGATGGAGCAACTGCTCACTATTCTCATCAAGTACATGAATGGTTGGACAACAAATTCAATGGTCGATGGGTTGGGCATCAAGGACCAATTGAATAGCCACCTCGTAACCCTGACCTAATGCTGCTTGATTTTTGGCTTTGGGGTAACCTAAAGGACCTTGTCTACTTTGATAAACCATGGAGTAGGGAAGACATGAAGACAGTGATTCATGAAAAGATTAATGAAATCCCAAGGGACATGATTGCATGTGCAACGGAACCCCTTGCACAATGCATTCATAGACTAATTGAACTCAATGGGTGTCAATCGATAGATTAGTTTTCATTTGCCTAAAACTTTGGATTCTTGTTCTTGTTTAAAATGAAATGCAGAGCTTCTTATAGAGAATTGTCTTGAATTTCTAATGATCAAAACCAGATTTAAATCTGACAACAAAGTCATGAGTCATTAACGGTCAAAAGGTGGGCAGGACTTTTGACTCACCCTGTATTTAGCAGAAGAAGGCACACTAATGGACTTGACTTGCTTTGCTATTTTTTAAATGTTTATCTGACTGCTTTTCAATGCCAAATTACTTTGCAGTGTCCCCCAGAGCAGTTCAAGTGCAACAACTCCAACTGTGTCATCAAAGCATGGATATGTGATGGTGCAGATGATTGTGGTGATGGCAGTGATGAAGATGAAAGACATGCCTGTGCTTCCCCAACTCAAAGGTATTTATTTCAACTTCACTCAGTCAATACAGTCATATTCTCATGAGGCTGAATTTTGCTCTGCAAGACACAGCTTGCAATTCATAGGGAATCACTTTAAATTGGCATATGAGAAACTCTTGTTTCTCAATCAGGAGAAAAGAACACAATTGTATTGTTAAGCTGGAAAAACTTGAATATGTCTGAAAGCTGTGGAAGGCAGGCTTTTGAAGCATAATGGGGCATTGTCCCCTGTTGTGCATTTAGTAGGCCCATCCTACAGTAACGTGCTTTGTGATGTGTTTAATTTGATTCAATATGTTCCTTTATCCACCACAATTGGGAGGTTTGGAAGTCCACTTAAATTTATAAAAGTGACTTTGAATCATGAATGCATATTTAGTGTAGACCTTGTGACCTTAACAAGTTGACCTTATCCAAATTGCTTGAGTAACATCTGTGGGTATGTAATTTGGAATAGCACTTTCTGTTGAATCCAGCTTGCAAACTGAATGGTTAATGTTAACTGGTTATTGGAATTATAGGTTTAGTCTGAGATCTGGGTTAGTCACTCTTGCAATAGGAGTTCAGTTTCTTCTTCCTGGTCTTTCTAATTTGGCTTAGCCTAGTTGGAGAAATAAAAAGCAACACCTGGAAAGTAACAAAAGACTGCTAACTAGCGACAGTTGCCCATGAAACTGTTGGAGAGACTATTAAATATGTGATGCATATGCAACGGGTAAGCCATGGTATCAATTATGCTATTGGTAATGCCACATTACTCAATGCCCATCCCTAAAGCACAGCTGGGCAATATATTGGCCCTAAAATGTAAGCAACTTCATCTATTGGCTGTAGAAATCCTGTGACTGATAGTTTTCAATCCATTTGAATTGTTTGACCTCTATTGTTTGTGCTATTGTTTGTCTAATTACAGCTTCTGTGTTATCTGCTATAGTAGCCAAATTCAGTTCGTGTTAAAAGGGTTGAAGTGTGAAGTAACTTGAATTCACATGGCATGACAAATTCCTTGGTGATATTCCATGTGCCTTCTTTAACTCATGTCTATGGTTTGACATTATTTCATCCACAGATGTACTCATGATGAATGGCCATGCCCAGGAGTTGAAGGTGTCTGTGTTGCTCGGAAGAAAGTGTGCGATGGGAAACCAGATTGTCCCAATGAAGGTGATGAGGGGCCTCGGTGTGATTTGAATCCCTGTTCTGATGGAGGTGTTGGTCCTGGTGTACCACCCATTTGTGCATATCAGTGCATGCCTACTCCTTTTGTGAGTTTCATTGCTCAGGAAAAATATTATTTATTTGATCTGGTGTCACAAAAATATCTATCTTGTTCCCTACATTGTTGTATCACAGAGGCAGTGAAACTTTCAGCTTCAGTTTTCATGATCACCCAGCACATTTATTCATTCTCTTCCAGGGCCCTCAATGTGTTTGCCCTGCTGGAGAAGAACTATCAAAGGATGAGGCTAACACGTGCATTGACATCAATGAATGTATTCCTGCTGGTGCATGCTCTCAGAATTGTATGAACTTGAAGGGCTCCTTTGTCTGCACTTGTACTGAAGGTTACTACCTGAAGCTAGACAATCATACTTGCAAGGCAAATGGTTTGTCACATTATGATTGTTTGCTTTGTTTTTTGTCTGTTATGATATTTATTGTACAAGGAGGTATTTTTCCCACTAGATTCAGCTGCTGCATACCTGATAATTTCAAATCGACGATCTCTTCTTGTTGGTGATCTGGAGACTCAGAGCCTGGAAAGACTCCCAGTTGATGTCCAGAATGTTGTTGCAGCCACATCAGATATGCACACAGATACAATTTACTGGTCTGACATGAAGGCAAAAAAGATTATCAGGATGAAGAGAGGTGAAGCACCAGAGGATGTGAGTTTGTTTTAAGATGCCTTCTCAACCTGAATGCAATGGTGTTGGATCCAATGCTAGGATGCTTCTTGTTTCAGGTCATTACTACAGGATTAGACTTGGTTGAAGGCTTAGCTTTTGACTGGATAGGGAACAACATCTATTGGGTAGACTCCAAGTTAAGGACTGTGGAAGTTTCCAAGTCAGATGGCAGTCACAGGGCAATTCTTGTGTCAGAAGAGACCTCACAAGTTCGAGGAGTGGCTGTAGACCCAACAGAAGGGTGAGAACATAAAATGTTTACACATTTCACAATCAACAATAGGACTAGAAATTAACCCTTTTGTTGCTGTGATCAATTTAACTTGAGTGCAGAAATGTGTATCTAATTGTGGCATTTTTTCTTCTGCTTCTTACCTGAGGTTTTTCAGGACAATCTGAACCAGTACAGTTTTACACTTGAACAAGGTCAATGAGGGAACATATATTTTTTATAAGTAGGGCCCACAATGTTGCACCAGAAATGAAAAACTCAGCACAGGGATGCTTAAAGAAAAAGAATGTGGCAGTGAAAGGGTTAAAGACTTTTTCCATCAAAAGACTCAGCATATAAACAAGGGAAATTGATTTGGACAATACCTAGTTTGATTGTGAATCTCCATAAAATATAGCATGTAGATAGAATATCAATGGTCCAGAATTACTTGAATTTTTTGCTCCCACTACTTAGGACAGTGAACTTTAACAAAATCTAGTCAGTAGTACTGGTATGCCTCTGTGCAAAGGTCTAATTCCTCTTGGGAGATATCCTGCAAGATTTTTTATCCATAATTAGTTCAGCTTCACTAGAAACTATGGTACTGAACTTCTCTCATCTCTCCTTCAGTGCCAGGTGGCTCTTCTGGACAGACTGGGGTGAGAACCCAAGAATTGAGAGAGTTGGCATGGATGGCACCAACCGTAGCACCATCATCAGCATGAAGATTCGATGGCCTAATGGCCTTGCCTTGGATGTTTCCAATCGTCGTATATACTTCGCAGATTCCAAGCTGGACTATATTGATTTTTGTAACTATGATGGTTCAAACCGTCAGCAGGTGCTCGCTCATAATCACTATCTACTTCACCCTCACTCATTGGCAGTATTTGAGGACACCATATACTGGACAGATCGACAACTGAATCGCATTCTTTCCACGAATAAATTTCGTGGAGACCGACCTGATGTTGTGAGTCATCTGGTATCACAGCCCCTGAGTGTTCATGTCCATCATCCAGTTCTTCAACCCATGAACAAAAACCCATGTGAAGGGGCACCATGTGAGCATTTGTGTCTCTTGTCTCCCACATCATCTACTGGTTACTCCTGTAAATGCAAGACCAGACATCGACTGGTTGGAGCAGGAAAATGTGTTCTGGGTGAGTGCTATTTTTGCTACTCACACTTGTGTGACTATGGGCCTGCATACCAGAACTATCAAGTTAGCTCACAGCAGCTTCGATCTGAGTAAAATTAAAAGAATTAAAATTAAATACAGTCAATGCCCACTATTACGAAATTCAAGGGAGAGTCATTTTTCCTTCTTTATAATGTATTTTCATTAAAATGCTATAAAAAAAATTCAAAAAAAGTAATGAAATTTTCACCACATCTGAAGATGAAGCAGAAACAAACTAGTCTATTTAGTTAAAGTGTACTTTGTTATAATGAGCACTAGCACACGCAAATCATTCAGAAAATTAGTTATCCTATTCCCTGTTTTGTGGATTTGTCCCCCTCCCAGTATTGGATTGTTTCTTTTTTTATATTTTTAAATCTGCATATTGCAGGTCAGAAATAAAGTAACCCCTGCAAATGACACTGTAAAATGAAGAAACCAGTACAGGAATTTCTCAGTTGGTTTCCAAACTTTCTGCCACTTTTGGAACTTGTTTATTGCAGGCAATCATTTTACAGTGGTAGTTTCATTAAGGATAAGGGAATTCTCCTAAAATTCTGGAAGTGCATGCCACATGAACCTCCAGGGCACTCTTTTTCTTGCTTAACTGTTTTCACTCCAACTCAATGTCCATCCTTGAAACAGACAAAACACTTGTTTTTTTATTATAAAAATTTGGCTTACTAGTCTACTTAAAACCGCTCCTAATGACTAAGAGTAGATTTGCTTCATCTGGTGTGCAAGCACCCAAAGAGCACTGTTTGAGATGAGAATTGTGTTCTATTTACAGAAGAGAAGACATTCCTCCTGATCATGAAAGAGAATCAGGTGGTGGACTTGAGTCTGGATGCAGAAGATGGAAAGAATAGAAGTGAAAGTCTCTTCACACCCATTGTTGGAATTGGTCAAGGTGCAATTGGAGTAGGACAGGGCATTCAGATGGAATATGACCGAGTCAAGGAAACCCTCTATTGGGTTGAGGTCCCCTCCTTTGACAAGGAGAATGGAACCATAATGTCTGTCCCAATTGGAGGAGGAAATGTATCTGCAGTGTTCTCTGACTTTGTCATTGGAGCTCCTTACACCATTGCCTTTGATTGGATTGGAAGAAATATTTACATTGGGAATAGAAGAGGCTCAACTCTGGAAGTTGTCAAAGTTGATGGTGATACTCCATTCAGGAAAGTACTCCTCAGCAACAATGGCAATGATACTGGTGTTTCCCGTCCAAAGTCCATGTGTCTTGATCCCTTCAATGGGTCAGTTCAGTTGCCTCAGAAGATGTTAGCACCAGTGTTGGAAAAGTAACATGTTACTGTAATAAGATTACATTCACAAGGACCATATTACAGTTATGGATTCCTTTTTCCCAGCATAATCACCCTTAATAATCATACTACTTTTTTCTCCCAAAATGTTTTGAGATTATAATGATGTTATTCTGATACTTTCTTGTGCAAATCCCTGAATGGCTGTTTTCCCTCTCCCCCTGCACTTCCCTTGATCTTTCACCTAGCACTTCCCCTTGTTTGATTCATATTGTATCACCTCCCATACCCCCCCCCCTTCCTTTATGGTGAGTTTGGCAGTGCCACTACCCTCACTCCATTCCAGCAAGTCTACATTGTGAGTTTTTACGAGTTAAATTTTCAAGGGAGAAATTTGATTGTAATTACAGATTACATTTGCTGCAAAGAAATTATTAATTACAGACTACTCAATGTAACTTTTCCAACTCTGGTTAGCACAAGTTTTCACAATCAGCCCTACTGGTACTGGTATGAGTGATTTACTGAGTTTCTCTTCCTTTCAGACAACTTTATTGGCTGGATGAAGGTGGAGGAGGAGTCCCATCAAAGCTTGCAGCTGTTGACATGGATGGTGGAAATCCTGTGGTTCTAGTGAGAGATGTCATTAGTCCCCTATATGTTACCATTGATCTCCAAGCCAAAAAACTCTACTGGAGCACAGCCTCACATGGAGAAGTGAGTTTAGCAATGTCCCTTCTATCTGGTTCACTCATTCTGTCTCATGATAACAAGGATGCTTGAGCCTCCATGATTTTCTCTGCAGATCTATGTGAGGGATATAAATGGAGAAGGGCAGAAGAAGCTACTCCTAAATGAAAATGATGGCTTCCATCAACCAGTAGCATTGGCTATCTACAAGAACAGGTTGTACATCATGGATCCAACATATGAGAGAGTGTGCCGGGTGGACCTTCCCAATGGGACAAATCAAGTAGATCTGATTGCAAATGAAAAGCCTCTCCAAGCCATGATGGTGTATTACAAGAGAGATGGTAAGTTAGAATCTATATTTTAGATGACTATCATCAGCATTTCAATGTTGGCTGCAGGATTCATTTGACTTCCCCTGCAGTGCCAACTGATCATCCATGTCAAATCAACAATGGAGGTTGTGAGCAACTGTGCATTCCATCAAAGAGTAAGACCCGTGTCTGCATGTGTTCAGTTGGGTATCGAAGGGAAGGTGACCGGAAGTGCATCCCTTACAAGACCTATGCCATTGTATCACAGTTCTCTGTCATCAGAGGGTTCAGCATTCAGGAGGACTCTGAAGCCATGGTCCCTATCTCTGGCTTTGCCCGAAGTGTGCTGCATCTAGCCTATCACTATGCCAAAGACTGGATCTATTGGGTCGATTTTAGCAGCATAGGGTTCAAAGGAATTTTCAGGATTCACCCTAATGGCACTGGCATGGAAGGAGTCATCTCTGATGGGATTGGCCTGAATGGGATCCGAGGGATTGCCATTGATTGGTTGGCTGATAATCTCTATTTCACCAATGTTTTCCCTCACAAGACCTACTTGGAGGCTTCTTGGCTGGACGGATCTCACAGATTGGTGATCAGTGACAAGGACTCCCCTCGTGAGATTGCAGTCAATCCTGTAAAGAGGTGAGAATTTGTTTTTATCCATGGAAACTGATCTGCCTACTCATGACATATGTATACACCCATCATTTTCCTTTTCTTCTAGATACTTATACTGGATCGATTATGGCCAGTTCCCAAAGATTGGTCGCTGTAATTTAGATGGCTCTGATTGGAAACCTCTGGTTCTACGTGGGATTGGGAATCCCAAAGATTTAACTGTGGATATGCAATCTTATGATGTGTATTGGGTGGATGCCCGGCAAGACACAATAGAGAAAATCAATTCTGAGGGTGGGAATCGTCAGATTGTCCGTTCTCGACTACCCAACCCAATTGGTATCTCCATCTATTTGTCAGAGGTGTATTGGGTGGATGGGAACCTGGGAAGCATTTTCAAGGCTTCAAAACTCCCTGGGAACAACTCCTATCCCATCCCAGTAAAAGCTGGCTTGGAACAGCTTCGAGACATTGTGATCTTTGATGAAAACAATCAGCCCCAGGGTGAGAATCCATGCAAGGCACTGGGAAATGGAGGTTGCATGCAGCTGTGTTTCTCACTCCCCCTGCAATCCACATCAACTCACCTCTACTCCCACACTTGCAAGTGTGCCACTGGAGTCCTGGATGCTGATAAAAAGCGATGCATCCCTGCTAATGAATACTTGGTGTTTGCAACTCGGACAGAACTTCGGTTCGTCTATCTGGATCCAGAGCGACCAAATGTCCCACACCCCACCATTGTGAGTTCTCCAACAATTCATAATAATTTTGGTGGTGAGTAAAAATAAAGTTGAACTTCTCAAGTTCAACCTTAATAATTATAAACTATTGGTGATGAAAAATCATTAAGTATGGTATTGGTACTTTTCAAGCAAAGCATGCTCTCATGTCATGTGGCTTGGAGCACTCTTGTGCGCCTAAAAGTTGGTCCTTTTCGGGTAGAGACTGCTGAAAAGACTTCATATCTGATGAAGAGTTAAATGAGCCTAAAAACAAACTAATTGAACACCTTAGCTTACTCTTCTGATTTAGGAGGAAGATCATTGCATGATCCTGAATATGATTATATGAAAAGAGTTTAGTTCAAATTAAAAGGTAACCGGAGACTCACGGCCCATGTTGTAGTAATCTATGCCACAGTGCATCATGACTTTAATACTAGCAGTTAAGATTGTTATTCAATCCGGTCATATCCAATTAACTGTGGGTTGTTTCATCAGTTAGTTTAAAAACTGATCATTTTTAATTGAGCCATATACCCCTCACTAATTCTTATACCCGAATGCTGAAATCGCCTTTAATTAACAGTCCTTAAAGAATCCATGGACTCCTATGCGGGGAAAAAAAGTTCTTTAGCTAAAGGCCCCGTCAAAACGAAGTTTCAGCATTCGAGCTTTATTCTGATGGAATGACACGTTGCGAGTTTTGTTGATACTGCCATATCATGCAAGTCCGTCAAATTTATCTCCAAACCTACTAGGTACCTACCAGGTAAAGGGAAAGGTTTCCTACAATTTCCATTAGAATGCATCTGTTAAGCAGCAAAGCAACCCAAGAAACTCTTTGGTCGGCTCCCTTTCTTGAGTTGCACCTTAGAAGTTCAGACGGAGGGAGAAGGGGGGTGATATTGAAGGAGCCAATATTTGTTGTCATGCAAAGTTCAATTCTCAATTAATGTCTTGTCTCGTCCAACGATATCCTATACATCCATGCATTAAATATGTCTAAAGTGTTTTTTTCTGCATTACGAATGGGATTCGACAACCCTTTCATTTGTAGTTCACACCCACGTCACCCCCACTTCGTATAATGAATCTATTGCAATCCGCTTTTAGTTGGTTTGTAACTCGGTTTTAGTCAATCGAAATCCACCTTTGTCCAGAACTGCATTGCAATCGAAGGCCCGGTTTCGAGTACCGTAGCGTGGGGTGGGTTGACTCCACTTTTAAAAATTAATGTTTCATTCAGAAATAAGAAGTTAAGTACTTGCATAGAATTACCTATTTTTAGGCAATTGTCTACAAGTTATTAACCTATATATTATACAATAATATATATTTTATTTACTACTTTCATTATTTAATGATCTTTATAATTATATATTTATGGTTCCATCCATTTTCTGGTTTAAATATGATTAATTACCGGTACCGCTAATAGCGGTCGTATACATAACGCATAGAAAACAACCGCAAATTTAAAGCGAGTGTATACATTTGGATAGCTTGTGGTGCTGTTCATTCCTTTTCTGCATTTCTGCGTTTCTGCATTTGGCAATTTCTGGCACCTCACACTCCCTTCGTGTTAATGAGTTTCGGTGGTTTGATCACAGATCAAATCCTCACGCTCATAGCCCAGAGTGTCCTCCTTGTCAGGCCACCTCCAGGTTGATCCTAACAGGCTCATGACTCTTCATGTTCAGTTTGCCCCCAGGTATCATTCTTGCGTTTATATTTTTGCTCATATCTAAATAGTTAAGGCATTAAGTAGTATTTATATTAACTTTTAAAAAAATGCTATAAAATCTTTAATTCTTGCTTTAAATGTAAATCTAGAACATTAGATTCCTTCCATTGTGGCTCTGCAGCTTATAAACGAAATGGGTTCATCTCACCCTGCTGTCAGCAAAATTTGGGATCAGAAGGAAAAAATACAGGAATATGTGGGGAATTTTTCATTAGTAATAAAAGTATTGCTGGCCATTGCTGACAAGACTCGAAGCAACGTTGAATTTGTGCCGAAAATTTAAATGTGAAATTTTCAGTCCCTCAAAAAAAAAAAACAGGCTTGTTTTGAGCGTGAAAAACATGGTTGACGACCTATTAGTCGAATATAATTTTTTAAATATTAATATTTCATATAATAATATGAAATGCGTCAATTTCTAATGAAAATACTTGAGAAAGCATGTCCAAAAAAATTTCGTGAAGAAACAATAGAGAAGAAACAATGGAAACTATATATTTTGTTGCTAGTTCTTTTCGTTTTTCAATCCAATCTTTTTTCGTTTTTATATTCATCTCACCCCATTCTACGGTACGTAGTCATTTTCGCGCTAAAATAAAAATGAAACAATTTTGATTACAGTCACTGGAATCTCAAGGTCACCTGCGAAGTGTTACGTTCGTCTACCGGCAAGTTCTTCGAAATCTTGCTTCGAAATCTGATATTGGAGGCTAAGGATGAAGTTGAAGCAATTGCGAATGAAAATAGCAATATCAGGATAAAGCGTTTTACGCGCTAGAGTGGATTGTAGGTGCAAGTTTTAGGCTTCTGCCGCAGACCATTAATGTGGCTTTAATTTAAGGGATGGGCATGATGGCATTCTTTTGAGGGAAGTTGGGACGCCTAAAAACGCTTGTGGTTTCACACCTTTGTTGCGCGATTCGACCGAAAAGCGCGCCTGAGTGCCGAATTTGTGCCGAAACCCAATTTCCAGTATGAATTTCAATAGGTTCAATTCAATAATTTCCTGTCCATTTTCTGTCTTCCTTTTGACAAAGTAAAGGGGTGAGCCAGAAGCAATGAAAAATTTTAAACGCAATGACTTTTGGAACCGTTACACGTATTTTCATCAAGTAACGTGCATTAGCAGCCAAATTACCCCAAAAAAGTAATAGGAAAAACCCCATCAAAATGAATACCTCCTCGCAAATGCAGCAAGTCATCTTCCCGTGTTCTCCATTTCATGATCCACCTGACACCACTTAAATGCAACCACGTCCACAGACGGTCCGACACCCGTCTCCATGTTCTTCGGCACATCTGTACTGATCTACATGATCACGTCCAGTCGAGGATGAGGTCGAGGACTTGGATACGGTGGGCATAAACCTCGTCTTTAAGGTACAGTCAACCCTCCATATACCGTCACTCGATAAACCGCCACCTTCGCTTATCGCCAACTCTTTCCTGGAAAGAAATATTCCCATAGCCTTATAATAGGCGATCCCCGTCATAGCGCAACCCTCGCAAGTCGCCATCTGTCTACATCATAATTTGTACAAACATGCATTTTCCCACATAAGTCTTCCTCGATTTTGGGCCAAGTAACTTGCCGCAACCCTTATCCAATACTAAACACAGCTACACATATGTTGCCACAGTGAGAGGTGACTCATAGCCAATGGTTCATAAGACATGTAGACATAATACATAAAGAGAAAGAACAGTGCATGTATTGGAAGGAAATCAGGATGGCAATAAAAGCTATCTTTTAGTCAATTTGTCTTTAGGAGATTTTTGGTTTCGTTGCCACTAGCATACTGCGGTCCATTCGATATAGCGCCACCCGCGTTATGGCGCCGAAATTGACGAACGACCTACAGTGGTATTATATCGAGGGTTTCCATACCTCCAATAAAGAAAGTTGACGCATTTACTGTAAGTCTTTCAAGGGGTCATTCGCTTCAGCAACACGTGCCACATTTTCCAGGGTGTATGTATGCTTATTTGCGTACCTTGGCATTTACAGTCCGACCAAATTCCTTTTCCATCAAATGTTTTGCTGAGACGCATGATCGTCTTCCGCTTTGGCACTGGTTCCCGCAATTCCTGTCGCATTGTGTGTTGTAACTAATATTGTCTGTTACCGAAAATAATCTGACACATCAAATTTATTTTCTCAAGAAGTCCACTCGCTATATTGCTTCTTGAGCTGTCAATTTGTTGTTGAATATGACTACCAAACACACGTTCTTTGACTAAATTACTTGCAACCGTTCCAAAGTTTCAGGTCTTTGAAGCGATTCATTACTTTTGGCTCTTTCTGTGAGAAGAAAAGAAATCAAGGTGTGCCGAAAATTATTCTTGAATGTAGATTTCTCAATGTGCAGCGCTTGTTCTCACTTTCTGTTCTGAGAAACAAGAGTAAATGCACCAAAAATAAATAAGCAATCTAAAAGTGGGTTGTATAAAGTATAGTTCTGCTGGATCCCTCACATTGCTGACAGCGGTCTGCCCCTCGTCAACAGAATCGGCTCCTCTCTCGGAACAAAGAGGAACCAAGGGTGTGTTAAGAAAGCCGAACAAAACCCACTCCCCTCCCCCACATTTAGGGGACCAGTAGGCCCTCACAGGCAGGATAAATGCGCATGCGCTGAGTTGAAGCCAATGATCCGCTTGCTCAGGAAAGCATGCGCGTGATTACTCGACTGTTCGTCGACGGTATTTTTGGCGATGATACACCCCACAAACGTAACTTCTGCTCTGATATGCCTGCCAGTTTTTTCTTCTAATTGTTCCTAACAGTATTCGAAAGGGTCAAGGTGTACCGCTTGTAACGAGTGTCTGTTCTGAAGGATGTAGAATCTTGTTGACAACAGAAGCGTTATAAATGCGCCAATATAAAGCGCGACGAAATAGGAGAGGGGAGATAGAGAGGCAAGCAGGAGGCCAGGCATCGAGCGCAGGAGGTTCATGGCAGGCGGCGTTCAGGTGATTCTCCGTTCGGGGGCGGGGGAGAAGGGAGAAAAGAGGATTCTTTCCGACCCGGCCACTTCGTTCTCGTTCCGGCTAAGGTCCAGGGGTGGATTGCATAAAACTGACTAGCGAAATGAAGCTTCAAACCTCCTTTAAAGGTGCTAATGGAAGTTTAAAGCTTCATTACGCTAAAGTCAGTTTTATGCAATCCACCTCAGGTCTCTTACTATTACCTGTGCATCTGGCCGCTGCATTGCTTCACAGTTGCCTTGGTTGTATTTATTTTTCAGAGATGGATAGTAAATTCCTGTCCCCTGTCATCTGGAGACAAAACAGTCTCTCGAATAAAATATAGTGAAGGTGTGAAGCAAAGCGGATGGTGTAAAATCCCTGATAAAGAGGGATTGTTCGTTTATGGGAGAGGCAACCTCTAGCCAGAAATTCTGAGTTATTGTCTAAAGCTTCACTGTCGATCTGGCTTGTTTAATTGCCGACACTGTCGGCGACCTCGAGATGGACAATAGGAAACTGGTGGATTCCATTGCTAAAATGTTACGCTACTACATGCAGGACCATATCGCCTTCCAGCCGGTTCACCCAACGCATAGCCGAGATTGTTGGAGCACTTGTGAAAAGAGCTCTTCACATTCGCAATAAAGAAACGGACAATAGTTCTAAAAGTTAGCAATGAACAATCCATCTGTAATGAAAAAACTGCGTACGGAGCCGAATAGCCTTTTTCCCTTTGGAATCGCTCAGAAGTGAGGTGATCAATAAGTTACTTGAATGGGAATTTTAATCGCGTAATGACCCCCTATCATACAACGCGGCATACCTGTTGACAGGTCAGATACACAAATGAGAAAATGCCGTACTCTTCAATGCATTCATGTATAATACATGTTTATATTTCTGCATTTGAGAATGACTTGCCTTCCGCACGAATCACTGCACTACTATGCATCACGAAAAAAGCCAAGAACTACTCTTTCTCTTTTAATTGAACTGCCACTATGACTGCATTATTGGTAAGGTTACATAGCGTGAAAGAGATGAAAGGATGTTCAGAAAAAAAAGCAGATGATGTGAAGGAGGAAAATAAGCTTTTCTTATGATAAAAAAAGCTGTTACATTGCATTGTCAGTGAGATGAGATCAGCTCACTCAATTCCATTTATCCTTGCAGGGAAATCTGAGCAATGTTGTGGGGATCGATTTCGACTATGCAGACAACCGATTGATGTTCACTCAGATCCGTCCACACACTCAGATCAGCTGGCTGTCCAGTTTTCATCCTGATTCCAGTAACATCACTCAAATTCTTACATCTGGAATCAATCCAGAAGGAGTTGCATATGATTGGACTGCAAGTAAAATCTATTGGACTGATTCAGCCAATAGTTCCATCTATGCCATGAATCTGGATGGAAGTGAAATTGTGGCCATCACCCATGTTGAGAGACCTAGAGCCATTGTTTTGGACCCTTGCAATGGGTAAGCAAACTACATGATGAAGCATAATTATTAAGAACCTTTAAAGAAGCAATTTTTGTTCATTCAATTTGTATAATCCTATGGGATTCATTTTTTGAAGCCTTGATTTAAGAATGTATGCTGTCTTGAATTTTTTAACAGGACCATGTACTTCACGGATTGGGGGAGATTTGGAACATCAGGCAAAATATACAAGTCGACAATGGCTGGGACCTTGAAAGAGGTGGTCATAGGTGATGACTTGAAGCAGCCCAGTGGTCTTACCATTGACTATGATGAGAGAAAACTATATTGGACAGATGCTGTGAGGGAAAAAATTGAAAAATCTAACATGGATGGCTCAGATAGACAGGTTTGTTTTGAAAAGCCAAACTTAAGACTTGCTGTTATGAAGCCATATCTTGAACCCTTTGCTCTCTGCCTTGACTCATCAATAGGTCATAGTGTCATCAACCATCTACCCATTTGCTGTGACAGTATTTGGGAATTACTTGTATTGGACGGACCTTCAACTACGTGGGGTGTATCGTGTTGAGAAGCACACAGGAGCTAACCTTGTAGAGATGGTTAAGGGTCTGGTTGAATCTCCCCGTGATATCCGCATCTTTGCAGCTGATCGTCAAAAATGTCCCAAAGAGCACAATCCTTGCAATGCGAACAATGGGGGCTGCCAGCACACTTGCCTGCCTGCTCCTAATGGAACAGTAAGTCCCATCCCCACTTTGAGTGTAATTAACCCTTTAATTATGAATTCTGTTGCAGACTGCTCTCCCAACATAAAAACTAGATTGACAGTCTGCCAAGAATGAAAATGCATGCTTCTTGCATTATAAGTACCATCATAAATACAAGTTATTCACAATGCTCAGACAGATATATTTCTATATTTATTCTTCAGTGGTTGCAAATGAATAAATGCTCTCAACAAGAAAACTGAGTGCATCCCAAGGAATTTCCTCTGATATGTAACTGCTGCTTTAGCTTTGTAATGACTCAGCAGCAAAACCCAGATTTTAAAAGCCCAAAATTTGTTTTTTTAAAATTAATGATGCATGCTGAAATATTGATTGCTGATGTGAGCTGTGCAAATGTCTACTTGTACATGTGTGGAATACCTCAGAGTCCTTTGTACTCACTGACAAGAGCAATAAATATCCAGTTGAAATTGATACACCAAAAATAAAGAGATCTCAGAACCCATTAAACTTTCACTTGAGAAATCCCAAAGAATTCTTGTCACATAGCTACTGAATGAATGTATTCTCATGGAAATTATAGTAATTAATTACTGAAAATTCATTACTATTCATTACTGAAAAAGGAAAAGGATAGCTAACATTTAACTTATAATAGGTTAATCCCCATTTGTGTCTCCATGGTATTTTAGGTATGGGCTCAGCACACCTTCATAGCTCCTACATAGTGTTTTGACATCCAATGGTTTATGTATAACCTGAACATCAATTGAAGTGGATATTTTGTATTTTCAGTTGTATTTGAAGAATTCTGCTGTTACCTGTTACTAAATGTGCTAAAGAAATTTTCTTAATTTACAAATCTGTTGAATCAAATATTAAGTTGAAATGAATTGCCTTTCATATATTTCACAAAAAATTTATCCAAGTTTCTTTTAAAAGAGAAAATATGATTTTCAATTGACGTGCACTGTATTATGGCAGTGCCTTTAGGAATGTCTGATCCACAGGCTTTCCTCTTCTGCATTCAGCCTCTTTTGGCCTAATTGTCTATACCTGTCTGAATCCTTGTATATCCAATTGGGGAAGTAGCTCATTTTCATAAAATATTTTAAAAGTGAACCCTTTCTTCCCTTAGACTGAATGCAAATGCAAGGAGGGAACACACTTGGTGAATGACAATCGCATGTGTGTACCCAGCAACATCACTTGCTCAGCTGACAAATTCACATGTGAAAATGGAAGATGCATTTCTCGCCTCTGGACTTGTGATGGAGATGATGACTGTGGTGACAATTCAGATGAAGACAGGAATTATTGTGGTACATATATAAATCTTATGCTGTTTCATTCTAAGAAAAGGCCCTTTTATTTTTACCACAACTTGGAGGCTATTTCTTTCTCCAGCTTATCATACATGCCATCCTGGTGAATTCCGTTGTGGCAATGGGCGGTGCATCTTCAGTCGGTGGAAGTGTGATCATGAAGATGACTGTGGGGATGAAACAGATGAGGAGGGTTGTGAATACCAACCATGTGAAGAAGGGGAGTTCACTTGTGCCAACAAGAGATGTATCTCCCAATCCCTGGTTAGTACACTCATGTCATGCTTCAACCTTCATTGCAGGTTTGCATTGATTTACTAATTAATTGATTAAGTATTTGTTGATTCCCTACAGGTTTGTAATGGAGTTGATAACTGTAAGGACAAGAAGACATCAGATGAGTCATCAGAGTTATGTCCAAACAACACAACTTGCAAGCCAAATAATTTCAAATGTGAGACTACAAACATCTGTGTGGAGCCCTACTGGCTCTGTGATGGAGATAATGATTGTGGAGACAACAGTGATGAGAAGGAATCTCTCTGCTCTCAGAGGTCATGTCCTCCCAACAGTTTCCGGTGAGGATTGCTTTCCTTCTGGATGTTGCCTTATTGTACCATGGCTCCATACATCATGAGATAATTTTCCTTGCAGTTGCCCAAATCATCGCTGTATCCCTGCTACATGGCATTGTGATGGTCAGGATGATTGTGGAGATGGTAGTGATGAACCTAAAGAGTATTGCAACTCTGAATGGCACACATGCTTTGGAGATCTCTTCACATGTGACAATGGCAACTGCATCCCTAGGATTTACATTTGTGATGGAGATAACGACTGTTTGGATGGGTCTGATGAGGACAAGCGCCATCAATGCAGTGAGTCTCATGATGTATCTTGCATGTTGAGGCTTTGGGTATTCAGATATACTACTCTGCAACCCTGCTTATTTTTTGGTCTGTCTAATCAGATAATCGGCAGTGTGATGAGACCTCAGAATTCACCTGTGCGGCAAACGCACTCTGGGGAAGAACGCGCTGTATTCCTCGCAAGTGGATTTGTGATGGTGATCCAGATTGTGTGGATGGAGCTGATGAGAACACAACGCTCCATAATTGTCCCACTCCTGAACCCTGCAGTGAAGGCCTCTTCCAATGTGGCAATGGACAGTGTATAAACAAGGTTGCTCCGCATCTCTTCTCATTCTTATTTATTAATTTTTCCCATTGAGGTTCATCATAAGGGGTGCTTCATAATACTAAGAGGTGTCAAATATACAATATCATAAACATGCATCAGCATTTTGGAAAATTTGTTGAAATTTAGAATGAGAAAGAATGGTGGATGTAATGATCAAAAGCACATAGAGGACAAGGAGCACCATGAGAATTTCCATCTTTCAGGCCCATTTTCTGCTATAGGGATCATGTTCCTGTTCATATCCCTTGATGAGATTACTGAAGAAAGGTTGTATCTGTAGCATCTCACTTTTAAAAATAATTTTTTGATGACTTAATGATGACTTTAGCATCTCATTACAGTGGATTTTATAGATGTGATTAATAAGCAGATTTATCAAAAGTTGTAGGGGAGAACTTATGCATTTAGGAATTCACGTTGCCAAATGAAGTAATTCATGTCATGTCAGCCTGCATTATGAATCCCAGGAGGCAAGGGGGAGAGGTACTTCCCCTGTGTTCCTGTGACAGCCTTGAGTTTGTGAAATGGATTAGCTGTCAAAATCTATATGCCAAGTTCAATGGGATAGTCATGGTTTGACTTTGCTTGTGTCCTCTTCTCTTATACAGGCATTCCTTTGTGACAATGACAATGATTGTGGAGATGGCACTGATGAACCCAAGACCTGCAAGTATTCTACCTGCAATCCTGAGACAGAATTTGCATGTGAGAATAGTAAATGCATTCGAACAGCCTACAAATGTGATGGTGATGATGACTGTGGAGATGGAAGTGATGAGAAGGACTGTGGTGAGTTTATGGCATGACTTCAAATTAAGTGGACATGTTCATGATCCTTTCCCCAGATGAATACACTTACCCAGCAATTGGAGTTGGAAAAATTGCCTGTAAGAGCTGGAAATTATGATCCATGGCTATTTTCAAGTTGCAAAGTTGTGGGAGGTATGTGTGAGGGGCTGTTGACAGGCTTCCATAGGGATTTATGTCCTGAGTCTCTTAGATTTTGTCTAGGGATGGGACTATTTCACTACCAGATCTTTGAAAGACAAGGCAGGGAATGCCAGGATGAAGCCTATGCATTAGTGTTTGTCATTCCATAATAAGAGATGGTTGGGAAATGAAAAAATTTTTAATTAACAGAATCCCAAAATTGGCAGAATTTTTCTGGAAGGTAGAAACCCTGCAGGAATTTTGGATTTCCAGTTATGGATTTCCAGTTACATGCATCTGTCCATTGACTTAATGACTTTTCATATAACACATGTGCCTACTGATGGACAACTTACCCTGCTGTCTTTCAGAAATACTAATCTATATATTAATGATATAGAAGAAGAGATACTATCAGTCAGACACCATGCACCTAACCTGAATGAGGTGGAAGTCCCTATACTGCTATATGCAGATGACTTGATGCTGCTTTCTCAAACTAAGGTAGGACTGCAGAGGATGCTTCAAGCTCTGGAGAACTTTTGTGACAAATGGAAGCTGGAAGTAAATGTAAAAAAAAAGGTTATGGTTTATAAGAAAAGAGGAGCAATAAGTAAAACAGGGAGGTGGTATTACAAGGGACAGAAATTAGAAGTTGCTCCTGAGTATAGGTACCTGGGTGTGATCTTTTTTAGAACCAGGCTCATGGGATAAAATGGAAGAATCTATGTATAATAAAGGTAAACAGTTATGGATACAACTACTATCTCTACAGAAGAATCTGTGACTGAGTAGGCCAGTAGCTTATGCAACGAAGCTGCTAGACATGCTGGTACTCCATGGAATACTTTTTGGAGCTGAAGTATGTAGACCCAGAAAAATAAAAATGAATATGATGTATATATGTGAAGTTTTTGAGAGGGATCCTTCCTAACAGTGCAAGCTCAGTAGCTGTAAAATGGGAGCTAGGCAGGATCTCACTGAAAACATATATGGACCAACGAAGGATAAGGTTTTGGGAGCAATTATGGGAAAAAGATAAAATATTCTTAGTAAGGGCTGCTCTCCAAGAACAGCAAAAATGGGCACTACAAAGAAAAAACAGCTGGGGACTGTATATGTTGAACTTATTGAATGAGATTGGACTGTCATTTGCATGGAGGTATGCCCCAGGGGGATCATGGTTTTCGCTGGCAGCAAAGAGAAGAATAGTAGATATTGAATTCCAAAAACAGTACAAAATAATGAAGCAGCAGAGAACATTGAGCCTGTAAAAAGAAGTAAAAAACTCCTGGTATGACAGAATACTTGGGGAAAGTCTCAGAAAGGGATAGAAGAACCTTGACTGTATTTTAACTAGGCATATACAAATGGAGAACAAGAAATTGGGAATATAAATGTCATTGTTGGAATGTGGAAGATGACTACCATGTGATATTAGAGTGTGAAACATATGAGGACATAAGAAAAAACTACCTGAGCCAGTATTTTTTAAAATCCCCAAGTAAATATAAGTTGAAGCAACTGTTTGCTAAGGATAATATTATACAGATCTGGAACTCACTGGCTAAATGTATCAGAAAAATACTAGAAAAAAGAGAAAACCACTCCATGCTGATAGCAAATACAGATCATTCCTGAAGGGAAAAATAAACTTTAAATAAATAAATAAAGAACAAGAAAGAGAAACAACATGTACAGAAAATGGGTCAATAAGAGTTTTAGGCAGAGTCAGTAAAAGATTTAGAGATGTGAAATTTGATATTATAGCATGTGCTGAATTATCTTTCCTGAACTTGGCATATAGTTTTTGGACAGCTGATTGTCTTTCAGAAATACAGCTGTGAGTCCATCTTATTCCAAATTTGATTAAGGGTTCCACCCAGAAAATCACATTGACTTAAATACCAGTATTCTGGCAAATTTACTTTCATCATATGGGGGACAAAGGAACCTTGGTGCACTTGATCATTCTAAGCAAATATTTTTTAGAAAAATCACTTCAGATGCCTTCATGAATGAGAATCACCTCCCTGTGTTGTGCCTCATAACAGAGAAAGAAGAACCAACATGCGAGCCGGGCAAGTTCCGTTGCAACAATGGAGAGTGCATTGACAATCTCTTGGTGTGCAACAAGGTGGATGACTGTGGAGATGAGAGCGATGAACCTAAAGGCTGTCATGTCAATGAATGTGCCAAGGTAGAGTTCCATCAATGTGGTCACAAGTGTGTAGACACACTCACTGGCTATCGATGTGAATGTACTGAAGGCTACAAGTGAGTACTTCTTTATTTTGCTCTTGATAGAACTTGGCTAGTTGCAGTGGCTAAATTCCTATATATTTTTATCCTTGCCTTGCAGGCTCATGAAAGATGGAAAGGCTTGTGAAGACATCAATGAATGTGAAGAGCTGCCTGCAGTTTGTTCACAATACTGCACCAACACACCAGGGTCATTCTATTGCAAATGTAACCATACTTACTATGAACGTTCAGCTGGGGATGAATATTCATGTAAGCGCAAAGATGCAATTGCTCCTTGGGTCATAATTACCAACAAATACTATGTCCGCATTATGGATACAAATGGTGCTAATCACCAGCTCCTGCATCAGGATCTAAGAAATGTGGTTGGATTGGATTACATGTACTCACAAGATCAACTGTTCTTCAGTGATGTTGTTGCAAAGACCATCTTTAGGTCTAAATTCAATGAGAGTTCATCAAATGACAAAGAGAAAATAATTCGTCATGATAGTCATGGCCTTGAAGGACTTGCAGTGGATTGGGTTGGAAAGAAGATCTACTGGCTGGATCGTCACAACAAACAGCTGGATGTTGCAGAACTCAATGGTACAAATAGAAGAACTTTGAAGGCCAGTGGCATCTCATATCCAAGAGCCATTGCAGTTCACCCAGGCATTGGATACCTTTTCTACACTGACTGGCAGCTGCATGCATACATAGGCAAACTAGGAATGGATGGATCAAATTTTACTCGTATCTTGTCACAAGAGAACAAAATTAATTGGCCAAATGCACTGACAATTGACTTCTTCAGTGATCGAATCTTCTGGGCTGATGGTCATCTTGACTATATTGCATTTGCTGATTTTGATGGGAAGCATGTTCATCATGTCCTTTCTGGGCCATCAGTCCCCCATGTCTTTGCCATCACAGTTTTTGATGACTACTTGTATTGGACAGATTGGAACTTGCTTGCAGTGATGAAAGCACATAAATTTACAGGAAAAGGATATCAGGCCATTCGAAACACAACTCACAAGGCATATGATATCCAGATCTACCATCCTTTAAGGCAACCTGATTTCCCCAATCCATGTGGAAATAATAATGGTGGATGTTCTCACCTCTGCCTCCTTTCACCAAGGAATGCTTCAGTCACTTACACCTGCACATGTCCAAATCAATTCTTTTTGAGTCCTGATGGGAAATCTTGCATTGCAAATTGCACTTTGGGTGAGCATAAGTGTGGTGGTTCTGATGAGAAATGCATTCCACTCTTCTGGAAGTGTGATGGTGAAAAAGATTGTGCAGATGGCAGTGATGAGCCTTCCTCTTGCCCCGAAAGGAAATGCAAGACTGGACAATATCAATGCAAGAATTTTAACTGCACTTCACCAACTCAAATCTGTGATGGAAGGAATGACTGTGGAGACCTCTCAGATGAGGAGAATTGTCATGCCCCATGCCCTGAACTGCAGTTCAAATGTCGCAACACTGGTCGCTGCATCCTTGGAGCCTGGATGTGTGATGGAGATAGTGATTGCACTGATGGCAGTGATGAAGACCCTGCTCAGTGCTACAATCGTCCCTGTGACAATGAAACTGAGTATGCTTGTAAAAATGGAAAATGCATTCCAAAACTATGGTTCTGTGACTTTGACAATGATTGTGGTGATGATTCTGATGAGCCCTCACACTACTGTCGGAACCAGCAATGCCGTCATGGCTGGCGTCGCTGCCCTGGTTGGGCTAACTATCGCTGCATTCCAAAATGGCTCTTCTGTGATGGTAAAGATGATTGCCGTGACAACAGTGATGAAGATCCCAACAATTGTGAAGCTTGTGCCCCAGACACAGAATTTCAGTGCAATAACCGCCGATGCATTCCAAAGCGATGGGTTTGTGATTTCTCCAATGATTGTGGGGATAATAGTGATGAAAACAGGAAGCTTTGTGAGGGACAGTACAGAGGATGTTCAGAATCTGAGTTCAGATGTAGCAACAGCATTTGTATCTTGAATAAGTGGCGGTGTGACCATGATGATGACTGTGGAGACAACTCTGATGAAGAAAACTGTCAAGATTGGAAATGCAAAGAGGGAGAATTCCGATGTAACAGTGGTCATTGCATCCCAGAGGAGTTGCGATGTGATGGTGGGCGTGACTGTCATGATCTTAGTGATGAAATTGGCTGCCCAACACGATTTCCAGATGGAACTTACTGCCCTCAGACTATGTTCCAATGCCAGAACACCATCTGTGTTGAACAGAGAGAGCTCTGCAATGGACAAGATGACTGTGGAGATGGAAGTGATGAGAAGGCAGAGCTTTGCCAGTCGTTTGATTGCAATACACTCCTCCGATTCCGTTGCAACAATAACAAGTGCATTCCTCGTTTCCAACTTTGTGATGGGATTGACAACTGTGGAGATGGTAGCGATGAAAACAACCACACAGTTTGTGTGAAGCGGCCAAGACCTTGCTTCTCCAGTGACTTCAAGTGTTCCAATCATAAATGTATACCAAAGAGCAAGTTGTGTGATCACGCAGATGACTGTGGAGATCAGTCAGATGAACGAGGTTGCTTATCAGGTGACTCTTGTGCTGTTCACAATGGAACTGGAGGATGTGAGCAGATGTGTACTGACCTTACTGAGGGAGGATACATCTGTCACTGTCGACCAGGATATAGAGCCAAAGAGGCCAATCCCAAGGAGTGTGAGGATATTGATGAATGTGAAGAACTCAGCCATAATTGCTCACAGATATGCGTCAATATTAATGGAACATATGGCTGCCACTGTCGAGAACCAGATTTTTTGGAATACCATGGCACCTGTAAAGCCAAGGGATCTCCCACAACTCTCCTTTACTCTACTGGACCTGAAATCAGAGGCTTTCGAATGGGTGAAAGGGAGAGACGATCCCTCAGTTACCTCCAGGGTGAATTCCGAATTCAAGCTCTTGATTTTGATCCTACCAAGAAAATGATCTATTGGACTGATTCCTATGAGAAGGCAGTGAAGAGATCCCTCATGGCCTATGCTGATATCCCTGATGTTGAAACAGGATTCCCACAGAACCTGGAGCTTAAAGGTAAGACAGTATCTGTTCTTGGTATTTAGGGTGTTAGGGTGAGTGCTAATGTAAGTAATGAAGTATACCATTCCAACTTTTGAGCATGTTGACTGGGAGGAAGAATGCTCTCTCCCTGACTGCAATCAAAGGAGTGAGCCTTTCTTCTTGAGTAAATTATGTCTGACAATGGGGAAGTGCAGTAAACAATGGATTTCTTTCAGGAGCTGTGGTTTTCTTATCTTGGTGGGAGAGAGAGAGATTCATACTGATTGCTTTACACATGCTACTTCATTTCTCCAATCTCTTCAGTTTAGCTTCAAGTATTCAAAACTGAATGGCAAATTGAATTACATTGAGCAGAGATAGCAACAGGAAAGCATTGACTATTAATCTGTCTATAATATCCATCACTATAACTCACTTCAATAAATTTAATATAAGTACACTTGTGTCAAATTAAATCTCCATTCACAGCCATGGTTAGATTGATGAGATTTCTATAGCATATTCTTCCATACTTGTCCACTTAGTCCATGAACAAGCATTATATGTGCTGAAGGCTCCTAATAAATTCAATTACCATTTACCTATTTGTATTTTAAATTTTTTGTTAGATATATGTTTTAATCTGAGCCATATTCATGAATAAGACAGAGAACTTTAGAACAAGACAAGATAGTATACACCTTGCATGTGATGAATTATAGATAGAGCCTTCTATGTACTCATTGGACTCTCCCTATATTGGGCTTTGCCCTAGTGGATGGAGATGGCTCAGGGGATCAGAAGTTGGCTGGTTATATAGTAATGTATTGTCTCTCTCGTGGTTTTCACTTCTATTTCTGTTGTAAGAAATACATCTAGACTTACACTGGAAGGGATTCTTGTATAGAGTGTTCCATTTATCTTGGGACCATTTAAATGTTCGTTAAGAGGAAAACAGTAGCATGTACATAGTTTTTGGGTACAAATATAGCTACTGCATGGACATTCACTGGCAAAAAATAATTCCTTTCAAGTGCATGCCATTCTCATTGATGCACTCTTGGCATCAAAGTAAGACATTGTAAATTGTAGCCTGCAATGTTCCAACAGAAGTCTCATGAACACAGAGTGGTGTTATTTTTCAACTCCTGCTCATTTTGAGGTCTGTTATGGTACTCTTCACTCTTGAGATACCTCCACAGAAGAAAGTCAGGAGCATTTGTGTCAGACACACATGCCAGACAAGAAATTCTCTCAAAATTCTCTTATGAAAGTTTTCTGTGGAGTCACTATTGAGACTTTCAAAATAAAAAGTTCCACAATCCTTGTATGGTGCCTCAAGCTCCAGGAATCCATGGTCAACAACTTGGCAGTATTTATCCTCAATCTGAGATGAAAAATGACTATTATTTACAAAGTTTTCCTTTAAAACAACATTTCCATGGTCCTAGTATAAATGGAATGCCCTGTATATTGATGGATTATCCTAACATTCAACAATAGCATTATCTTTAACCACTTCAGCTCCAGTGATGTGCATGTGGTCATCACATGACATGCCTTCATAATTTTACTGACAACGAAGTTAAATGGTAAATTACAGTAAATTAGCTTTGCAAGAGCTAAATTAGCTATGCAAGAGCTAATTTAATTTAAGAGTAAATTAATTTCTTGGATATCAGCTTAGAAACATTTTGTGCAACATTTCACTCCTTTATTATGATTGTAGTTGGTTTTGAATCATTTAAATAAAATTATGGATCTTCTGCCAATGGACAAGATGACATTTTCCCAACAGCTTCTGAATTTCATTGTTTCTGTGAGAGCCTGAAACTAGTGGTGTACCATGCCATCACTCATTAGAGTGCTTTAAATTGCTGCTGATATGAGTACAGACTGTTTCATGGATACCGAATTGAAACACCTCTGTTCATTTGCAGCTGTAGTTGTATTCTGCACTTCTTAGTTGTGCTTCTGGAAATTCTAATAGGAAGCATCTTATAACTTCATTTGCTGGGAATGTGAAACTCAACCAGACACAAATGTCTAGGACTGAAGTGATAAATGTAGGAATACAGATGTGTGGATGCAATGGTAGAGGCATTAGTAGTTCTTGCTAGGCTTGACTAATCAAGGAGGAGGTTAAATCTACATTCATCCCTGGTTCTTGTTATAGAGACAGATATTGGAAGTAGGGTTGTACCAATGCATCAGCAACCACTGGTATCCTTTCAAGCAGTAAAATGGAGAAAAAACACACATTAAAATAATGTGGGAAACTGGCAAGACTTGTGCATAAGTTAAGCATTTTTACTGGGATTCCTGCATGGATCATGATTTTGGAAAGTATAATTGATGAAATTAACTGCTATTTTTTTAGGTTTAATTTAATGGATGCAGATTTCAGGTTGTCTATTCTTATGGGATTTGCTTTGAAAATATTTCTCATTTACATGCTATTCTTCTGGTGATGCCACTGTGATGAAGGGACTGGGAAACAAATTGAAAAGTCAATTTTATCATTTGATATAAACAAGGGATTGACATTTTGTCATTGCTGTTTCATTAACTGATGTTCCTTTTTCTTTTTGTTACCTGTGGGAATCTTCTCCTAGGGGATCGTGAGTGACTTTACCCCTTTTTACTCTCAATCACTGCCAACCTCCTCCTGCAATGCAGAAAATTATCACCTTTCATGCTATATTTTTCAGTTCACTGCTTTTTAATTGAATCTTTTTCTGACCTACTGCATGCAGAATTCTACTGTGCTTCTTTGAAAAAAAAGTCTGAACTATGCCTTCTTACCAGCACTGATGTGTCACCTTGATGTGTTTGATTGTTGATGGCACTTTTCACTACATGCACTGTTTTTCTGTGACTCATTTCTTATACTAGGTGATCCTAAGATACTTGGATAACTTTGTTTGCAGGAAAGGGGTAATTTTTTACATCATGACCATTACCATTAGGATAGCTTGAAGCTTACTCTGATGGAGAATGTAGTGTTGTGGGATGCAGTGAGTGCCAAGAGGTAACAGCATGAATGATACAAAATGCTATTTTTACACCAGTTTTACAGAGCACCTGCAGGGAGATGTTTATGAGTGCACATGCCACTGTGGGATCCACTATTTGAGGATAAGGGTGATCCTTGTGTGCCCTTGGGTGTTCTCTCATTTCTGGGGCACCGTTGCCTTATGTGGGAGGGGGAAGAGGGCATCATATCATTTCCCTTCCATTAGTGGTCTCACAGATACTCCAGATGGATGTTGCCCTCTAGAAAATATTCATGTATCATGGTATTTTCAAGGATTTTGAGCATGTATACCCAATGTAACTGGAGATAGATACTCAATATTTCTCCTGGAGAACAGACTGATGTCAAACTTGAGACATGACAGAGGAATCCTTTGGCTGGTTTAAAAACACTTTCAGATCTACTTGAGCAAGAAAACCTTCAAAATTTTCCATATGAAGATTTTCACTATTCTCTGGATGATACCAGTCACCTAAAATGGAATGTAGGCCTACTATTATGTCTCACTTCTTTGTAGAAGTAGTATGACAGAGGATTAATTTTTATTTCACTAACATGCTGTTACTGGCTATACTTTTTGCCAACCATCATTTCTGCATGACATAGAATGAACTACAATGAGTTCTTTCTTTAGGTTACCATCTTGAAGGCTGTAGCACTTGAACTGCAAATAAGAGTTCAAAAAGTTAGTATTTTCAGTTCAAAAAGCAACTTAATTTAAATCATAACTTGAAAAAGTAAGTGGTCATTTTTCCAGAAAGTATCTTACTAGTACTAATTTATTATTTATTATTAATTTATTAAATTATAAGTACTAATTTCATATCCATCTTGTTAATTGTAACTATTTATTTCTGATACTAATACATCATAATTTTATCAAGTACTATCTCATAAACACTGAATCCCCCCTAAAATCCAGGTGTCTGAAATGTCAGTGGTCAGAACCCACTCTCTACTGTCCCCTTCTCCTTGTACTCTTCATTGGGAGTCTAGATGGGAGGTTTGATACATTTAGCAGTGCCACCAGCCCTTGCCTAGCGAGGGAGGGCAGCAGCCTCTCCAACACCTTCTCCTGAAATTGGCTGTGTGCATGTGGTAGTACCTTTCTTGTTTGACACAAGTTTTCATTTGCAAGCTGTTGCAGGATTTTGCTGAGAAAATTTGACCCATTGTGCAAACTTATTATAAAATAAAATTGAATTGAAAAACTTTCTTGATGTGGTGCACTGGATTGGCATCAGTCCTTCACCTTAGCAGTTGATGTCTTCAAACATCCGCTTGTATTCTCTTTCTCCTCCCAATTTTTAAAAATAGCACATTGCTTTGCCTGTCTTATTATGATGCACTCAAAGAGACACAGTAAAATGTTTATGGTCTCCTTTGTGACAGAGATGAGAGGGAACTTTGGGTTATCCTGTGCTCATTGCATGAGAATATATTTTTGAAACCATCCCTTTCCTGCATACAATTCAATAGACTTATTTTTGGGTCACCTTGTCTTGCATTCCTGCCTTTCACTGTGTAGGTAATAATAATCAATCCTCTCTGGCTTCACATAGGATCCTCAAAGCCATTTGGTATAGCAGTTGATTGGGTAGCTGGAAATCTTTATTGGACTGAGACGGATCGCTCCAGCACCCGAAGTCGAGGTCGCATTGTTGTGGCCAAATTGGATGGGAGATACCGTCACTCACTCATCACAAGTGGCCTGGAGATGCCTTCTTCTGTGGTTGTTAATCCAGGAAGAGGTTGTTGTCTCAGTCATTACAACCCATGTCCCAGTTTTGATGTTTTATATAGAATTCATCAACATTTTATTGATCCTATTAGGTATCATGCTTTGGTCAGATGTGGGATCTTCTCCCAAGATTGAATCCTCATGGATGAATGGGAGAAAACGAACTACAGTGATCAGTGACCGGATAGGATATCCAACTGGTCTCACAATTGACTACTCTATGGATGATGTTGTTTACTGGGCTGATCCAAAACTGAATACAATTGAAATGATGAAGTATGATGGGTCTAAACGAAAGGTTGTCGTTTCTGGAGGTGAGTGACCGCTTTAAACTAGGATTCTCCTCAATAATTTTGTTCCATGATTGCCACCTCCATGCTTACATACCTCCTCCTATTTTAGAGAAACTGAGACATCCCACAGCCCTAGATGTCTTTGAGAGCTCTGTGTATTGGGTGACCAGAGATACAGGAGAGATTTGGAAGCAGGATAAGTTTGGCCGAGGTGTTTCGGTCAGAGTTGCACAGGACCTCCTAAATCCCACTAGTGTGAAAGGTATGAAAGTGTTTTGTTACTTTTATGCTATGAAGTGCCAAACAAAGCAGTCAAACTAATGCTTTTTTTTTTTTGAGCAGTGTATCAGACATACAGGTACAACACATCTCTGACAAACCCATGCCATACAAGTTCTTGCTCTCATCTATGTCTTCTGGAACCTCAAGGCTACACTTGTGCCTGTCCTGAGAATACTCCATATAGGGGGCGCTCAGAGAGCACTTGTGATGCAGGTCTGATAAATTTCCATTTCTCTATTTCAGTATTGTTTAGGGAAGGAATTAGTCTATACAGTCCTTTCTCGCTGCTTCCTTTACTCATCCATTGCATGCATTCGAATATGCTTTCTCTCTTTGCAGCTGTGGAACAGCCCAAATCTGAGCCTCTTGTTTGCTCATGTCGAAATGGGGGGAGATGTGTCCTGGATGATAAGCACCAATTAAAGTGTCAGTGTGTGGAGGATTATGAGGGTGAAAACTGTGAGAACTATGTTGCCAAGAATAGTGTCTATCAACAAGGTTCCTTTTCCTCGGAAACCATTGCCATTCCCATTGTCATTGTGCTGATAGTTGGTTTCACAGTTGGTGTGTACATGGTGCTCCGCAAGCGAAACTTGTAAGTTAAGCTCTCCAGATGTTTACAGCTGAAACTTTCATGATTGGAATATACTAAGGCATGAATTGTGCTCCATCCAGTGGGAAAGCTGCTGCAGGTGGACTTGGGATCTCCCCAAGTGTTTCCTTCCGTAGTGGCACAAATGTTGAATTTGCTGCTCCTGGATTTGGAGATGCTGCAAGAGGAGATATCAGCAAACAGGTCAGTGTGTGCTGTGCTTTCTTGAATGGGATATTTTGTACTGCAGAGCCATGGTACTTGGGATCATTCTAGGTAAAATTGTCAAGAAGCCATGAAATTGAAATGCTTGAAAAGCCATGAAAGCTCAGCTTTTTCAAGTTTCCTTTAAAATTTTCATGCTCTTTGGTGATCTGGAGAAGAGTGTAAATCCAAAATGTAAACACCTATATCAAAATGTTCCTGAAATATTGTTGGTTAAAGTTTTGATAAAATGGCTGAAACAAATGCAAACTATGAAAATTGTGACTTCTTTCCTATTGTACAACCTTGACACATATAAGTTCCAACTTTTTTTCCCTGTGGAATTTCTAAAAGTCTTTATTGGATTTACACTGTGATATACACTGTGACTAAGATGACCAATGATACAAAAAATGTTGGCATTCATGGTATTGTCAAAACAAGTTGCCTTATGCTGGATGAATAGGATGCTGTAACTTTTTTGGGAGGAAATTTTTATTACATATTGCAATGAAAATTTTCCAAATTGCCATTTTGTAAATAGGACAATGGGACAAAATGGGTTAAATTAGGGGTCATATGAAGCTCTTTGAGCTTTCCAGTTATGTGTAACACATGTGTAAAATGGTGTAAACATAAAAATTTACTAAAATTTACTCAATTTTGAAGTATTTCAAAATTTTCCTATTTTCACCTATATGGGAATGGGCTGGAAACATCAGTCCTGATGAACTTTGTACTAGTAAAATACAAGTTGAACTTCAATTTTCATCCCCCACAGAGAGAAAATTTGATTAGAAGTTGGTGAGCATTTTTTTTGTCAGCTTAAACCTCATTTTGGTCATGTGGGAGGCTAGTTAAAAGCTTATGTCTACATATTTGGAAAACTTATTTTGTTCTCTTTCCAATGATATTGGTTTATGTTTTTCAAAAACTCCAAAAATGATCCCAAATCAGATCAGTAAGGAAATCTTCACTCATATAGAAATCTACAGAATATCACCTTAGTTTCAAGAATAATGCCCAGGCACACTTTTATGAGGAAATTTCATGTTAAATTTTCATTACTCATTTAAAATAGCCATGTGTGAAAATATTAGAAAATATTAGGGGTCTGATACAAGTGATGTATAATCATGTCTTAATGCATTATTTAAACCAATAAACCACATGTTAGCCCTTGCACTATATAGAGGGGGGCAAAAGTCACTATACAGTTGTTGAATATAGAAAATAGTTCTAATGCCATATTGACAATTTTTTACAACAAAACACAAATAACATGGAAAAATGATTGTGCAATATAATTTCAAAAGCTACCAGCTTCATCCAGTGGTATTGCTCTGAAACAAAGAGGACCAAATTAGCAAAACACCTATTTTCAGTATACAAGAACTGTATAGTAACTTTTCCCCCACCCTGTATATAGCCAATGAATGCCATGTCACACCAATCCATATTTGAAGTTGTATGATGTCATATGTGGATGAATGATGTAATATTACCAATCAATTTATTAAAAACATTTGAGACACCTCACATTCAGAGACTCCTGTAAAGCAGCATAGAGTAGAATGAATGGTAGACACTCTTTTGTCCCAGCCATCATGCATCATCATATACCATATCCAGTCTTTTCTTGTCTCTATCATATTCTCCAATATTTCACTGGAATGATCTGTTACATGGGACCGATGGGAAGCTTGCCTCTGGACTGGGCTTGCCTAGCTCGTTATATGTTGGTCATGGATGTCCAGTGAGTGTGCCTTTTCTCAACTTCTAGGAGCCTATCGATGCAGGAGTGAATATGGGCGTATTGGGTTCACGGGACTTTAGCAATCCTATGTATGATGCTCTGGACCATATGGAAGCAGCTGTGGGAAGTGATGCCATGAAGGGAATCTATGAAGTACCTCAGGAGAAGGGTGCTTCTGATTCTTCAGCCGTGATCACTCCATCCAGTGTCATCCAGAAAGCATCCCCACAGATCCAAATCCGACAACGGGAACTTGACCCCACATCAGTTGACACTGGTAAAGACACTCAGCAACTTGTCGAAGAAGACAATGGGTCTGAATGTTGAGCAGATGAGGAAAAAAACAAGTTAATTGTGAGTGTATTTCAAAGCCCTCAACCATGTGGAACCAAGGTGTAGTTCCCCCCAGTAGTCTGGTGCTGTGAGGTTTTAGAGCCGTGAGACTTTGACTTTAATTGTGGGAATTGGGAAGGGAAATCTTCACTTTCCTCCTTATACCTACACCAAAGGATTTCAATTATTCCCTCCAAGAATCAAGATGCCTTGTGGTGCACCTGAATCCGTCCAGTTTTTCACAGTGAAAATTTGCCATCTTTTATGGAATATTGAGAATAGATTTTTCTTATCTTAAATTGACTATTGAAGCAGCAAAAGGTGAGGAAGAGAAATAGAGGGCATATGGAGACACTTCAGTCACATTCCAAACTTTGTAATCATCCATGTGTTCCTGCTCTTGCTGTCTTCATTGCTTTTACTTGTGTGATGCTGACCCTTTTTTTCAATATCCAATCCTGATGTTTCAGAAAACATAAGGGTGGCTTTTTATTTGTAGATTTACATGGTCCAACTCTTCTCATATGTAATAATTCCATATCATACATTCTAAATGTAGGAAAGGATGAAAAGGTCAATTATAAAATGCAATCTATCCATTCCTTCTGATAGAGGCAGAACAAGAGAGGGAGAAATGATATCCCACGGGTTTCTGTGATATTAATTTTCCTTTTTTGTGGTGCCAATTTTATCTGGATCAAAGGTCTTTCCTGGGCTCATTTCTGGTGACCTACATTTTTTAGTTTTGCCATTTTATATCATGTGGCATGGAATGTACTTGGTATGTCCTAATGCTGCCTGATGAAATTTGGAGAGTGGAGCATAATATCTCCTGTATTTCCTCTCCTATGTTCAAGCCTCATCTGTTTATCCTGTGTGAAATATTTGTCTGGGTTCTTGTGCTTTTTATTTGCATGAATTGACACGCTCATGATGCTACTTATGGACAGGTTGATGCATCATTTCAATTTGTCATGGGTCATGGCACCATGTATGTCTACCTGCGTATTTGAGATGATGAAAAAGACTCCCCCTCACCTTTCTTTCTTTCATTGACTATAGTGAAAGTGATCCATTTTCTTGGTGTTCTGGAAACCCGTTGCCTTGGATTTCCCCAGATGCCGTCCAGAAATACATTTGATGTGAAATAATAATGATCTGCTGTTTTATTAATTGCAAGGAATGATGAATTCTTTATAGCAAGTCCACAAGTTTCATTCATTATGACCCAGTACTTTGTGTAAAAAAAAGTACATCGTTTCTTGAGATTTTGGCAAACGAACATACAACCAATCTAGAGTAAAAAATTACTTGACATATTTTAGCAGATGAGGTACCAGTGGACTGTCTCAATGCTTAGATGTGGCTGCTGGGGGTTAAGGATCGATTCAGTACTAAAAGTGCTGAAAAGTACTTTCTATCCTCATTTCAGTCACTCGTCCAAGATCCAAACCTATCCTCGCCAAACGCATTCCATCATGATCAATGCGAAAGTCATTACAATTACAATTACTGGATTTCATGATATTTTTTTTCCCCACTCGCTCAAAAGTTGTAAGCCACTATCGACTCTGGCCCCGTCTTCCCCCTCCCCGATGTAAAGACTTATTTTCGTGTCGGGAAATTTACTGGATTTACCCAAGAAGCTTCGTTCAAAATCATAGATCGAAGCTTATCGTGGGTAAAACCAGTAGTAAATCAATATCATTGATGTAAACGAGAGACAGAAGTGATCTCGAGATGGAACCCTGGGAGACTTCACTCATGACACCAACTATTGGAGTCACCGGTCTTAGGTGTCTCTCTTGTTTTCATGAAGGGCGCGAGACGTAGGGTGAGAGAGAGGCAATAGGAGACACCTTTACCCACTGGATTTGGACTCGTTGCTTTCTTCATAAGTTCGAAAACCAGTGTTCAAAGGAGGCTTTCGCCGAAGTTTGTTGTCTGTGACGACAGATTATCCACACTTGCGTCCACCTTAAAACATGCAATGTCTTCTGTGATGCCTCAAGAAGGAATCTCGCGACTCGGGACATGATCGGCGGGCCTTGGTTGGACTGCTATATGAACACTAGCCCTAAAAATGAATAGAGCTAGTTCCCATCATTTAATATCAGTAGGGCAAGGCACTTCCGCTTGGCAAAGATCCGATTCAGAGCCCTTTGCCTGGACTAGCACATCTCGGATGTGTCGCTCGAGAAAAGCAAGGCATCCCAGCATACGTACAATAAATTTTCTCGAGGGGGATGTGGCTATTATGACAAAACGACCCAGTCACCAGATGCAATCCAAGTCTACTCGATCGTTGTTGGCGTCACTCTTAACGAGCTCCTTCAAGCCATCCCTATCCTTACTTACGGTGGTTGCTTGACTTCGCTGAAATCTCAAGTCATTACGGATGGCTAACCAAGAGAGTTTTCAACATTGTATTGGCTTGCAATTCCGCCAGCCAGCCATCGATAAGCCAAGGGGTTACTGAAGCAGTATTTCGGCGAAAGCAACATTAAACTAGTCTTGTTGAATCACGAACGCATCCAGTTCATCAGTTCCATCTGGTCTACAGCGGATAAACCAGTCAGAAAGACCTTGAGAAGAAAGCAGGGGGAGAGAAAAAAGGAGTGGTTCAGACATACAGGATAGTGAACTGTGCCAGTCAGCTTATCCTCTCCAAAACTATGTCGAGTCTGGCTCGGTTCACGAATGCTATCCTTTTCCGTATCTTCATTCTTCTATTGTTTCCTTCAGGATTTCTGATCCCAAGGCAGATCAACCGGTACTTTCTTCCTCATCTCTTATACAGCAGGTGAGATGACGAGTATTGTGATCACGTATGCCTAAGTCTCAACCATGACTATGGAGTGTGCATTGCCACTTGAAAGTTTTCTTCCCCATCCAGAAAAATTACGTAGGGCCTCCTCAGTGAAACCTTAGCGAAACTGCGAATAAATCGCAGGAGCTTCTATTGTCTTAAAGCACGCTCAGTAATTTAATATTAAAAAATTGTGGATAAACATTTATAGAGCCAGACGGTGAAACAAAAGCAAAAAATAAATAAAAATGAAACTCCAGTGGAAGGATTAGGATGCGCGTGAACTTGGCACATATAACTCATTCAGCTGCTTTTCCGTTTGATGCCCGCCCGGCATCATTCCCACCACCCCTCTCAATTTCATGCTCAGAGACTGTCTCAAAGGCAGCCAGTCCTACTGTGCTTTCACAAGATGTGAAAGCGTTTTCACTCCTTGTGTTCGGGAATAAAAAAAAGTAATTGCAGTAAAAGTAAGCCCGCTAAGCAAAGTAGCGGCAAAAATGTGAATAAGCAACAACTTAACAAGAAAACCATGAGCTAATTTGACGGATTTCACCTTTAATTGCAACATTTCCCCCAATATATAATTGGCCACAACAACGTATGGGGGGGGGGGGGGTCGATATGATGAATCATTAGGAATAGGGGAAAGGCATTTCCAGCAAATATGGAGTTGAGTGTTAGAAAACGGAGATCTGGTACAAATAGAATGGGCAGATAATAGGCGTGGCTTCTTAGGAATATGCAAGGCACTAACAAGGGGGGGATGTCGGGAACCGAGATGGTGATCGTGACGGAGGAATGACACAACCATGCTTTCAGGTACTTTGGCAGTATGACAAGATTAAGGATGAGACATGGTATTCAGACACAAACGCATAGATATAAGATGGAACGATGATGGAAAGAAAGAATTTAAGGGATTAATTCATATAGGAAAAATCCATTTACAGGGTGGTCCAAAAAAGAAAGGTAAGTGAATTTAGATTTGATTCTATTTTCATTTCAAATGATTATAACTGAACTGAAATGTCTCAGTATTCCGTGCAGGAGTGAGTATGGATAGTAGAGCGCCATTTATGTAGCTATAATCACCTGAAATGTAGAGAAAAGAAAGTCAAATTTCACTTACTTTTTTTTTGGATCACCATGTACATGGAAAGGGGAAGGATAACTTTCTGGACTCTTTCCAGCCAGTTTTGGGGCCATTGCACATCATTTTGAAAAAAACCAGACAGGGCTAACGAGAGCTGTAGATCCAGCCCCATTCTAAAAAAAACATAAATATCTTGTGGTCAATTATAGAGCAGAAAATGCTGAAAGGCTTCATATTAGTAAACAAGACATTGCTCTCTTGACTACTCTTGACTATTCAGCCTATAACATGCTATCCATTACTCAAAACAGGATGGCAGTCCAATCAGGACAAGATATTCAGCTGAAGCAAGGTTTGCCACCAATGAAACCTCTGCCCATACATGAGACTGATGCTTACATCGAGGACTTCACCACAGCTACCAATCTCAATTGGATAGAATCATCGGACACAGTCAGGAAAGTTGGCATGTCCAAAGCTGTTCTTGTACTTCAACAAACGCAGGTCTACCAACGTGCCATCTTCTTTACCCTCCTCATTCCACAACCAAATGGAGCATGCTTTGCTGGGGTGTACAAGCCAGTGAATTTAGATCTCAGTGAATATTCTCATATGTCGATACGACTTCGAGGGCAAGGTGAGAATAGTAGATACAAACTCTCCATGGATGACATATCCACTGGCAGCATGGGACACCCTCACTATGAGGCTTTTTTTCAAGTAAGACTGCTTTATGGCTATGCTGCTGTCAAATACCAAATTCAGAACCCTTGTAATTACCCACTCTCTTCCCTACAGATTCCCTTGGGTGATTTCACAGACATGACCATACCATTCTCTGACTTCAAACCATACTTCAGAGGTAAAGGTCCTCTGAATGACACCAGACCTCTCGACTTGAAACACATCACCAGAGTGGGTATCCAAGTATATGGAGGAGTCTATGAAGACCATAAACAATCAGGAGTGTCGAGCATGGAAATAGACTGGATCAAAGTGAAGAAGACTCAATTGAATGTTTCCTTTGCTACAGTCCTTTTGTAGAAAATCATCTTTCTGATTTTTACCTGTTAAACAGGTAGATTTTAGGAGAATGAGTGTGCTGAGATTGAGATGTTCATTCTAGCATTTGGGTAGATTTCAAAGGCTTGTGTAAGATGAGATTTATTCTTTCATGCTTTGCATACAGCACTCATTGCACACCATTTCAAACTAGATACCAAGAGATAACTCCAGCTATACATGAACTATCAAGAAAATTATGAAACCAAGTTGAAGCTATGTTGGATCATCATCCCCATAGATCAACCTTGCACATTCCATACATGCAGATTTGATGTCGGGATAGCAGTACTGGAAACCAGACTCTAAAGTCCTTTTTGGTATGACTTTCTGGCCCTGAGTCATGATCTTGCCTCTCTCTTCCCCAAACACCAAATTGATCACCATTTCAGGCACTGGGATAAATGCAGGTCTCCACATGGCCTGTCCTAAGGACTTAGTGAACTCACCATTTGTTATTATTTGTGGTGCAACACCATTCAATATTCCTGACAAGTTGGGCTTTTCAATAGCATGAAGGAAGAGTGAAGCAATGTCATGAATATGAATCCATGGGAAATACTGCTTTCCTGATCCAACTGGACCACCAAGTCCAAGAAAAAAAGGCCAGATAAGATTTTGTATGATTCCTCCCTGTCGACCAAGCACGATGCCTTCAAAAGAAAAATATATTGTTCAGAACAGTATTTTAAGAATGATGAAAATTTCATTTCTGTGAGGACTCACCAGATCGAATGATCACATGTCTGATGTTGACCTCAGGTGGAAGCATGGCAGCCTGCTCCCAAGCAGCACACAACTTTGTCAAAAAATCAGATTCACTTCCTCCAGGGCTATCTTCTGTGTTTTCAACCGTCTCACTTGGGGGATAGAATCCTGAAGCAAAACATTCCCGTGTACAAATGTCAATATTCTCTAATTCAAGTTCAAGGAAGGAATAGCAGTCACCTGAATGTAAGCACTACAGCCATATTTGTGCTGCAGTACATGATCCACAGATAGGAGTGAGAAAACTGTACTGACCTATTGCTGATGTAGACACAAAAACCTCTGGCTTGGCATTAGCTCTGACCATTGCTTTCACCAATGATTCTGTTGTCTGAATTCGAGATGTCCAGACAGCTTGCTTGAACTCAGTAGTCCATCTGTGTTGAGGATCTAGAATGTTTTGTCCAGCCAAATTCACCACTGCTTTGCAGTTCTCTGGCAGGCCATTAGTAGCCAGATCTGTCTGAGTATTCCCATGAAAAGAAAAATAGCTTTCTCCAGTCTTCTGACATTATGAGGGAGATAGAGATACCCATCACAGCAAGCATTCAAGAGAGCCTTCAAATACAAAAAAATTAATGAAATTCTTCCAATATAAAGTTAGTTTCCCTCATAACATTAATCCTTGTTTATAGTGTTTGTAGTATTGCTTCATGGTGGACCTCTTCCCAGAGCCAAAATGAGACAGCTGGCATGAATGAAATCTTCAGAAACATGCACAGGATTGATTGATGATTTATTTCTGTAATTAACAATTTGGATCATAATGTACTCAGGAAAAATTATCCAAGGAAAACCCATGCATGGAAATAGCAAGAGTGAATTCAATCCTCTACTCTAGTCTCTATCCCCTGCCACAGAAAAAGGCAGAAGAGACAGACTTGAGTTGATGTCAGGTGTCAGCCTGAACTTCCAGGAAACAAATGTTAGGCATTGCTTTTCTGGGTGAAAGATGAACAACAGATAGAATGGTGATTGCAATATGGACAATATATTTAAATTAAAAATATTTACTAGGATGCAACACACAGACAAAGCTTATAAATTTAACATAAACGATGACCAAATTCCAGTCAGTTCTTATGGGCCTATCTATGGGATTCAACATACCCAAGTTATCTGAGAAGGTCCACGTTTCCTGGATACAACAATGACATCATAGCCATGTCTCTTGAGCTGCTTGACCAGGACACTTCCAATGAATCCAGTGCCCCCTCCTATCAAGAGCAAGCAACTGTTTACCTTCTCAATGTCAAGAGAAGCCCTAAGTGTTCTAAGATGTTATTAGAATATCCATCTGCCAATGGTTAATGAGTCTCATACATTATTATGCTGGCAAAATATTGATTAAGAAAAGTACTAACTCTAGAAAAGTACTAACTCTATGTGCAGGATGCAGCTATACAAAGGAGACTGAATAAACCTACCAGGAACATATAACACGACAGGATCTAAAACTGTTATTTTCTACAGCCTTGAGCTTTGATAAAGAGTTGTTTAGTCATTGAAGCTAAGCCATTTTGTGAAAATGTCAACCTCATGGTCAATATTCAAACGGTGAACAAAGGGTCAAGGAAGGGGCACAGGGCACTCATCACAAATGGGGGACATGCATATTCTCTTTTTCAGCATATTTCCCTATTTCACTGTAAACATTTATTACAGGCTAGCTATATCAGTAATGCTACCATTTCCCCCCCAGAATGTGAATCACATTGCAAATTTTTGTTATCTCTGGGGAAAAGGAGAGCATTACCATTTCTCATTATTGACTTTGGTAACATCTACCCTGTAACACAATAATGCCAACCCAATCTTGACTAACGGATGTAGATTTTAGCACAAGTAAAGTTTCACAATGAAAGGAAAATTCACAACTTGCAATACCTCACCAACAACAACTTGTTGTGCCATGTAGGTGACAATCCGGTTCAGGCACCTACTCAGCTAGACTTGGTTCGGCATCAACATAGAAACCTTATCAGCAATTGCAAGAAGAATTTTGATGCTCACAATGATGCTGCATTGATTTCTGAAAAAAGCCAGGGAAATGTTTGATACTTTCTGGTCTGAGAGTAAAAATGAATCCTTTACATGGTTTTATTACAGGCTGGTTGGGTTATAATAGCAGCCCAACACTTATTTTTCCTTAAGCACTATCAAGTGGAAAGCAGGTAAGTGTGACTGGTTCTGGCTCCCAAGTAGGTAAGGAATCCAGACTATTTTCTCATACTGAATGATAATATTTTATTATCTTGAGGAAACATTACCCCAGAAACCATCACCATAGAATTACAGGGGCATTTTTGATAATTTTAACTGTAAAATGGAACTTGTTTTTTATTTTGCCACAAAACATTCACATTCAACTTTACAAACTAACTGTTTATCTCTCAGGAATTTAAGGAGGGTGTTCAATCCTTTCCACAACAGAGGGATCCCTAAATAGGGTCATCCCCATATACATTCTTCCCAATAGGAGATAACCTCATGTAGATATTCATGGAGATATCCTGCCAGAGACTCCCCCAAATAGAGAGCAGCCGGTAATTGGGTGTGAACAGTGGCATATCCATGATTTCCATTCTCCAAGTGTGCTGGTGGCTTTGAATCTGCCCCCCCTCTTTCTATGAAGCTGAATGTCTGTAAAAATCCTGGATACACCACTGACTGTGAACAACTTTCTTCATTCTCTTGAAATGGTAGTCTACAAGAAAGAGAATCGTTTACATTATCATTCTCCCTACCCCCATCTTCAACTACTCCCTTGCACACTGCATCCCTCATCAATCAATCCTCGATAATTCATTTGATAAGATTATGAAATTGATATATCTTGATTCTGAGTCCCAGGTCACAATACTTATGCAACTACATCTTATTCAAGCTCTTCTCTTCAGAACTCTAGTGAATCAAACAAAGGTCAAGAAGGGGTCTGCTACAGGCCTTCCTGAGAGCACAATGCCAGCCCTCATGAGCCCAGTTTGTTGCATGAGAAAGAACATTAAGTGCAGTTGTACAGATTCCCAGTGTAGGATGCAGTCTGTTCAACCTTTTCTACTGTCTTCCCTAAAAGTGTGCTCTATAAATATTGAATAAGTTCTCTTAATATCCCTAAGGCACACCACCACACCTTCTTCCCACCCCCCCCAATCACAAGCATGAGATTATGGAAGACAGATAAAGGTCCGCGCTCTGATCGAGGCAAGAAAAGATTGAATCCTCCGGCGCACACCCCCCCCCCTTCGATGCAGCGATACACTATCGATAGGTCGATGCATCGGTGTTTTGAAAACTGCTATCGTGACAGCCCTACTTATAAGTCTTCAATGCCTCAGGGACTTAATTGGGATATAAGAAGTTTCATCCCATTCAGGGATAGAGGAATTTTGCCTTTCAGGGAATAATATGTTAAGGAAATGTCCTTTGAGGAGATATATTTTAGGAAAAATCTTCTTTGGGAAAACTCTTATCATGGAATGAACCACTCTGGGGAGTTTTATTTTTGGTCAATGAATCTTTATTGAACTTTTGCTTCACTTATTGTGAGGTAACAAGATTGGAAACATCCACACAGGTAAATTGAAGTAAAAGTGAGTACATGAGTATAATTACCCTTTTTTGGGGTGCTTGAGTTAAATGAAAAATATGTTAATATGGACAATAAAGGGCTTCTCAAGTTCCTCTGTCAACTGAATGACATTATTGCAGCAATCAACAATTTCCCAATGTGAAAATTTAAAAAGCAGTCTTTTTTTTGCACTCAGTTTTATTTCCACCCCAGAGAACAGGATTTCCCTTTTCTCATGAATTCAGCTTCTCAATACTCTCTGGATGATGGTTTCTGGGCACAGCATGCCATAGAAATGACAGTTTTTCACCTATTATACAAAAATTCTATAAATTCACCAAGTGGTAATAGAAGTTTATGAACTTTCTTTGTTAACTGAAGATTTCTCTACCAGCTGGTGTAACATTTATAGCAATAAAGGCAATAGAAAATTGGGACAGCTATATCATCCCATCATCAAGAACAACACATTGTAAAACAAAATGTGAAACTGGGTGTACTTGTCCATGGTCCAGAATGGGTTAAATTCAAATCCTATTATCATCCCTTACAGATTTCCCAACTTTAGGGCAACCAGAAAAGTCTTCCAGGTAAATGAAAAATAAAACTGTAGAAGCAGATACCAACACCAGGTGAGGTTTTCCATAACTAATTATATAGGTGGGTTTGTCTCCCCTTAGCAAAAATATGTTAATGTTCAGCTGAGATGCTCAAACAAGACACCTTTATGCAGTTCAGCATGGAAAAGAACAATTACAAAAAATGCAAATTTCTAAGTAAGAGTTTCATGCAAGAATGAGCATATGGCTTGGCAGCCTCATATCATCCTGATATGAGCTCCCGAATGCAAAAGATATTTACACTCCAGTATGTTGCAGACATGCCTGTCTTCACTCAATACTAGATGCAGTAATCCAATGAGCAAGAAGTTGTCACTGCATGGGTAGAGGGGTAAGGAAAAGGTCTGTGTGGTGAAACTGGGGAAGCCACTTTTATTCCAGAGCACTTCCAAAGGCAAAATTCTTCATATGAACATTCAAAGTATCACTTTCATATGAACATTCACTGTATCACTTAGAACTTGTCCACGAGAGCAAGGATTCTTCTTTGCTCAGCATTTTTCTCATTCTCAGAATCATCTCCTATGTGACCTGCATATTCTGTGGAACAAAAGAAAGAGACATTATTTGCATTAACTATATTTAATTTTTTTACTGGCAATAATTTGTTTATTTAAAGGAGAACTGTTTAGTTTCACAAAGGAAATTGGTCAAAAATTATAGCTAATTATGTGTTCCTTCAAGGTAGAAGAGCCATTTATGATTAGACTTTATTTTAAGCCCAGAGAGAGCATCATGAAAAGTTCTAAGTACCCAATATCATCATCTGTCCTTGCATAACAGTACTAACTGCTTGAAACAGACAACTAAAAAACTGGCACTCAGGGCATTTCTTGTCTACCATCATGTTCACAAGGTTTCTAGCCTATTAATTCTAACCTATTACAAGGACTTAGACATATGTAAAATGATTCACCATTTCTTCACTGAAATTACACTTATCAAGGACACCTCAAAAATAGAGAAATTACACAATAGACAGTTCTGCTCTAAATAAATAAATGCTATAAATAGTGAAATATGAATCTAATTTGAGGCATTTCCACCTGCAGAACAAACATAAAATGAAGAATGATTACCTCTCATTATATTCCGAATGCTTTTGACAGATCCTCCACGGAGATTGAGGATGTGCATAACTCTTCCTTTAATCCCTGCAGGTCCTGATGCACACACCTCCAACATGATGTAATCGACCACCTGTAGTGTGAATAACCCACTTTCCAGTCTCTTCAAATAGAACTCATCCTCTCGAGCAGCATCAACTTCCTCATCACCTGTGCTAAGGGTCTTTCCAAAAATGAAAAAAAAAACCTCTTTTTTCCACCATTAATAGGAAAAAATTGATTTAATATATTTGTTGGGAAAAGTAAACTCTTACCCTCCTCTCTTCTTCAATTTCTGCATCCACTTTCTGCACTTTTTCTAGGTACTTGAAATGAAGCTCCATCAGTCTGTCCACTTTTTCATAATCATTCTCAGTGAACTTGTTCATCAGTCTCTGCCTCAAGTTACCTTGTGTGTTTTTGAGAAGGGAGGCTACAACTGAGCACACATGCTCTGAAAGGAAAAAATATTTCTGCATTCACTGGCAGCAGATTTTGAATTCCTTAAAATTTCCCTGGGTGCTATGCAAAAGTGAGGGGGGGGATGAGGGACGTTGAATGGAAATTTTGCAGTGCAGATTTGATACTGTTCTCAGCCTCTGGCTTATGCCATGTAGAAAAAAGATTTCTTTTTGCATTTCTCCCACTCACCATGCTCATATATCGTAGCACACTGGTTGGGAAGCAATGCTGTGAGGCCTAGATGGAGGGAGCCTGGGTCCATGACTAGCACAAGTGATTTTTAAGGCATATTAAACTCATATCTCCTGGATGTGACATGCAACAAGTCTGTTACCCCAAATCTAAGAGTATACTCCCCCAAAAGTAAGTGGATCTTCTGGTCATATACAAGAGCCCACAGCCTCCAAAACTTGATCCCTCAATTCCTGAATTTCAGTAGGAAGTCCAAGGTACTAGGCCACCATACCTAGGGTGCATTTATTTGCTCTCTCCAGAAGACAGGAGACATGTGGAAATATATCAGCAGAGGAGTTAGGAGAGAAACGCACATGCATACTGTCTTCTAGATAGCTGTCAGAGAGAACAAAAAATCCACCCCTAGTAGTCAAAAGTAGAAGTCAGTGGCCTGTCATTATCTTGCCCTGAGTCCTTCAAGTTGGTACCTGATCTCAACATGAATAAGTTCAGTTAATTTTCTGCTAGCAGGAAATTATTTAAAACCTTACTTTACTTGGTCATCTTTCTTTCAAAAAAGTCTACCACCGAAGACATCAGAAGGGCATGTGAACTCAGGTTGGCTAGAACACCACCCAGATGGAGAAAGTTAATAAGACAAAAAGATTCTGAATTAAACATTGAGAGTAAATCCCATTTCTTTAAGATGTCAACATTTATTTTTTTAAACTGCTCTCTACAGTAGTTGAAAATATGAGTTTCTCAGCAATGGATCTAAAGATTAGAGTTAGTATGAGCATGGGATCTTTCAATTGTACTATTCAGTCACTAGGCTACAAGGTGGAGGCCCAAAGCCCACTCACATGAAAACAGGTTACAATCATACCCCAGGATTCTCAACTAATAGTCACTTGCCATGCAGAACTAACCTTCATGCTCATCAGGGGAGAGTCCTTTCCTGCCATGTTTGTGAGGAGTCTTCATAAAGAGAGGAAATACAGTACGAAGACCCAAGATTTCAACAAATTTATTGCAGTTATCAATTCCTTCAGTGTTGCTGAGTGCATGGTTCAAAACTCTCAGGGCACCATTACGTGATAATTTCTTTTCTCTGCAAAGAAAATATACAATCAATTTACGGAACATACCTTAGCAAATGCAGAACTGAAGAATTGAATTATTCAATTTTGTTCTCATTTAGGCAAGAATACCCATAAACAATACCATGTGGTCTATCAAAACAGATACCAAATATCAGAAAGACAGGAAAAGAAATTGCTCTCACCTAAGCATCAGGTTCATTAGCTGCAGACCTTCTCCTTTGAGGAAGCGATCCCTGTTGGGGATGTACATGAGACTAGAACACAGGCAATCAAAGAGGTTTTCCATCATCTCACTTTCCTCTGATGAACTGGGGTCATGCCTTTTGTAGAACTATAAAGTGAAACAAATATTTCACTGGTTTCACTTTCAATAAATATATTCTATGAGGAAGAGGCACACATTTTTCCTACATGATACACAGAACCAAAAAAAGACTCACTGCTAACTGCTGAAGAAGAATATCTATCCCATCCACTTCTCCTAGTGTTTTTCTGTTTTGTTCATGACTTTGCAAGAGTATAGAAAGGATCTCACTTGCATACAGTTTGTTTGCATCAAAAGGCATTTTCATTCGTATTCGCTTCAGTATCCAAGAGAGTACTCCCTGTTCAGCTGCATCCACACAAACTTCAGGTCGAAATTCTGTAATGTTCTCAATGATGGCTACAGGCAAATATAGGAAAGCACAATCAACCCATGACCCAAGGAATGGGGTTGAAGAAAAAAAGCAAAAAACAAACAGGAAAAATTGCTTTGGCTCAGATATATGAGAATTTGATCAAGTGAATTACCTAGAGAATTATGAACCCCATCAGCTTCTTCCTTCAGGGATTCATCCAATCGCTCCATGTTCTGGACAAGCAATGCGCAAATCTGGTTCTCCAGCTACAATACAGAACATCTGCAATAGGCAACTGATGGAGATGATACCAACATGGATATGGTAAAAATTAATAACTCACCAAAGTATCAATGAGAACTGCTGCACCCTCCTCACTCTCATTTAAAGTGTCAACATCAGTTAGTTCCTGTAATAGGTTAACTACTGCAGTTGAAATATCAGTATTCTCATGTGACAGGAGATTCAGAAGAGATGGAACAACATTCTGCTGCACAAGGACATGATACAGGTCTGGCACTGTTGCAAGTACATGCAGTTCTTGAATTGCATCATTCAGATCAACTTCTGTCTCCATGAATCTGCATTGACAAACAGAATCCATCAACATTTATTAATTTGGGAACCAAAAGAATGAGAAAATGAGATTAATCAATGGGTATCCTAAAGACTCTACTAACAGACAAGGCCTCAACATGGTGGTGAAGGGATGAACATATATCAGGGAGGGAACAGTCATCCACTCCATAATGGATGGCTAAATGACATCCAATCACTAGTCCTGGAGGATTTTTGAGCTCTTGTGATGGTAGCAAGGCATAAATATCTATTACCACAACAGTCTTTCCACTGCACTTTCCTGTTTCTTTCTTTCTCACTAATTTTTACCCCCATGGTACTCATGATACTTCCACATCAAGCTTTTGGCCTTAAAAACAATTCTTACAGTGCTCAAAGACTTAGTTGATCAACTATTTCAACAGAAACCTTCAGCTTCTTCTTTGTCACACCTCATATATACAGTGTCCCATAATTATTGCCCAAGCAATAAGTTTACACATCTACATTAATGTATACTTTGTCTACTTTCACATGATACAGAGAATAATTGTAATAGCACATCTTCAACATAATCAAGATGAATATGCCTGGAACACTCTCAATGGTAAATGAAGAAATTGGTTAATGCATTCCCCTTAGCATTGCAAATGGTGGATGTCATGTGAAAACAAAGTAATGAAGGGATGGGTATATAATTACTCTAATTGAGGCAGAGCTGCAAAGTCAATCCCTGAGTACTGTACAAGCGAGGAGTTCCCTGGGAAAAGGACCTCATTAATGCAAGGCCATTTTTTTCCAAAGATAAGTAGTGCTATAAAATGTGTATTCCCTATTCAATGAATAAGGGACTTGTCTTCCTATACTACTGGGTGAGCCAGAAGTAATTAATAATGCTTTAAAATGGTAAAACTTTGGAATGGTTACAAATATTTTCATCAAACAACATGGATTAGATAGCCAAACTATGCAACAACAGCAAAAAAAAACAATTAGATACAGCAGAAAACTTAATACATCCACATTAATGCATCACACCAACATGTATATGATCCACCTACATGCTCAGAGATGGTCCAACACTTATCTGCATGCTTGAAAATGCATCTTCACAAGAATGGGGTTTAACTTCTTCATGATCAAAACCTGTGGGTGGTTCAGGTCATTAATGCAATGAACATAAACCTTGTCTTCAAGGTGGTCCCACAGAAAAAATCTGGTGGTATTCAGTCTGGTGATTGCCGGGGCCAATCAAGTCAGCAACATACACCACTTTTCTCAAGGTATGTACTAATTTTGGCCAACCTGAACATCTACTGTGCAACACTGTCCCTGTTTCTTCTAAGGTTTTCTTCAGATGCACATTCATCTTCCACATTGGCACTGGTTCAGTAAATTCCTGTTGCATTCTGCATTGTTTCTGTGTAACACACTGTTACAAAAATTAATTTGACAAAAATAACTTTTCTGAAGTGGCAGCCGTACACTTGCCACATTGCTTTATGAATGGTCTACGTGTTGCTGATGAATGTAGTTTCCTAACATACCTGAATACATGTAACCATTCCAAAGTAATAGTACTTTAAACGGTGAGTCATTACTCATTGTGAGTGAACCATGGCAGGGTACCCAAGTTTGGAGGAAAGGGGTAAAATAGTGGCACGGATGGAAGATTATGAAAGTGGTGTGTTTGTACAAAGAAAATACCAATGTTGATTTCAGAAGCATCTTCCAAGAAGCAAAACAATTTAATAAAATTTTAAAAATATTTTGCAGGGTTTCATCAAGGACAGAGTTTTTGCCATGCACCCACAGTCCTTGGATAAGCTACGAGATCACATCACTAATGCAGTTCAGGGCATATCGTGCGTCGTCTGTGCAAAATTTATGGAAGATTTTGTTTAACATCTTCAGTCTATATTGAAAGAGAAGGTGGACATGTTGAGCACCAAAAAAAACTTCAACAATTACTTTAACGGTTCCATATTAGTTTCAACTGGAACGTTGTGCATGCTTGTTATATTCACAAAATAAAAATGGGTACCTATTTACAGGACACCCTGTTTTTTCAAAGGATCATAAAGTAAAAGAGGCTTCAGCATTCAGGCATAGTGATTTCTCCATTCAACAAAGGAAAGGCTTTTTCCCTCAGATATCTCAGAGTATATAGCAGTTTTGCAATTAGGGCCTCTTTCCTAGAAATTCCTCAATTGGATCCTGAAATATTTATCTATTTGAGAGAGAAATGTTCTCTGCTAGATTAGAGTTCTTCAGTCTAATCCAAGTAAATATCCGACATAAAAATGTAACCGCAGCCAAGGATTACCCTTGGATTTTGGGCAATACCTATTACACTAATTCAAAGAAACAACACTAAAGCAGTAGTGGGGATCATGGACTACCTGTACTTCAATCATGACAATTAAAAAAATGCATGAGCTGTGTACTGCTTTCCAATCAATTCATACCCCATCATCATAATTTAGAATCTTCAGAAATTGAATAGAAGAGGATGGAGGAACTGAGTTTTCTTTTCTTGCAAATTTGCATTTGTTTCAGTATGGTAGGAGCAGATTACAGTTGTAGGCCTCTAATGATGACTGAGCCACTTACTTTTCAGGCTGATCAGGATATTTTATCCTCATCTCCTGATTCTTCAATGATTTCTTTTCAAACGTCAGGATCATTTTCTTCACCAAGGCTTCATCCAAGTTTTCTGTCTGAAATGTGACATGTAAAAACATTAAGAATCCCTGGGGGTTGAGAAAATCTGAAAGAATGTCCTCTTTTTCAGCAGGGAAATTCATATTTCCTCCATGCACAGTGACATTTGTAGAAAATAATACTCTTAGTCAATAAGGAAAGGTGTTAATTTGAAGTAAATATCAATTTTAATATATGCATTCACATTTACCTTTTAATCTGGCTCCTGGTGACCATGTAGAATAGTGGAAAGATTATTTTAATGGAACATAGCAGAAATCAAGATGATCCCCTAATGGCCATAATATTCCATGAGGTGGCCAATGGCTTACAATGGAGAAGGCTCATTCCTAGTCCTTTCAAACACTCTTTTCATGCAAGGGGGTGTCAGCTTTCTAATTGCATTCTGTACCTCAGACTCCTTTTCCAATAGTTCGAAGATCTTGTCCTTATCTTCTTCTGAGATCCCTGGCAAAGGGAGTCCAATACTGGCTGCAGATTTGGTGAGAACCACAGGGTTATGTGCACCTGTTTTGCTCCTCTTTCCCCTTGCTTGCACCTCATCATCTTCAGTTTCTCCCTTCACTGCATCTACTGGCCTTTTGGCAGTTATGCTTGGCTACAAGAAAAGATCACAAGCAGTGTGAGATTGGAAATATCAAAACCAAATTAATGACACCTTTCTTTAATACAGCTATAGTAAGAATAAGAAATAAACTATAAATAAAATATAAAAAAAGAATTTACTGGAGCTAATCCAATGTTTTAATTAAAAAGTGGCCAAATTTTTAAAGGTGATACTTGGTATGGACTAGCTAACTTACTAAACCCACCTTGAATGACAAAAGTTCTCCGACATTCATGTCTTCAAATGCTTTGCTGAAGATAGATCAGATGAATTCAAAGGAACCATGTGACAACTATACTGCCTGAGAAACAGAATCACCCTTTTTTTTCAAACTGGAATGAATGACTCTGACTCAGCATAGATGGAAATCTATGAAACCTAAAGATGGAAATAAAAAAAAACAGCAAGATAAATGATGCATTCCATATATAGTGTGAAACTATTAGTAGACAAATGCATCTTTTTTTAGCAAATACTAAGAGGACAGAAAGTAAGGTGTCATTATATGTACTGTGGTGTTTCCAGCATTCTTCAAGGATTCGTTCAATTGCAATAATCACTTCAATTGAGTTAGAAGTTAAAACCCAATGGCTTTGTTCCATTGAAAAAGGAATTCATAAATAAAAAAGAGCCTTGAAGCAGTATAGCTTTTCTGAGATGTTAGAAATGTCTAGGTAACTAAGGATATACTCAAGTCCAGGGCTACCCTGGACATCGCCAATTTGCAACAGCAAAAAAAGTCATTGGGTTATCATCTGAAAACAGAAAGCCTAATAAGTAATTTAATAATTGGTAAATGGACATGAATGGACTAAAAAAAAGTATGAAATCAACAGATCTACTACTCTTGACTCCATTCTGAAGTTTAAGCAAGAGTAATAGCGATGTTTTCTTGGGCAAGATCAGCTGTCCAAAGGCATTTCAAATCTCTTTCAACTAGTAGCAATATTATATACTTTGTTGCATGGGTGCACCTCATGGGGGTAAACCTTTTACCACATACTGAACTCAAAATCACATGATGCTGAGCACCAGGAAAAACTAAGTATGCTCCTAATAGCAGTTGGAATAAATACTAGCCACCTAGGTGGAAATGAATACCCAATGTTATACCTACTATGACTGAGTGAAACCTCTGGCTGGGTTACCACATAGTTTCAATATTAGAGTAACAGGACAGGGCACAACATTTGCATTATGGCCAGAAACAAAGCCAAGTATTTGAGGATTGCCAAAAATTAAATGCTGGTAAATGCAAAATTCTGTTTATTCTCCAGTGGGGGCAGCATAGCAAAAGGATCATCTGCATCCCAACTCCCATGTCCACATAGATAGCTGTCCTTGGCCACAATGCTGGCATTTTTACATTCTTCTCTTTTTCTTCCTTCGCTGGAATAGATTTACTGAAAGGGGATATGACTGGGGTAATTTCATTTTTTTCCATTTCATTTTTCACAGGAAATGGTGTAGTGACCTATGGGACACTTTGTATAGGCCTCACTAAAAAATGAGAAAAATGAATGGAACTTTTAATTCATTAATGAAAGGATTATTTTAAAATAGCTTACTGAGAAGGTCACATCAAGTAAAATTAATTCAAACACCTCATGTTTTATTTATTCCACTTCAATGCGATACCTGTGCCAGCCTTTGGCTCCACAGAAAATCAAGGCTCAAACTGTACAGTGATCCCATGCAGATCTTTCTTAATGCTTAGATGAGACCTGAACTTGCCCTTTTTTATATCCTCAGTATAAGATAACGAAGATATACATGTGACGACAAAAGCAATTTGGATTCTAACTGTAGCAACATTGCTCTTGGCATTCTTCTTTGATAGTCACCCTTTTGATTAAAGTGTATACCGGAAGTACACAACATGAATCAATATTGATTGAAATCAATTCATATATCATTCTCTTCATACATAATTTTATCCAGAGGCCGAAGTCAAAAGTCTAGTAACTTAAACGCTGTTCTTTTTTATGTTTTTCTGCGCACTCCATGAAGTGCTCCTCGATTGCACCAATGATGTAGCACTTGAACCTTCACACCATACCATATTGTGAGGCCAAAATATATTTGGGCACCCACTACACCCTTGTCAGTCTTTCGCGGCAACTCTGGATGCTGCGGCACACGGGTTGAACACCGCTGCTGTAGATCAATAAACTGAGATGGTAGCTGCCATACTTTTATGCCAAGAAAGGATCGAAACATAGATGCGCTGATTTATTACTGCACGGAACGATATAGAGAAATGGTAGCTCTGTTTCTGCACAAATGGTGTCTCTACTTTACTTTAAAAAAAAAAAGGCGCCCACACACACACAAGAGATACGGGTAAATTTTTTAATTCAGGGACTCGCTTGATTCCCCAATCTGATAGTTGAACACAGAGATGAGCCTATGTCGTACCAACGCCAAATACCCGTCAACTTTTCCCCCTAGGACCCCTGAGGCCAAATCCCAAAAGTACCATGTCTATAGAAATATGTGATTTATTTTACATTCACAGTATTAAATGTCCAGAGTGACCCCGATGCTACAGCTGATTAGTGCTAAATAGCACCTAATTACCATAAGCCACTGACGAACCAATTTCTCACAGATTTCATGAACATGATGTGAACCAACGTGATTGGATGCGTCCCAATTGGTAATTATATACCAATAGGACGGACAGACAGTGCCTACCAAAGAGAATTAGAGATGATAAGAGTCGGGACGAAAAAAAAACCTGAACTCACCCTTCAACCATAAGATTATACTTTAACAAAGTCAACTCTTAATATCAAAGGATTTGGTTTAATTCTAGAGTTTTTCTTTTGAGCCGGACATTTTTTCTTTTGACTTCAAAACTCATGCATGAGGAACGTCCCATACTCGAGTGTCCCAATCAATTGAAAAATTGTCAGACTCGAGTGGAAAACAGTGTAGTCAATACTGAACACTCGAAGTTTACTTGACTCTCGTGCTTGTCCAATCGATATTGCGGAAGAGAAATTTCAGTTAGTTTTAAGATAAAAAAAAAAGCCATGAGCACCAAGTACATGTAGCATTTCCTTTCTGGGAATCGCCTTGCTTTTCCCGCTAGGGCCCGAGGTGCATGGCGCATCGGCCTCTTGCGAAGTTGTCTGTGACAAAATGGCTGCGATGGCATCGTTGAGCAAAGGCGATGCCCAGTTGAAAACTGATAGAAATCATTTCACGAGAGATCGCATTCAGCGTGATTTGAATATGGATTTCTCGAGTCCTCAGAATACGCCTGTGTCACGACCCAGGCTGCGTAAGTCCTAGTTGAATATGAGAACTGGTACATTCAAAGTCTTGTTAGGCTCTGTTTTACGTCTATGTAGGCCTGATACCTAACCTTAACGATAGTCAGATGCGAAACCTATTTCCCGGATGCTTTTTTCCAGTGGCAGTTGGAGATTTTGGGAGCCCAGGTAGGCCTGCTTCGCTGGGCTCAAGTACTGGAGCTTGCAGAAGAAGGCCGCGCTTAGAAAACCTTGGCTTACCTCCCTTTTCGCCGTCCCCCTCTGCACGCTCACCTGATGCTGCAGAGATTGAAGCAAAGCTACAGAAAGTCATGAAATTGACAGGGATCATCACAGTAAATGGCATTGTGAGTTTCTCGTTATTTGTGAAAGGATAGCTGAATTCTTTGGGTTTTTGTGCTGGCTATCCATAGAGGTAAATTATCCTGTTCAGTTTTGAAATGGGAGCTTCTTCCTACCTGGGGAGTTCTGCTCCCTCCTGTGAGAGATAAATGGGACACCAAGTGATATATTCCGGAATAGGTGTACACTGGGCAATCAAGCAAGGGTGAAGGGAGCCCCTGGGGGCTGGCCTAGGACAGCACAGTGGCCTGAAGTATTCTGAAAGGTCATCTAAAAATATGAGTTTGACAATATCCATCATGCAAATTGCAATTGAAGGAACTAGAGAATACACTTGTTAAAGGCATGCAAGTATGACTTAGGCTAATAATATTGTATTCTCAGTGTTCAGGCACATTGAATTGCCCAGCATCTGGAGAGGAGTGAATTTCTGAGATTTTGAAGAAGACTTACCAGTAGGCCAATGATAGGTTCTGATTATCTGCAGGTGGAGGTGGAACAAATGAATTTCCTTCTTGGGAAAGCAATGTTCCATTACATTCTGTTAGAGCAGCTATTGGAAAGTCTGATATTTATTGTTCATGTAGTTAACTATGTGATTGTTTTATGGATGTGCTAGTTACCATCCTAAATATCCAAGTATCTATCATTTGGGATGGGTTGGACTTCTCACTACATGGAAGAAGTTTTATGTCAAGAAACTGCTGTTCAGACTTCCCACAGCCCTATTGAGTATGGATTAGGGATTGGATTTTGGAACACGTTTAGAATCCGTTCCCACCCCAGATTTTTTCAAGACCACCTGAGACTGATGCATAATGTTCCTCTGTAACGATTGGTGCTCGAGAAAGATAAGCGCATCGCTTGATTAGCACATTTTGTGGCATTCCATGGTTTTACATTATTCTCTATGGAAAATACGGAAAATGGGGGCAGCCATGTTGAATGGAGGCCGAGAACGCCCATTTTCGTTGGAACAGTAAAAACCATTTATGCCTGTATTCTCACGCTGAACAATGCTAATCAAGCGAAGCGCTCCTATTTCTCAAGCACCAACTGCCTCAGAGAAACATTATACATCAATCTCAAGTGGTCTTGAAAATATCTATAATTTCGTAATCACTTCGGAGCTAGAGACTCAGACTAACGTTTCATAAGCTTTTGTGGGTTTTCACTAAACCCAAGCGCACTCTAACCTCAGAGAACTAGCAAGAGACACATACCCCAGGAGCCGCATTCCTTCCATGTTGGGCCAAAAGAGTGAGAAAGTCAACCTATTTTGGAGAATGATGGGTCAGTTGGTTTAGAAAATAATCGCTGCCGAAGGCTGCGACCCTTTTCTAACCCAACTGACCCATCATCCCCCAAAATAGGTTGACTTTCCCACTCTTTGGCCTTTGACACCGAACCTGGGAGAAAATAATGGAGGTCCACCTACTATGCTAGTGCAATGACGGGTCTCACTTGAATGAAGACTAGACCGGAAGGGCGTAGTAAAACGTGCCATGAGAGTCGGGTCAGTCCGCGGGAGGACCAACCTCGACCCGAGTACAGTGCGCATGCCCAGGAAGGCCATGAAATGTGCTAGCAGACACAGGGGCATGGGCGGAGCATGTAACATGGCTGCTCAGGGTTGCCAAGGCCCAAGATATGTGAAGAGTTTCTAGCGTTTCCTGGGCGAAACACCGTCCATGCGCCGTCAAGAGAAATATCTTCCCAATATATCCATATAGATATAAGTATGATACTAATACTTATTTGCTCCCAAGGGCGTGGGAACGTATTCTAAAGTTAAGCCTCAAGTTCTTTGTTCTTTGTTTTCAGAATATGTTACAAACATCCTGGAGGATGCAAGAGTGTATGCACAACATGCCAAGAAGAAGCAAATTGATGTCGAAGATGTTCGACTCGCTCTCCAGTTCCAGCTGGACCGCATGTTCACCAGTCCTCCCCCACGAGATGTATGGTTAAAGCTAAGCCTTTCAGCTTCGTTGTTAATCAAGTGAGATGACTGAAGACTGAAGCTCTGATGACAAACTGTCATCAGAGAGCATTCATTCATTCTAGTTTTTCTTTGAAACTATACACTCAGACTGTGGCTAGCCTTTTACATCATAATGGAATAGTTGGTCATTTTAAAGTTGGTGAATGCTGATTAAACTGGAATCCTGATTGTAATATTAAGCTGCTTGAATTTGTATCATAAAGTTACTGTTGGAGTTGGCTAGAGTGCGGAACTCTAATCCTTTGCCAACACTGAAGCCTCATGCTGGGCCTCGACTCCCACCAGATCGATACTGCCTCTTTGCACCCAACTTTCGGCTGAAAAATTCAAAGAAGGTTTGGCTCCAGATTCTAGTTTATGTCCATTGAAATAGAATGGTATGTATTAAATTATTGTTTTGGTGTCTTTGTTGCTAGGGACCAGGACCAACACATGGAAAGACCCTGCAGATGGGAGTTCTTTCTTCAGGACCTCGACAGGGGGCAGGGAGAGTTGGCAATTCTGTAATTTCTAACTCAGCCAGCTTCATCACTTCTGCATCCAAAGCTCTTCCTCCTTCAACAGGACCTGCTTTCACCATTCAACACCCTGCACTCTCTTCTACACCTGGGAAAGCCGTCGTCAGCATCACTCCAAGTGAGTAAATTCCAATGCAGTACAGGTTTCAGGTTGAAGTTCTGAGATAGAGCAAATGACTCCAAGTCTGACCCTAGACAAATGTAGAAGTGAAGCTTGATGCCTCTTCCTATAATGTGTCTTACTTTTACCTTTGCCTCTAAGATTGTGTCCTTCCCATTTTGTGTTGTTTGAAGCAATGGAAATACTGATGGCAGGTATTAGCTGATATCTGATCATCATTTCATTCTCATCACACATTGCTGATGCCAACTGTGAAAAGTAAATGGAACAGCCACAAAGAGACAGAATATTTGATAAAAAATGTCATCTGCCCTCTTGAAAGGTCGAGTGAGTGGTAGGCCAGAAACATGGGCCGAAAGGAGAGGAAGTCCAGCATCTGGCTGCATTCTATTATGCACTAGTTCCAATGCTCTTTCCCTTCTCCTTTTTGCATTTTTTTCCCTGGGTTCAGGGAGAAAGGGTGGACATCAGCACAGGCTGCATGGAAACCTACTGATGATTATTGGCACTGATGGAGTCACATTGGCTGATTGTATTGGTTGCTATTGCATCAGTACCTCCTAACTTGATAATTCAAGATAGCACAGATAATGATTTTCTCTCACTTTATAGACATTGCAAAATAGCTGCAATATAATTGTTGGCTGAGGTAAATTCAGTCATTTGGAATGGCTTTCATATGTCCTCCGATGTGGAGATGCCATAACCTTGAAATAGTCCCAAGCTGAAAATTACCCTTGTTCCAAATTGCATATGTCTTCTCAGCTATCAATTGCTAGATGACTTGTACTATGACCAGGTTGTTTTTATTCATCACATGTCTCCCATTGCTAAAAGCAGTCATACAAACTGCTTTGTCTTTGGCAATTTCATGCCTATTCCCTTTCTTCAACCCCTTTCCCATAACAAAATGCATATTTATATTCCTCTCTGAGGTTATCTAGAGGAATGAAATTGGGCATGCTTCTACCCTCTCATCTCAGAATTGCTTCAGAAAAATCAAAGCTCTAACTCCTTGGGTTTGCAGAGGACATTCATTTAGGACATGCTATTTCAAGAAGTTAATTTCAATCCTATTTAATCAGGACCTTATCAGAGTGGCATTCACAGCTGTTTCCTTTCTTTACATTCCTGGAGCATATTGGTCTTCCATCTCTTTACTGACCCTAAAAAAGATAGTTATGGTGAAGAGAGAGGTGTGGGGGGAGTCCCATCCTTCTGAACTTCATCTTCAATGAAGAACTTTCTTAGTCATCTCTTAGATAGTAGAAGTATTTCACTTTGAATATGTTTGAAAACCATAGGAAAAAAAAGAAGAAATTCTGTGCTCTATTTCAAGGTATACTTTATCATGCATTTCTGTCCAGTGTCATAGAAGGAATATATGGGAAAAAATCTATTGATTCCTAACAACAAAAATGTTTGGGTGGGCTTATATTTTTTTTACTACTGTACTTAAATGTTGTCGTTTTCTGTCACTTCAGTCTTTACCTCCTTAACCATGTTATCATGGTTAAGGAGGAAATGGTCAATGGAAACATGCTACCACTGGTCTTGGATGCATTGTATTAGTGGTGTGAAGTAAACATTCATGAGTTTAGCAATGGATTTTTGACCCCTCAACTCATGTTTATTCTGGTTGCAGGAGGTTCAGCCCTAGAAGCAGGAGAAGTGAAGATGGAAGTTATTCCAGGGGGACCATTGAAGCGAAAGAGGGAAGATGATGATGATTATGATGTAATGTGATAATACATGTGTGTATGATTTGTGTGCATGAGTTCTGATACATGCTATGCAATGAATCCAGATACTTTCCATCCATGCACAATCATATTTATTACTGCTTTTACATTCAGGATTGTTTGGAATGTTTCACACATCTTTTTTTTTTCATTTAATCCTTACAGTAGTCATCACAATGCTGGATGCTTCCAGATTCATGAACATTGATGATTGAATGTAGCTAATGAATGACTAGACAATACAAGGGGAGGGGGACTTCAATCAGTTTTATGGAGAAGGAGAGAGGACTTCAATTATCCTTCTTCATTCTCGTACTGGTCATACGGTAGATGATGCTGTCCCGACCAGGATCCATGTTAGCAATTCCAACTGCAAAAATATTCAATGAAATTTTAGTTGGCCTCAATACATCTGTCCACTTCTCTCAGTATTATTGCTTTCTGAATGAAAATAATTTCGAAGACAGATAGAAACAAAAGATATTGAGATTCAAAGTTGCAGAACCATTACACATCACTGGCTGCTTCTCTGAAAAAAAAAAGTTCAGGTTTTTTTTACAACTACTGTATTTAAGGTTTAAATGTTTTAAAGGGCCAACCTAGAAATGTAAGGTATATTTAAACTCAATAGATTTCAAATTTAACATTGCAACCCATACTTGCACAGGAAAGAGTTACAACTTACCACTGATTGCGATGGTGGTAAGTAACAACCCCACAGTCAGCCACAGCATAATGTTGAAAATGCCAGCAGAATTCCCTCCACCAGAGACTGGAGAGTCATTCTGCCCCTCAGCCTGTCTTCGAACTCGATGCACACGTTTGGCTCCAGTCATTACTACCAGTGTACTCTAAGAACACAATGTCAGCAGCTTTCATGATCAGTTACAAAGACGCTAGTCACCAATGAAACTGAATTTATTGAAAGATTGTTGGATTGTTGTTGTGCTGTTAACACATTATAACATAAGAGAAGGCTGGTTCATTTTCTCATAATCTCTACTTACGAAGACATGTATTTTATTCAGAGGTCTTCCAACATGAAAAATACTATACCAGCCCAAAATTAAAACAGCAGTGAGGTACCCCCAGCCAAGAAAGAGAAAATTACACAGAATCCTGAGCTCTATTCAAGGCAGAGCCTAACTGGTCATGGGGAAAGTATGAGATTGGAACTAAGAAAGGCCAGACAGACTTGGGATCTGTTTTGGCAGATGCCTCCTGCTTTCCATAGCTCAGTTTTTTTATTTTTGGAAAGGTAGGGTGGCAGCACAGCAATGATATATTTTGGTTGGGAGAAGTACTTGTGGCATGTCCTCGGGTCAGACCCTAGATGTAAACAAGGAATAAGCAAGAAGGATGGAAGCTGTTACCTTTCCCTGACTAAGATCCCAGAGAGTCTCAGCAATGACAGACACTGTGTCTGCCAGGAGACGCTTAGCATCAAGAAACTGGGGACTGTCCAACCCATACTCTTCTGCAATAGCAGCCATTGTATTGACATTCACTCCTGCTACCAAAGGAGTTCCTCTCTTCATCAGCATATCTCTCTGTATTGCAACCTGATTGGCAAAGAACACAAAGTCAAATTTGTCCCTCTGGAGGAAAGATGAATCTGATATTCCTCAACACCTTCAAGTAAAAATTATATGTTTGATTGGAACCCCTTTTTGTTTTCATTTAATTTAAATGAACAGAACTAATACCTAACAATACTGTACACTTTATTACCTCTTGTGGAAACCTGTAGAGGAAACTCATTTCATTCAGAAACTCCATATCTGGAGAAAGACGAGATGCATTCAAGGAACCATAGGATGACAAGTCTGGGTCAATATCTGGACGCTGGAACAATAACAAAGAAAAGTTTCACTTTAAATCCTAGGAAGCCTAAGTAGGGTTAGATGAAGATAGGATATGGATAATAAGCCATATGAGTACTTATAAATAAAAAAAAGGAAGAGGACTGTCCTTCCTAGCAAGTTGACTTACCATGAGGAGATGAACTACAGTTCCAAAGTCTTCTGTTCTTGCATACAGATCCACCTGGAGTGAATCAAGAAGTGTGTCTAGATCGATCTCTGGCTTCTTCTCCAGTTTGTACATAATCTCAGGCATCAAGCTCTCTTTCAGAGTCCCATCGGGTGAATGTACTTGAATAATACCCAAGATGTTGGATACATCAAATGGTGAGCTGATGGAGACCAAGGAATTCCCACATGCCTATAATAAAAAAAGGAAACTTTTTTTTTATGTTGTCACATTCATCACAAGAATGGGAAGCATGAATAAGCAAGAAACTTTTCAGATTTTCCAGGAGTGACCTGGGAAACCTGAAAGGGTAAACATAAGCTAGTTTGAATATAACTATTGGTTGACAGGATAGTTTTTTTAATCATTATTTGTCCTGTGCCAACCCACATAAAAATTTAATATCTAACTGTACATATCTATAACCAGTTCAACATATATTAGGGAATATATAACCAGATTAGGAAATCCAGGTATGAAAATATATAACCCATACATATTTCACTTCTTGACTGACACAGTTTCATCACATGTCATCCATATATTCCATGACATATCTTGTCCATATATGATGCTGTACATGTCTATATGGCAGAAAATGTAAAATCATGAAAGGGTATTTTCATATACCTAATCATCTTCCTACCCAATTCTGCAAGGAGCATACTTGCAGTATTCGTGAAATGGTGTGTCATGGTTTCATGGAGAACAATGGTACCCTGAATTGAGAGTTGTGGAAAATGCCTTCAAATGGTAGGATGCAGTTTCTTAATCACTTAACTGGCGAGCGACCATGTGAGGCCATGCATGGGTCCATGTCTTGGTCATGTTAGGCATGGTGGGTAATTTTTTCTGCATGCAACTTGTGTATGCAATGGAGCTTCATTTAACTCTACTCATTGCCAAAAAAAAAGCCCTACCAAAGAGTAGAGTGATCTTGATGAAATTTAGTGAACAATCTTGCAATTGTGTACTATGGAATCGATAAGAGTTTCAATGGTGTGGGAGGAATATTCAAGGAAAAAACTTGCCAAGCACTCCAATTTTAATAGTGGCTATAGAAACATACCAACTGCCCAAAATGGTCACCTAAAAGGATTTTATTGATGAGACATGGTTTGAAACTCCTGAAGGTATGTAGAAAAATCTAGCTAAGTTTCTGAGTCATAGGATGAAGCAGTGCAGAGGAAACTTGTTGAACGCCTCAGTCCATTGCATCTCCCAAATCCTCTACAATGGAAAGAGGGAGGAGACCACAAATGCCATTTTTAATCCTATGTCTGGTATGAACAAGTTAACTCATCAAGGAACAGTACCAAAAGTGTGTATCTTCTTGCCGCAGATATATCTGAGATTTATCAGGACAATTTCTACCATCCAGTTACACACTTACATAATGAGGGAACAAATATATATTTAAATACAAGTAGAGCACACCATGGTGCACCAGAAGTGAAGAAACTCTGCAATGGGATGTGTAAAGAAGAAGAAAATGGCAGAGAAAAGGGTTAGTTCTGTGTTAATCCTTCCCCACAGCCCTAGCAGTCTTTTGACTAATCAGAGAAAATCCATCTATTTTGATCAAAGAGTTGAGCCTCCAAGTTCCCATTCAGATGCTTCTTATGGCAATAGGCCACCATGATCAAAAGGCATCAATCAGAGTTTTTAGCTTATTAATGCTAAATATGATATGACATGCAAAGCAGAAGAGGATCAAAGCCCAATCTCCGGAATGCCAATTAGACCAATGTAACCTCTTGTTTTTGAAGACTCAAATCAGCCCAAGTGCTTTACCTGGGGTTATGCTATGAGTCCAGCCTTTGCCATGGAGTACTTCAACTTACCAAACCTAGATGAGAGTGCCATGTATTTGAGGCAGGAGGGGGCTTACTTCCTAAACACAGGATTTGATCTCAGAAATTAACACCTGACTGGGTTAGTTTCAAACTTGGGACCTCTGCCACAAGAGCCAAGCTCACCACCAAATGGGCTACTCTACAGCCACCAAATATGACTCTAAGTTGTCTTAAACTTAGGCTTAAAGCTACATGAAACTTCCATGAAGTTTCACATAGCTTTTTGACCATACCAAAACTTAGGCATGTAGATAAGAGAACAAGATCTCACTGAGGAAGGAGAGAGGCCAAGAGAAGACTCAAGAAGACTGAGGACATCATTTTCACTCAAGGGACTCCTAGTGCCAGTTTCTTTGAATCCTTGTTCTTGAGGATGTGACACAATAGCAAGTTCATGTCCACAGCCTGAAAAATAAAATGTTTTCGTTGGAGCAGAGTTTCAGGCTTGGTATTGGCTTTGGCATTGAAATATGCCATTTCCAGTAAAATTTCTACGGTAGGCCTACCATTAAAAAATTACTCTTTCTGAAAGTAAGATTTACATTGATAGATTCAATTTCCTCCTTTCCCTTTAAAATGCTTACTGCTGCAGACAGAACTATTCCTCACAATTTCTCAATGTGAACATGCCATGACTGACTTAAAAGACTTTCTTGACCACATATGGCGATGACAGAGTATATCTGCAATCAAGACTTGCATGGATAAAAATTCAGCATTCCAATGTTAAGCACTTCAGTTTCAGTTCCTGCTTTGCTTCCAGCCTTTACTTTCCTTTCTTCACTGACAGGATGCCCATCTCCTGCTGGGGCTTCTGACAATTTTAAATTGTTTTCCTTTAGTTTCTCCTTTTTATGAGTACTCAAGATACTCCAAATTGTGAACATCATAATATGTAAAAAATATTTACATTTACATTTAGAGCTTACCTCTAGGGCTAAGTTGATATCCCTGATTAACTAAAGGCCTTCACATTACTTGTGACTAACTGACTATCTCCAGAGCAGCCTTAGCCCATTTACTATGCTGAGTAACTTCTTCCTCCCCTCATCTCTGCCTATTTCAAGGCCATTTGATATGCTATTGCACTCAAACGATTGGGCTTCCCAATTGCACAAAATTCTGTTGAAGAGACTAGCCACTTCATAGCTATTTGAGAAAGTAAGGGAAATGGGGATCGGAGCTGTTACATGTTGCATTGATTCCTAGCTTATGTTATAAGCAATTGGGTTACCATGCATCACTGCTGGGAGAAAGTAAGGTAAAGTAAGAATTGAGCTAGGGTCGTGCCACATAAGCTCATTTGTCCCTGTGGCCTTTCTCGTACAGCAGTATTGAGTCCTATATATCGTCCAGGACACTATTCTTGGCTCATAAGTAAAAAAAAACACTTCCATATCCTGTCCTGACTTCACATTGGGGACTTAGGCCAGGTCCATCGGCTATGCAGGTTAGGTCCATGGCATAGATCTACTCACAGACCTAGAGCATGTTAAGCCTATTTATTAGGTTTAGGTCTGCACGTAGTCCTAGTCTTAGGCCAAAGGTAAGCGAAGACTCACAAGGTGACAGGTATGTTGTCGCGCAGAGGACAAGCAACGAAATCTGGGAGACACAGCCCATTCTGGAGAATCGAAAAAGCATTGGCCTAGACGTAGGCGAGGCTTGGTGATTCCGTTTTTTGGAAGGAATGAAAGTTCAGGGTAGGTCGAACCACTTGACTAGGATGGACACACCTAATCAGCAGAGCGGGGACAGATGACAGAAGTTAGAAAGTGGGAAAGGGTATAGGCTGACCGATCACACGTTCGTCATCGAAAATCACAACGGGGAGCCCGTCAAGGGAACAGGCCGGAGGTATGAAAGCGCATCTCTCTGGTCTTGTGGTTCAGACGTTGGGCAAGGAGTCTGATCATGTGATGCTGTACGCAGACATCTGCTCAGGTAGAAGTCTCCTCGGGTTCATGATTTGGGCCCGATTCGTCACATTCGATCGCTCCCGCACTAGCGAACCAATGCCGGGTCGGGTCTGGAGACGATCCGTGCTGACACCTCTCACTGAATATCCAAATAGGCACGTGTGGGGGTTACCGCGGAAAGCGACAGTAGGATCTGATTTGTTTTGATCAGATCAACGGTCCACGGCGCCGGTTGAGTTGTCTCTATTCTCCCGCTCACTATGTGCTTCATCAAATTGACTTTGCGGGTTTCTATGGTGGTGGGGACCCGACCATAGGCGCCGAATTGTAGGAATATTCAGAAGAGCAAAGTTTAAACAGCCTCCATATAGTAGGGTGACCTTATTTTTTTTAAAGGAAAATCCGAGACATTTTCCCTCCGTTTACAGTTGACAATAGGCGGATGAGCTGCTTCCTACAAATGAGTGGCACTGAAAGGAAAAATCGCTGGACAGTTTTCCGAGCGGGCAGTACCTCAAAATCAGGGGCTGTTCCAGAGAAAACGGCCTGTCCCGATTTTACCGGGACGATCTGGTCACCCTACCATATAGGAAACTTCGTGTTGTAGCTGTTGACTCTGAGGAAGCCGTAGATGAATTGTAAAAAATGGCGTTTCCAATGTGGCCATTGCTGTGAAGCAAGCGGCCACTTCTCGTCGATGAACAATCTACTTGACAAGGAACACTCGTCATTTCGGAACTGAACCAGAAAAGATACCGCAAAATTCAAGGGTTCACAGGTACCCTTTAGCATGAACTCCTGCATTCCTGGAGGAAAAGGAAAATGAACGCATTTGCAGGTGGGCATCAGGCTTACCCTGTGGAGCAAGTAAGCGTAAATACGGATTTGTACGTGGTTACCCGCCTAAGCCTTAAGGACGAGACACGCTGGGATTTTCCACTGGGATTTTCACGCCGGGATTTTAAAAAAATGCTGAATGCACAGAAGTTTGTAAAACTCTCATGTATTCGAGGACCCCGAGTCTGTATTAGAAAAATAAAACAGACAAAATTTTGAATTATTTTTTTTTTAAATCATGCTTTGGTTTCTCTAAGTTTAGCTTGTCATGGATCAATGCCACTCGTTTCTGATTATCTTCTTTCTCTGTGAGCAACGGTACTACGAACTGTGACCTGGTATCCACTGGCTGAGGGCAAAATGTACCAAAGCGGTTAAACATAAAGTAATTAAATTTGATCTCTGCAGCCTCCATGAGACTTACGATATCACACTGCTTTCGTGTGGTGTGACGATTGTCTCGATCACTTTTCCATTGTCCAATCCTACATTACTGGGAAGTCTTATCCCCAAAGCGAGACGCGAAACAAGTCGCGAATGGAAATCCAGCCTGAAAGCTCTATCTGGAAATGTCAGAGTCCAAACTTCGGACTGATTCTTATCACCATCGTGAGATTCCTTCATCTTTCGAGTGTCCATCGTTGTTTTCATGCATGGATGAATGATGACTAAATCCACGTATTATGCCATATACGCAATGGTGCGTCCATCGACGTGCCTTCCCATGAGTTCCTCGTTACGATTCCATAGGGCGAAGGATATCCTTTCACGTGTTTCATTCTCGACCGGACTTTCGAGGAAAGAGCCTCTGGGTATGAGGCAGTCCATCACGTGGCGTGCGATGCGGGCCAGGCTGCCAACGAAGAGGGGAATTCACTTCCCTTCTTTTCGGGCTTCGAGGACGCTTCCAGCCTTCCAACAAGATTCATGCGCATACAGTGATGAGCCCATGATGGAGGGAGAAGCTGATATGCAGAACAGAGACATATCTACGGCTTAACCAAGCACCGGTTCCTTGCTGGCTGAAAAAAATTGGAATCATCCCGAGCATGGTATGTAGAGGATATGGCAAGAAGACTTGGTCTTCTTGCCATATCCTCTACATACTTTGAGTCATTGTATCTAGGGATTTTTGCAATCAAATCTCGCCAAATTTGACCCAAATGAAGCTTGCCTTCTTCATTTTCATGTTTTGACATTTTAGCAATATCCATGAATTTTATCAAAGTTAGAGACAAATGTGAAATTTTGTTGACTTGCACTGCCTCCTAAGGACATTCCAAAGTGCCTGTTTTCCGTTAAAAAAACCCAGCAGGTTTCAAGCATCTGCAGCCATTTTCTAAGCACATTCTTTGTCCATGATGTTTCTGAAGGGTTGCAGAATATTTGTCTTGACTTCCATTTGAAGTAACGAATTTTGACGAACTCTATGAAAATGAAAAGAAACAATGCGATCTACTGCACTGCATATCCAAACTTCGTGATAGTTGACTTGAGTAGTCATGAGATACAGCGACTCAAGGGGGGATTTCTTTTGCCATGCTCTCTGCGTATCAGGAGTTTCTTGTCAGTACAGTAGGTCATCGGCATGCATCCTGAAAAAACCGGCTGAATGGAAATTGATCGCTGTGATTAGTTCAAGTTGCGTAAACCGCAAGTGCGACTCAGGTTGAGACAGGACTTTTTTACTTGTAGAGTTGTGAACGCGTGGAATGCTTTTGACAACGATGTAGTGGCTGCCCCTTCCGTGACTATTTTAAAGAATAAACTAGATGCTTTTATGGACAAGCAAAAAGGGGGGTAATGTTGACTTAAGGGACTAGGCAATAAGAAACTAGGATATGCTTTAAAAAAAAGTCACAAAAATACAAACATTTTTACCTTTAAGAAGTGTGGGCCTCTACTAAAATTAAGGAACACTCGACCTCGACACGTGGGATCCAAATGGGTGTTATGGCCTCTTGATACCGCTAAACAACCTTGATCCCCGTCGATTTCGAGGCCGATCAAGCACCAACTAACCAATTTGTAGATCACGGCGACGGTGGAATTTTCCCAGTCTTTATCGCGTCCATTCGCATTATGTGGAATATGTCTATGGGTGCGATGGAAGGAACTCTCCATGGTGGTCTTGGTCACATCGATATTTCATTTGGCCTTTTTTTGGAGGGAAAAATCTCTGTGCGCCCTTAATCACTGGAAAAAAGTGGCTGGGCCTCACTCACACCCTCCCAGGTCCCACTACACCCCTCCGAAGGTCTTCCAGAATTCCCAATTCAGGATTTCGGGCACGGTTCAACTTTAGTTCGGATTAAAATAGGGTTCTTGAGTATATATACGACCCACGATGACCTCCAGGTCTTGCCGGTCTCTAACTTCCCATGTGCTGCTTCACCTTTTCTTGACGGACCGAGCCTTTGCATCGGAACTGGGGTTCCATGTTCTGACTGTCACTTCCAAAGTTTCACAGAGACCAGCAAAATATGTAAATCGCAGAGTCCCCTTCAATGAGTTGAAATTGCTCCAAAATATGTCGCCAAGTTCATCTGAGATATTCTGTACGTCGCCAGGAATTAGTGATGCTTTCTCAGAATGCCATGACCTCGATCAGGAGATTTATTTATATTTTTATTATCACGTCATATCAAGAAGCCTGCACGATTACCTCTCTCTCTACTAATTTTCAGAGAAGATCACGAATGTAAATATTCTGTGGAAAAAGAGAAAAGTGGATGCTGGGAATTTAGTAGGGGTAGCCTGGAATACTTCATTGAAGAATTACTTCGCCCTATAAGGTGAGTGCTGCGAATGTCAGCACTCTAAGCAAGCACTTCACTTCCATCTTCCCTGTTGGTTTTCGTAATGGAGCTTCCTAGATCATATTGGGTCTGGTGATACCTTTATTATAAACCTCCTTGTACCGCAAACCTCGAGTGCCCTAGGCCATTCATTTCCGAGGGACTGGGTCAAAGGTTAAGTTGGGTCAGATGTTGGCAATATCGGCACACTTGCTGGTAAAGATGGCACCACCCTGTCGGTAATCTCGGTACACTTATGTCTCACTGTCGTTTACAACGGACTCAAAAATGAATGACCAGATAAAACAATACCTAGAGCGGAAGAGAACGGAATGTGCAAAGGCTTAGATTTCAAGATTTCGCAGGATTTTCGGGGTGCGCGTAGAGAAAGTGGCTACTGCAATTAGGAGGTATGGAAATGATGAATGTGAGAGACCTAATAGATAGCATTAGAGTGACATGGTGGAGGAAATCCCTACTGAAAACTGAGGTTTGGGTGAAATTAATAGAGCAGCAAATACCTCTGGGGCCAGATGTCGACTTGATGCAACTAGGGGGTGCATGGGATGTCTGTTTCAATCTCTCAATGAATAATTTTTGGTCTGATAACAAGAAGGCTTGGGCTAGATTTTCTAGTTATGTCATGGAACAAGTGGAAGTATTAGCAGACTGCCCGATTTGGTGCAA